TGGCTGGGACATCAGGCCTATGATTCCTGACTGCAGCTGGCATTGGGAATACAGTTCTGTGGTTCAAGTGAGTGAATACAAGGCTGTCCACAGAGGAGCCTAGAGACCCAACTGCCTTCCAGATGGTGCTCCAGGAATGGAGGGACACCTGGTCACTCCCCTATGCCATCCATCCACCTTACCAATATTTACGGAGTGCCTACTACGTGTCAGGTACCATGCCAGGTGCCAAAATTTCAAGGCACACGTGTTGTCCTTGCCTCTGGATCTTACTGCTTGCTAATGGGTGAAGCAGATATTAAACAAGTAAATGAACAAATAAATACTTTACCTAATTACAAATTGCTGTACCTGCCATGAAGAAGAGAACATTTAAGACTGCCAAATTCAACAGCTGGAAGGAAGCCAGGATGCCCAGAACAGAGTGAAGGGAGGGGGAAGGGTAAGAAGAAGCTGGGCCCCTCCATACCAGGCTTTGTGGCCCAGTATGAGGAAGTTGGCTTTTATTCAAGGCACAACAGAAAAGCCCAGTGCAAGGTTTTAAGGAAGGGAGCAACATGCTTGGATTCTGATTTCACAGTATTACTCTCTGAAGAACACCATGAGGGGTACTTGAATCAGATAAATCCAGACTGTGGCACATTCAACAAGAAAACTAGTCTGGACTCTTCAAACAGTCAATATGCAACATCAAAAGAAAGAAAGAGAGACAGAAAAGACAGAGGGAAGAATGGAGGAAACTAAAGTGACACGACCTAATGTAATGCATAAACTTCTGGTTTAAAAGTAGCAGCTATTGCTCAGAGGATTGAGCATCGTCCTGTGGACTGAGAGGTCCCGGTTCCACATGCCGGGTTGCAGGCTTGATCCCCAGTGGGGGGCCTGCAGGAGGTGGCCAACTAATGTTTCTCCTTCCCTTCCTCTCTCTAAAAAATCAATTGCACCCCTGGCCGGTTTGGCTCAGCAGTTGGAACCTCGGCCTGCGGTCTGGAGAGACCCAGGTTTGGTTCCCGCCAAGGGCACGTGCCTTGGTTGCAGTTTGTCCCCGGCCCTGGTGGGGTCCTGTGGGTGGCAAACAACAGATGTGTCCCTTTCATGTCGATGTTTCTCTCTTTCTCCCTCCCACTCTATCTGAACAAAATATCGAAAAGTGTCCTTGGGTTTGGATAATAAATAAATAAATAAATAAAATCAATTACAAAAAAGTAGCGGCTGTTAAAGCCCTTTAAGAGACAGTAAGGAATTTAAATCCGACTGGATATTCGATGATACCAGGAATCATGGTTTGTATTCTGGGCATGGCAGGGGTCCTGTGGGGTGTGGGAGAGGGTCTGATTCTGACTCTTAAGAGCTGCACGTTGAGGGGCAGAGGGTTGAGGTGTCATGATGTTTGCACCTCACTTTCACTTCGTTCTCTACAAATTGTGAAAGAACAGTGTCAACAGTTATTGAATCTAGGTGCAGGGATACATCATACCATTTTGGTAATTTTTTCTTGACATTTTCCAAAATAAGAAATTGAGAGAGATTTTTTTAAATCTAAAAAATATTTAATAATGATTACTTTAATCATTACTCATTTATTAATGATTGCTTTGGCTGCTAAGTGGAGACTGGTTGGGAGGGGAAGCAACCATAAGGAGATTCCACACAACTCTGAGCACCGTCTCCGTGCCAGACAAGGAGTCAGGTGCTGAGGAACGACAGTGCCCACCCTCAAGGAGCATCCCCTCCAGTTGCAAGGAAAAGTGAGGGAAAGTGGACTGAGCATGCAAGGCCTGCCTCCCTCTGCTGGTTCCTTGTCACCTTCCATTTCACCCCACCCCATGGTCCCAGAGCAACAGTGTCTGGAGCTCCACCTGGCTGGGCTCCCCCCTCCCCATCTCTGTGCCTTTTATAAAACAACACTGAGCCCAGAAACAGGATCAGGCACCATGGGCCTATCCCAACAGGTCATTTTCCTTCCAGAGCCTCCATTGTCAAGTGGAAGGCTTGGCCTAGAAGAACAGTAATTTCCCTTTGAACAGACTCCAGGACCTTGCTGCACCTTGGTTTTGTCCCACAGAAGAGGGAGGTCTAAAAAGTCCTTAAAGCTGGAAAGTTCCATGAAGTAGGCAGCCCTTCTCCTAGGGATCAAGGAGGACACCACCAGGGCAAGCCCTAGTTTGAGACTCTGATGTATAGAAGACTTGGAAGTTTCCTTCCTGCTTTTGAGAAGTGGACATAGCTGAGGAGGTGAGAGTGAATTGGAGAGGCAGCTCTGTCCTGTGCCCCTGGGGACAGGGCGGGGAGAGGATTAAGGACTATTTGCAGAGCCTGCTTGGAGATGAAGGGAGGGGTTACTTGCATCCCTCAACCTGTCTGCCCTGAGGCAGGAAGGCCACTCACCTGGAAGGGATGCAAACCCTGCCTCAGTGCTAGGCTCCAGAGCAAAGTTCTATGATCCAGATCCAAGGCTGCTGCTCTCTCCCACCCAAGAGCTCATTTTAGTACAGAAGGAGAGAGATGAACAGAGAGCTGCAGTTTCTCCTTGTGTTGGCTTGAGCCTTCGGCAGAAATGAGAGTTTCATTACTCAACCCAATTCAAAGGATAATTAACATATGTTATAATTTCCGAACATAGCTATTAGGTGAAGAGCAAAATGCCCACGCAGCCCCTAGATCCTCCCAAACCACAAAGTCAAAGGAAGTCCATAGGGGCAGAGCCACCTGTCTGTCTCTGGAACTGCCCTTGGCCTTGACTAGGAAAGGAAAGTTCATCTTGGTTAAAGGGAGAGGATTCCCCTGAGCCATGGGTCCTCTTCCCACTTTCTTCTCCTTGTTCTTCACCATTGCCAAGAATGTAGTCTAACCCCAATCCCTCTTGCTGCCCCTAAATCCCATCTCCTTTATTTTCCCCTGAGGAAAAAGAGGAGAGCTGATTTCTCATTCTTGGCATCACTGTGAGGTTGCAGGGGAGTTCCTTGGGCTTGGGAGCCCTGGGCTGGGATCCATGGCTCCTCTGCTGTGACCCACAGAGAGTGACTCTGCTGTGATCAGAGTGTTGGAAGGGAGGGTCTGGTTCCATGCTTTTCAAATTGGGTTCTTCCAGCATTCAGGTCCCACAGGGTAGCCCAGTGATTTTTTAGTTGGGGGAACAGTGGAGATGGGACAAGTCTCTGACTCCTTCTTTCACCCCGAAACACTATCTTTATCTGTTTTATATTTGGAGCTTCTATTCCATGTTTTACTTGGGTAAAAAAAAAGGGGGGGGGGTTCTACTGCTAAATAAACTTTTGAAAACCATTGACCTTATCCAAACCCCTCATTTTACAAAAGGGAAATTCAGGCACAAGAATTTGACCAAGGTCACACAGCTAGAGAGTAGTGGAGCTGGACTAAAGCCCTGGCCTCCTCCCCAAGCCAGCCCTTATAACAGCCAGGCTCCTTGCTGCTCACCCAGTTGGCCCTGCAATTCCTGGATGGTGGCCCTGGTTGGGGTATGAGAAAGGGGACCCTCTTCTGGAGCACCCTTGGCTGCCTCTTCTTCACGGTCAGCTTCCATGCAGGGACCTCCCCCAGAACTCTTGAAATTCCCTCACCCCTTTCAAGTGGAAGGCCCAGTCCATGGGCCAGCAGGTGAAGAGGTTCAGGATCCCTGTGCACTGGGGCAGGGCTGTGTGCTGGTCACAAAGCTGTGGGAAGAAGGAGGGGAGTGACAGCTGGACACTGATGGTGAAGGAAGGAGGGGCAAGAGGTCATCTATCCAGACAGAAGGCCCTGTTGGGCAGTGAAAAGCACTGGTCTAGGACCCGGGAGGTGTATTAAAGCTTGTGACCCTCTACAAGTTTCACCTCTCTGGGCTTCAGAACTGCAGTATTGGCATGTTTATACTAGCTGGCTTCTGCCCCAATACTCCCAGCTCACCTCCCCCTGAAAAACCCAGGTAGTGTCCAACTGATGCTGGGGTCATTCTGCCCAGCAGTGGGGGACCCCAAGGGGCGACCTGGTTAGACCACAACCTGATGAGGGGGGTGGCTCAAGACCACACTATGCACTCCCAGGGAGGTGGGGTGTCGCTGGGAGATGGGGAGGCTTTGTACTGTTGAGAAAGGCCATTTTAGCTCAGTCTGTCCTGAGACCTATGGGAAGGGACAGCAAGGAGGGTTCTTATTAGCAGCCAGCAGCAGCCAGCAGTTACAGGTGGTGTAAGGTGGGCACTTGGCTTCTGAGAGCCTTCAAAATGTTTTGAAAACCTCTAAACATACTTAGGGTAGGGCCACTATTATTATCATTCGCTGTCTGGCTTCTGATTGTTAATTCCTCTCTAGACGGGGGTAGGGATCTGGGGTGTGTGCGTGCGGAGGGGTGTTCTGGACAAGAAGAATCCTGGAACTCCGTGCGGAGGAGGCGCTGGGTGGGGCCCACCTCCTTCGGTGCGGCTGGCGTCGCCACTTTAAGGCGGCGGCGGCGCGAGCAGGTCTATGGTAATGAGCCGCTGCCGCCGCCGCTCTGCAGACCTCGCCGGCCCGCCGGGGAGGCGAGGGAGCGTGCGGCTAGGCCCGGGGCCGCGGCGACAGCAGCAGCCGCGGCGGGGACGCGAGGCGCGAGCGGGCGGCGGGGAGCCGTCGGGGTGGCCGGATCCGGGTGTGCAGCTACGCGGGCGCAGGTGGGCGACCTAGCCGAGGCGGAGGGGCACCTCGGGGGGTGGGGGGCCGGCAGGGCCTGGGGCCCGCGGGCGCAGGTGGCGAGAGCTGGGCGCGCAAGTGGAGGCGCAGCGCCAACCCAGGGTGGTCGGGGTGACCCGGGCGCTGGCCCGGTTCGGGGACCGGCGGGACCCCGAGCGCATCTGAAGGCACAGCGCCGGCCCTGCCGAGGCACCAAGGCGCAGGCCCCGCGGGGCGCACGAGTGGCCCCCGGGGACCAGCGCCCCGGCCCGGGCATGAGGCGCGGCGGGGCCGGCAGGAGCCGGAGGAGGAGCCGCCGCCGCCGTTGACCCGGCTTGCCGGGAGCGGGGAGAGATGCGCAGCCGGGCGGCCCGCACCCGCCTTCCCACGCAGCTGCCGCCGCCGCCGCCGCTGCCGCCGCCGCCGCTGCTGCCGCTGCTGCTGCTGCTGCTGCTGCTTCCGCCACTACTGGGAGACCAAGTGGGGCCCTGTCGTTCCCTGGGGACCGGAGGACGGGGCTCCTCCGGGGCCTGCGCCCCCGTGGGCTGGCTCTGTCCGGCCTCAGCCTCGAACCTCTGGCTCTACACCAGCCGCTGCAGGGATGCGGGGACCGAGCTGACTGGCCATCTGGTGCCACATCACGATGGGCTGAGGGTCTGGTGTCCAGAATCCGGGGCCCACATCCCCCTGCCGCCAGCCCCCGAAGGCTGCCCCTGGCGCTGTCACCTCCTGGGCATTGGAGGCCACGTTTCCCCACAGGGCAAGCTCACCCTGCCCCATGAGCACCCGTGCTTGAAGGCCCCCAGGCTGAGATGCCAGTCCTGCAAGCTGTTGCAGACCCCAGGGTTCAGGGCAGGGGAAAGGTCAGCAGAAGAATCCCCGGGCGGGCGTCGGAAAAGGAATGTAAATACAGCACCCCAGTTCCAGCCCCCCAGCTACCAGGCTACAGTGCCTGAGAACCAGCCAGCAGGTACCCCTGTGGCATCCCTGCGGGCCATTGACCCAGATGAGGGTGAAGCAGGTCGGCTTGAGTACACCATGGATGCCCTCTTCGATAGCCGCTCCAACCATTTCTTCTCCCTGGACCCCATCACTGGCGCTGTAACCACAGCTGAGGAGCTGGATCGAGAGACCAAGAGCACCCACGTGTTCAGGGTCACTGCGCAGGATCACGGCATGCCCCGACGCAGTGCCCTGGCCACACTCACAATCTTGGTGACGGACACCAATGATCATGACCCTGTTTTTGAGCAGCAGGAATATAAGGAGAGCCTCAGGGAAAACCTGGAGGTTGGCTATGAGGTGCTTACTGTCAGAGCCACGGATGGTGACGCCCCTCCCAATGCCAATATTCTGTATCGCCTGCTGGAGGGGCCTGGGGGCAGCCCCTCAGAAGTCTTTGAGATTGACCCTCGTTCTGGGGTGATCCGAACCCGTGGCCCTGTGGATAGGGAAGAGGTGGAATCCTACCAGTTGACAGTGGAAGCAAGTGACCAGGGTCGGGACCCCAGTCCACGGAGTGCCACAGCCGCCGTTTTCTTGTCTGTGGAGGATGACAATGATAATGCACCCCAGTTCAGTGAGAAGCGCTACGTGGTCCAGGTGCGAGAGGATGTGACCCCGGGGGCCCCAGTACTCAGAGTCACAGCCTCAGATCGAGACAAGGGCAGCAACGCCCTGGTGCATTACAGCATCATGAGTGGCAATGCTCGGGGACAGTTTTACCTGGATGCCCAGACTGGGGCTCTGGATGTGGTGAGCCCTCTTGACTATGAGACGACTAAGGAGTACACCCTACGGGTTCGGGCACAGGATGGTGGCCGCCCCCCGCTCTCCAATGTCTCTGGCCTGGTAACAGTGCAGGTCCTAGATATCAATGACAATGCTCCCATCTTTGTCAGCACCCCCTTCCAGGCTACTGTCCTGGAGAGTGTCCCCTTAGGCTACCTGGTTCTCCATATCCAGGCCATTGACGCTGATGCTGGTGACAATGCCCGCCTGGAATACTGCCTCGCTGGGGTTGGGATTGACTTCCCCTTCACCATCAACAATGGCACAGGTTGGATCTCTGTGGCTGCTGAGCTGGACCGGGAGGAAGTTGATTTCTATAGCTTTGGGGTGGAAGCCCGAGACCATGGCACCCCAGCACTCACTGCCTCGGCCAGTGTGAGTGTGACTATCCTGGATGTTAATGACAACAACCCGACCTTTACCCAACCAGAGTACACGGTGCGGCTCAATGAGGATGCAGCTGTGGGCACCAGTGTGGTGACCGTGTCAGCCGTGGACCGTGATGCCCACAGCGTTATCACCTACCAGATCACCAGTGGCAATACCCGGAACCGCTTCTCCATCACCAGCCAGAGTGGTGGTGGGCTGGTGTCCCTCGCTCTGCCACTGGACTATAAACTTGAGCGGCAATATGTGCTGGCTGTCACTGCCTCCGACGGCACGAGGCAGGACACAGCACAGGTAGTGGTCAATGTCACTGATGCCAACACCCATCGTCCGGTCTTTCAGAGCTCCCACTATACGGTGAATGTTAATGAGGATCGGCCAGCAGGCACCACAGTGGTGCTGATCAGTGCCACAGACGAGGACACAGGTGAGAATGCCCGCATCACCTACTTTATGGAAGATAGCATCCCTCAGTTCCGTATCGACGCAGACACAGGGGCTGTCACGACTCAAGCAGAGCTGGACTATGAGGACCAGGTATCCTACACCCTGGCCATCACTGCCCGGGACAATGGCATTCCCCAGAAGTCTGACACCACCTACCTGGAGATCCTGGTGAATGATGTGAATGACAATGCCCCTCAGTTCCTACGAGACTCCTACCAGGGCAGCATCTATGAGGATGTGCCCCCTTTCACCAGTGTCCTGCAGATCTCAGCCACTGACCGTGACTCTGGCCTTAATGGCAGGGTCTTCTACACCTTTCAAGGGGGCGATGATGGAGATGGTGACTTTATCGTCGAGTCCACGTCGGGCATTGTGCGGACACTTCGGAGGCTGGATCGTGAGAATGTGGCCCAGTACATCTTGCGGGCATATGCAGTGGACAAAGGCATGCCTCCAGCCCGCACACCCATGGAAGTGACGGTCACTGTGTTGGACGTGAACGATAATCCACCTGTCTTTGAGCAGGATGAGTTTGATGTATTTGTGGAAGAGAACAGCCCCATTGGGCTGGCCGTGGCCCGGGTCACAGCTACAGACCCTGATGAAGGCACCAATGCCCAGATCATGTACCAGATTGTAGAGGGCAACATCCCTGAGGTCTTCCAGCTGGACATCTTCTCAGGGGAGCTAACTGCTCTGGTGGACCTGGACTACGAGGACCGGCCTGAATACATCCTGGTCATTCAGGCCACATCGGCTCCCCTGGTGAGCAGGGCCACAGTCCACGTCCGCCTACTTGACCGCAACGACAACCCTCCAGTGCTAGGCAACTTTGAAATCCTTTTTAACAACTATGTCACCAACCGCTCCAGCAGCTTCCCCGGGGGTGCCATCGGCCGTGTGCCTGCCCATGACCCTGACATCTCAGACAGCTTGACTTACAGCTTTGAACGGGGAAATGAACTCAGCTTGGTGTTGCTCAATTCCTCCACCGGGGAGCTGAGGTTGAGCCGGGCCCTGGACAACAATCGTCCTCTGGAGGCCATCATGAGCGTGCTGGTTTCAGGTAAGAAGGGCCCAGGGGACGTGGGTGGGGGAGGCCTGGCAGCCAGCAAGGAGGAACTGCTGACCCACCATTCTGCCTGGTGCCTGGCACAGAGGTTGAGGGGCAGAAGCTGGTTGGGAAGGAGCCCCAAGAGTCCTGGCAGCTAGTGCAGGTCCCAACAGCCACTAGAGGTGAGCTGGGCTGCTTCGGCTGGCTGCCCTGCCTAGCAGCCTGTGACGTGCTGCAGGAAGTCTTGTGAGGCTTCCCTGGCTACAGCTGCCAAGAATTATGAAAAAAGGCACGTGGGGGGGGGGGGGTGAGGGGGGCAAAGAGCAGGAGGAGGGGAAGAGAGGCCAGTGGGCCCCTTCAGTACCCCGCACTCCAGCAGGATACTCCTGCGATTTCATACAGAGCTGAGAGCTATGGGGGCACAGGGTTGCCGCCACAGGGTCAGGACCCTGCTGCCGGGCCTCTTGGGCCCCTTCTGGCTCCCGGCTGAGCTGCATACCAGCTGAGGGGGACTTTGTCTCAAGCATTCTTTTCCCTCCAGGCAGAAAGAGCCTGGCCTGGCTCCCCTTCAAAGCTCCCACAGGAAGTAAGGCTAGAGCTCATTGTCTCTGTCCAAACAGACCCCACTGTCAAAGGCCCTGGTTCGGTCCAGCTTGGGGGAGGGGCTGCAGTGAATCCCAGGGCAGGCTGAGACCTCCTGGGACCCCTTGCCACCACATAGGTTGTTCTTAAGATATCAAGTATTCCCTGCTGGCTGTGACCATCCTGGGCTCTGGGAATAAGGTGTGGGGACCAGGATGAGCTAGGGGATGCATGGTCTTTGGGGGCAGAGCCCCCTGATCCGGTGGGGAGAGAACAGAGTCCTGGAGTGTGGGAGCCTGGCCAGGACCCAGACAGGGCATTCCTGCTGCTTGGCCAAGCACTCAGCCTGTAGACTCCCTGGATGGAAGGGTAAGGGGAGGAGTTTTGGGGTGGGGGTGGCCTTGTGTCTTTTCTATAGCTATGGGAAGTGAGCGCCACTAGCAAGGAGGGGCCAGCCCTAGGATGCTGAACCCCTTCCCAAACCTGGGAACAACTGGGGTCCTTGTGAGGACCCACTTAGCTGCAACCTAGGAATAGGTTGATCACATACCCCCACTCCAGACACAACAGGGAGGGGAGTCTGGGCCTGAGGGGAGGAAGAGGCAGGAGAGAGATGCAGGGCATGGCTTCAGTCTCTTTCCAAATCGTGGTCCTTCCTGGACAGACACGTCCTCTGCCCACTCCTCTGGTGGCCATGGGAGCCAGGGCATGGGAGCTTTTAGAGATCATGGACTAGGCTCTATACCTTCGAAGCTTCAGTTTCCTCTCCAGGAGGAGGAGTTGGGAGGCTGGAGTTCCTATATCCTGTGTTCTTCACTGTGCTGGAAGGCCAAGCAGTGGGAAGAATAACCTCTCCCTCTAGTCCTCACCCCAGCCTGACCTAGTGCATGTGGCAGAACACTGAGGGATGGGGACAGAGGAGGCCCCACCCAGCCTTTGGGCTCCTATCAGGGCCAAGCCCCAGACCTGGGATAGAGGGGAAGGCCTAGCTGGCCCTCCAGCCCTAGCCCCACCCTCTCCCCTCAGCTCTGACCCTTGGAGGCAGTCACCAAGGCAACCCCAAAGTTCATGGAGGCTGGGGTGAGGGGGAATTGACTCCCACTGCCCCTTTGTTTTCCTTCTCTTGTTCTTTGTCTCTTCTTTCTTTCCCGTCCTGCCCATGGGGGCCCTTCTGCACTGTCCTCTCCAGAGCCCTCTCCCCTTCTCCTGTGTTGGTCTTTCCTCCTTTCCCACTTTCTCCATTGCTGGCTCTTTTCCTGTGCCTTTGTCTTCCCCTGTTTGGTCTTCGTGTTTCTGTCTCTCCAATTTCCCCTCTCTTGTGCCCATTGGCTGCAGCTGCCCCAGCCTGGGCCGATGGCAGTCCTGCTGATCTCTCCTTGCCGCTTTCATACTCTGCTAGGACACACAGGACCTCCTGTGTGTCCATGGCCTGTTCAGCCCATAGAGTGGCAAACCTCCTCCAGACCTACAAAGTCCACTGGCACATCTGCCAGGGGAAGACAGACTTGGAGTCTGATTCTGCCACAGTCTGGGACCTGGCACTTTTCCAGGTGTGGCTGGCTGGGCTCTGGGCACAGGTAGTGTTTCCTGGGGTCAGAGGCTATCCCAACTGTTTTGTGCCCAGGAGGATGGCTGAGGCAATGCACCTCCCACCTCTGTTCATACCACTGCCTTTACACCCGAGCAGTAACCCAGGTCAAAGCAAGGGAGAGGAACAAAAAGGAAGGAGAGAGCCTGGCTGGTGTGGCTCAGTGGTTGAGCATCAGCCCATGCACCAAAAGGTTGCCAATTTGGTTCCCGGTCAGAGCACATGCGCAGGTAGTGGGCCAAATCCCCAGTGGAGGGCATGCAGAAGGCGGCCAATCGATGTTCTCTCATTGATGTTTCTATCTCTCCCTCTCCTTTCCTCTCTCTCTAAAATCAGTAAAGGGAAAACAAGAACTAAAAAAGGGAAGGAGAAAGCAGTAGGTTAACTCCTGGGGGTGGGGGACAATAGCAGAGGAGGCAGGTGGCCACAGATGGTGGACCAGATGGGAAGCAACAGAGACACAGTGGGCGAGGGGCATGGCCAGGGCCTGGAATGGTGGAGGGGGGATGTAGGGAGGAGGCTTGTTCCCAGGACTGAGTGGTGGTGAGGTTTCTCTTGCTCCTTGGCCTTCACTGTCCCTCCCTAACCAGTTAGGAGCACTCTGTGTAGACTCTTGGGCTGCTTTCTGCCTGAAGGATCTATAACCTCAAGGAATCATCAGGCAGAGGCCCCAGGTACACAAGAGTCCTGTGCCAGCACCCTACCTGATTGCAAGGGGGTCTGAAAGAGAGAAAAGTAGAGCCAGAGGTCATAGATCTGGGTAGGCTTCCTGGAGTAGGTGAGTGTAGATGTCTAGGTAGACCAGGTAGGAAGGAATAGCCTGCAAGACAAGAGTAGGAGGAGCAGAAGTGGGTGATGACAAGCGGGCTTGCTGTGAGAGCAGGTAGGCCTCAAAATCTCGAGCCATGAGGCTAAGGACAGGTGGGCAGTGGGCCCAGGACATGGTTGAGATGGCCTTCCCAGCCTCCGCTGAGCCACCTGATGTACTCAGCCACCCTCTTCTACTCTCACCCAACCCCAGAAACACCATCTCCTGCCCCTTTTTAATATCTTCTGAGGGCCCCTCCTGCTGTGTTTTAAAGACCGTTTCTTCACGATGAAGACTGAATAAATTCTCATCAACATGTTAATATTTAGTGAACAACCCCTATATGCAGGACATTGTAGTAAATAAAAATATGAATGTTACTTATAGCCCTGCCAAGCCATTTCCCCCTCCCCTTACCTCCAGCTTTCATCTCTGAGGTGCATAAAACCCATTCCCACGTTCTGTGCATTCAGGTGTTTATGGCATTGCTGTGCTTAGGATGTGTGGGTGGAGTGAGACAGCAGAGTGTGTTAGCACTTAGCTGTTTGTGAGTGTGTGGCCGGCATACTGGTGTAATGCCATGAGCCATGCGGGTGATGAATAGTAGAGGCCCTAGGGCCAGAGAAGACTTCAGCTGGGTGGAGCTCTGTCTAGGGTCTCTGCTGCCCAGGCCTTTCCATCTGTGTCCCCCAGTCCCCCACAGCATCAGAGCAGTGGGTGGTGCTGCCACTGGCTAAGTGGCTCAGCTGGATTTCCTGGGGTGGAGCCCCCCAGGCTACCCTCAGCAGCCCAGAGAGTTGGGTGGGAAGAATGCTTTGTGTAGGGTGTTACCATGGGGATAGTGGCCTGTGCCCAAGCAGCCATGGGGCTCAGTGGGAGGAGGGACCAGGTGGCCCACTGACCCAGTTCATCCCCCACTCTCTGCTGGGGTGGGGGAGGGGGAAAGCACAGCCAGGGTCAGGGTTATGGTAGTGCTGAGATATAGAGGCTGAGGGGGTGGGAGTGTTAAATTTGTGGGTCTCTCATGGTGTTCTGGTCCTAGAGAGAGGTGAGAAAAAGGCAAAATAGAGTTCTCATGCCGGGAAACCAGAATCTGGTATAAGGGAGCAGGACCCACGGCCTGAGCAGGGAAAGGCGCACAGATGTTAAAAAATGTGCGGGGCTTCACGCCGGAGGGTTTGGGAAAAGAGAACTTCTGAAAATCGAATCCCCTATAACCTATGGGGGCTGTTCCTCAAGGAGTGACTTGCCTACAGGACATATCCCCTTGGGCACTTTATGCCAATTAGAAAAGGGAGCCTCTCCTTGGCAAGTGAGCAATGCAAGAGTGCGGGACCGGATTTCAGCCCCATTCACTCCCTCTTCCTGGTCCTGACCCATGTCGCCTCTCTGCAGATGGTGTGCACAGTGTGACTGCCCAGTGCGCACTGCGCGTCACCATCATCACGGATGAGATGCTCACGCACAGCATCACGCTGCGCCTGGAGGACATGTCGCCGGAGCGCTTCCTGTCGCCGCTGCTGGGCCTCTTCATCCAGGCCGTGGCGGCCACGTTGGCCACGCCCCCCGACCACGTGGTGGTTTTCAACGTGCAGCGGGACACGGACGCCCCTGGCGGCCACATCCTCAACGTGAGCCTGTCGGTGGGCCAGCCGCCGGGTCCTGGGGGCGGGCCGCCCTTCCTGCCCTCGGAGGACCTGCAGGAGCGCCTGTACCTCAACCGCAGCCTGCTGACCGCCATCTCGGCCCAGCGCGTGCTGCCCTTCGACGACAACATCTGCCTGCGCGAGCCCTGCGAGAACTACATGCGCTGCGTGTCTGTGCTGCGCTTCGACTCCTCGGCGCCCTTCATCGCCTCCTCGTCCGTGCTCTTCCGACCCATCCATCCCGTGGGGGGGCTGCGCTGCCGCTGCCCGCCTGGCTTCACGGGCGACTACTGCGAGACCGAGGTGGACCTCTGCTACTCGCGGCCCTGCGGACCCCACGGGCGCTGCCGCAGCCGCGAGGGCGGCTACACCTGCCTCTGCCGCGACGGCTACACGGGTGAGCGAGCGAGGTGTTGCCTCGTTCCTTTCCAGAGTAAGGTGCAGGTTAGCCTGGCCGTTCACAAACCCCACTTGCTCTTTTACACTAGCCTATTGAGGAAGGCACAAAAGGGAGCCCTTCTCCACCGCCACCCCCTGCACCCCAAGCCGTGTAACTGAGGTCTGTACTAGCTCTAGAGCCAACCTGCTTGGGTTTGTATCCCAGCTTTGCACTAGTCGCTGTGTGTTCTTGAGCAGGTTACTTAACCTCTCTCTGCCTCATATTTTAAAATGGAAATGATCAATCTACTTATATCATATGGCAGTTGTGAGGATTAATTTAACTAATTTGATACATGGAAGGAGCCAGCCTGTGGGAAATGGCTGTGATTTAAGGGAGTGCTGAGATCAGATGATTTGCTCCAAGTCTCACCTTTATTAGAGGTGAGGCTGGGCCTCCACCCTGACCACCCCCCCACACACACACACTGGTAAGTTACCTGTATAAGCACAGCAAGTGCTTTTGTTTTCTCCCCAGGCATTGAGGGGAAGGCAAGAAGAGCTGGGAACACGGGAGGGGCTCAGGTGTGGGGTAAGGGTGTTTCAGATCATTGCACCTGTGCAACCCTGAGCAGGATAGCCCCACCCTGCCCAGATGCATAAAAGAGGGTCCTGACCAGGAGGCCTCCCTTTTGGCCTGTGACCCAGTCGCCCCATGGCTGCCTCAGCTTTGTGCTCCTGACCCCTCCCTGCAGGCTCTCATTTCTCCTCTGGACACCCGTTCATCTCTCCCCCATGGCCCTTCCTTCCCAATGCCTTAGGCATGGCTCCCTCTCCTCCAGAGCCATGCCCACGGCTCAGCCAGCAGTGGCAGGCAGGCGCCACTGCCTCTCCGGCTGCATCTTCCTGCCCAGAACTTCCCAGACTTGACTCCTCTCAGCTGCCGCTGGTGGGGGTGGGAGGGGGGGGGGCGCGAGGGTCTTTGTCCAGGAGGATGACAAGGGGGAGGGCTTAGAGTAGGCGAACAACAGTTTCCATGGAAACAAGAGCCAGTCACTAGGCACAGGAGCTGGGAACCTATCTCTAGAATCTGGGAATGGGGAGGGAGAGAAAGGGGTGGATTTTCCCATTGGAATTTTCAGCTCCTCCATTGAATCATGGTCTGCTCCCAGGGCTCAGTTCCGAACTTAGCATCTCCCAAGTGCACAGAAGTCCTCAGTCTGGACCCCAGAGCTCAGGGTGGGAGTTCTCTGACCTATTACTGGGGAGTCCCCACCTTCCCCCCACACACACATTTCCCATAACTCCAACAAATCCAAGTGGAAGCCTGGTCTCATCTTCCAGGTAGGGAAACTGATCTTGGTGCCTGACAAAAGCACCAGTAGGAGGGAAGAAGGAAGGGGTTTGGCACCAGCTTTCGTGCTGACTTGCAGGCTCTTCCTTCCATGCACATTCACCCATGCAGGGGCCAGAACACCCCCAAGCTTGCTTGGTGCCAAAGGCTACTAGGACCTAGACATTGTGATCAGGGACCTCACAGGCCTCTGCTCTTGAGGCCCAACTGGGGCATGGAAGGGACTGGGAGCTTCAAGGGACGTGCAGGAGAGCAGTATATGGCATTGTGGTGAGAATGGCCCAGTGGGCCCGGTACAGCACTGGGAAAGGCTGGGGTTTCTCAGAGGAAATGGAAGAAGAAGAGGGATGCTAGGAGAGTTTGGGAGTATTGTGGGGTCACAGGAGACCACGGGCGGTATCACTGGGTAGGGAGGAGTCCCAGTTGCTCACCTCCTCTCAGGGCCTCACCCTGCCTTCCCTCTTGCCCAGGTGAGCACTGTGAGGTGAGTGCCCGCTCAGGCCGCTGCAGTCCAGGTGTCTGCAAGAATGGGGGCACCTGTGTTAACCTGCTGGTAGGTGGCTTCAAGTGCGACTGCCCGTTGGGAGACTTCGAGAAGCCCTACTGCCAGGTGACCACACGCAGCTTCCCTGCTCGCTCCTTCATCACCTTCCGTGGCCTGCGCCAGCGCTTCCACTTCACCCTGGCCCTCTCGTGAGTGGCTGGCCTGGGGGGTGAGGGGCAATGGTGGGAGCCTTGGTTCCTCCTGTTCTACAGACAAGGTGAGCGGGCAGGCAGCACAAGTGCTCGGAACAGGCTATTGGCAGAACCAGGTCTAAGCACTTGGAGTTGTCTGTGCACTTTGCCAGCAGACTTTCCTCACCCACCAGGGTCCACCTGTCACTCCTCCATTCAGCCCTAGAGGGTGGGGAGCCAGGTTGCCAGGATTCTGGTTCTGGTTCTGGTTTGGGCTCATCTTTCACATTCTAGGTGTCGGCCCTCTGGATGGTACTGAGTACGATCCAAGGTTAGTTGGGTGGCTGGGGTGCTGGCCTCCCACTGGATGCCCCATTCCCTGCCCCCATCCTCACCTCCCACACAGGTTTGCCACCAAGGAGCGTGACGGGCTACTGCTATACAATGGGCGCTTCAATGAGAAGCATGATTTTGTGGCCCTCGAGGTGATCCAGGAACAGATCCAGCTCACCTTCTCTGCAGGTGATCTTGGTGCCCTGTGTCCTTGCCCATCTCCCAGAGGCCCATGCCTCTCAGCCCCAGATCCCAAGTCACACACTTTCCCAGCCAAACCTGGGCGCAGGGCCAACCATGAGCACATCGTCCCCATTCCCAGCCCTCAGCTGGTGTCCCAGCTCACCTGGGTCCTTTCCTTAGGGGAGTCGACCACCACCGTGTCCCCATTCGTGCCCGGAGGGGTCAGTGATGGCCAGTGGCACACAGTACAGCTGAAGTACTACAATAAGGTGGGTGTGCGAGGGGACCAGGGAGTTGGAGGGTTCTGTCCTAGGTGCTCACCCAGACCTGGGTGGTACTTCCTCCAGGGCATGGGTCATGGCACTTCTGGCTGAAAGGGAGAGAAGGGTGGGTATTTGCCACCTTGCTGGGGCATTTCCATTCCAGTGGGTAATCCGAGCTACTCCCTGTTCAGTTAGGCTGACCAAACACGAATGGACATTGATTTAAGCTCATAAGTCGTGTGAATGCACGTTTGTGTGCGTGTGTCGACACAAAGGGATGTCAGCGTGCTCTGGTGTTTTGTGCCTGGCCCACGAACCTGGTGGGCTCCTTGCCCACTGTTTCCCTTCTCTGCCCTTCCCCATCCACAGCCACTATTGGGCCAGACAGGACTCCCTCAGGGCCCATCAGAACAGAAGGTGGCCGTGGTGACCGTGGATAGCTGTGACACAGGGGTGGCCCTGCGCTTCGGAGCTGTGCTGGGCAACTACTCCTGTGCTGCCCAGGGTACCCAGGGTGGCAGCAAGAAGTAAGCAGGGGAGAGGACCAAGTGCTGGGGTGAGGCACGGGGCTAGGCAAGGAGGGATGGTCGAGAGGAGGCTTTTGGGGGCCCTGAAATGGGAACCAGTCTAGATAGGGACCTGCCATCACCTTACTTCCCCTGCCTGCTCAGCCCTCTACGGTGGGAGCAGGCAACACTGGGGGATCAGAGCAGGGCCTTGTGGATTGGTGTAGAGAGGAGATGGGTCTGAGGTGGGAACAGCTCCAGATTGGGGGTGCTTCCCTTGCCTTGGCACTGCTCTCCAGGGTCCCTTGGACTCTGAGGCCCTTCCTCTCTGTAGCAAGGTGTGGGGAGAAGGAAGAGCCACAAGCCGCCCATTCTGCCTCATGTCACCACCATTTTTGCTCCCACAGGTCTCTGGATCTGACAGGGCCCCTGCTGCTGGGTGGGGTGCCTGACCTGCCTGAGAGCTTCCCTGTCCGGACGCGGCACTTCGTGGGCTGCATCCGGAACCTGCAAGTGGACAGTCGGCACGTGGACATGGCCGACTTCATCGCCAACAACGGCACCGTGCCTGGTATGGGAGCCTGGGGTGGGGCAAGGCCAGGAGCCCCATGCACAGAGGAGTGGCTATACCTGGTATGGCGACACCTGAATGCGGGGTCTCAAAACCCCTCCAGCCACTGCCACAGAACCCCCGCCTGAGCCCCCTTCTCTCCATCCTAGGCTGCCCTGCCAAGAAGAACGTGTGTGACAGCAACACTTGCCACAATGGAGGCACCTGTGTGAACCAGTGGGAGGTGTTCAGCTGCGAGTGCCCTCTGGGCTTCGGGGGGAAAAGCTGTGCCCAGGGTAGGAGGAGAGGCCGAGGCCTGGGAGCTTCCAACAGTGCCGGGAACCCTGGCAGGAACAGGCACTGGGCAGGGCCCAGTCGAGCTGCGCTGTGGGTGGAAAAGCATGTCTGAGCAGAGCCCTGAGAGGTAGCACAGGAGACAAAGGGCCCAGTGATAGACAGGCCTGGGCAGTGTGTGTGTGTGTGTGTGGGGGGGGACCAGGGCAGGTAAATGCTCTGGAGGGTGGAGCCGATGAGGGTGTGGGCATTAGGAGAGGCAGTACCCTGCCTCCCAGGAAGCCACCCCCACCGAGCATCCTATCTCCTGAGGCATTTGGCTGCTCCACCCCTCAGTCTGCCTTTATCTGCCTCCCCAGAAATGTCCAACCCACAGCGCTTCCTGGGCAGCAGCCTGGTGGCCTGGCATGGTCTCTCGTTGCCCATCTCCCAGCCCTGGCACCTCAGCCTCATGTTCCGCACACGCCAGGCCAACGGTGTCCTGCTGCAGGCTGTCACCAGGGGGCGAAGCACCATCACCCTGCAGGTGATTCATGAAGGAATAGAGGAAGGTGGGCCCTGGCCAGGGCTGCTGCAGCCTCCAGGGACTGGTTAGAGATGGCCAGGCAGGGTCTTTTCTTTCCAGGAAATGAAAAGGCAGATGGATTGGTTTGGTGGGTCACTGCTGCCATCTATTGGGCTCAAAGGAAATCACACCTTGTTCTCTCTGGCCTCAGTGGGGAAGCAAGATGGGTTTGGTGGTCCAGAAACAGGGACAATAGGCTGGAAAAAGAGTCAATTAAGGTGGTCTGATGACTCTCCTTTCTTTCTTCCCTGTGCCAGCTGCGAGAGGGCCATGTGGTGTTGAGTGTGGAGGGTACGGGGCTCCAGGCTTCATCTCTCCGCCTGGAGCCAGGCCGGGCCAATGACGGTGACTGGCACCATGCACAGCTGGCACTCGGAGCCAGCGGGGGACCTGGCCATGCCATCCTGTCCTTTGACTATGGGCAGCAGCAGGCAGAGGGAAACCTGGGCCCCCGGCTGCACGGGCTGCACCTGAGCAACATCACGGTGGGAGGAGTGCCTGGGCCAGCCAGTGGTGTGGCTCGAGGCTTCCGGGGCTGTTTGCAGGTGAGCATCCTCCCCAAACTTCCCAGCCCACCACCACCACCTGCAGGCCTGCTCCATGGAGGGCCCACACTGCTCCTGTCCTTCCCAGGGTGTGCGGGTGAGCGAGACGCCCAAGGGTGTTAGTAGTCTGGATCCCAGCCGCGGGGAAAGCGTCAATGTGGAGCCGGGCTGTAGCCTGCCAGATCCCTGTGACTCAAACCCATGTCCTGCCAACAGCTATTGCAGCGATGACTGGGACAGCTATTCCTGCAGCTGTGATCCAGGTGAGCCAGGAATCTAAGGAAGTGGGGCAGGTTAGCAGGTACCTGAGGTCTCACTCCGTCTCTGCTGTGTGACCTGGGGCCAGTCACATGTCTCTGAGCCTCATTCTCCTGCACTACAAAGCCATAGCCAACTGGTGTGATGCTCACAGTGGAAGGACGTGGATGAATGCAGGTTTGAAGAAAGTGGTAGGGGAAGGTGGGAACTGAGCCTCTCCCATCCTTCTGGTCCTAGGTTACTATGGTGACAACTGTACTAATGTGTGTGACCTGAACCCATGTGAGCACCAGTCCACGTGTATCCGAAAGCCTAGTGCCCCCCATGGCTACACCTGCGAGTGTCCCCAAAATTATCTTGGGCCATACTGTGAGACCAGGTAAGTGGAATAGGAACACAGTAGCAGGTCCTGGTGGCTCCTACCTATCTCTGGTGTGTCCCTCAGAGCACTGAGAACCTGGATAAGTGGCAGCCAGGGTCAGAAGGTCACACCAGTCAGGAATGGCAGAAGTTCATGCCTGCCTGGGCCCCTCTCTGCAGGATTGACCAGCCTTGCCCCCGAGGCTGGTGGGGACACCCCACGTGCGGCCCATGCAACTGTGATGTCAGCAAAGGCTTCGACCCAGACTGCAACAAGACAAGTGGCGAGTGCCACTGCAAGGTGACAGCCCTGACCTAGGCCTTGACCTCTCTTCTATACCTCCTGGGCCCCTGAGGGGGCAGTGGGGAAAGACTTCCTGCAGAGACGGAGGGCTGTGTACCTTTGCTCTAATGGGGTGGGCAAGTGGCTCTTTGTCCTCATGTGTCTGGGAGTTTGGGAGACCCAGGATGATAGTTAACAAGTGAGCTCTGCGCCAACTGGACTGGTTGTTTTGCTGCCTGTTCTGACTGGTTGGTGTCTTACTGATGGGCTAAACTCCCAATTATTGTCAGTTGTTAAATATCTTGCATACTACTCTTGGTGGGCGGAACCTGAGATCAGGGAGCCTCTCTCCAGAGGGGCCACGCCTGAAAATATCCATGAGCATCCAGGAAGGAGAGCCTGAGCCAGTAACCCTCTCGCTCCCCCCCCCCCCCCCGCAGGAGAACCATTACCGGCCCCCTGGCAGCCCCACCTGCCTCCTGTGCGACTGCTACCCTACGGGCTCCTTGTCCCGAGTCTGTGACCCCGAGGATGGCCAGTGTCCGTGCAAGCCGGGTGTCATTGGGCGCCAGTGTGACCACTGTGACAACCCTTTTGCTGAGGTCACCACCAATGGCTGTGAAGGTGGGGCTCCCTCGATGGGTGGGTGGCCCTCCCCACTGTGTGCCAGGTCCTGGTGTCCCAGGAAGGCCAGAAGCAGGCCCTGGCGGCAGACCTGAGGGAGGGCTGGGAGCCGGGGCAGAGCTGCAGAGGGGATCTGCTCCTGGGTAACCACGTGTCCTTCCCTGCAGTGAATTACGACAGCTGCCCGCGGGCCATTGAGGCTGGGATCTGGTGGCCCCGTACCCGCTTCGGGCTCCCTGCTGCTGCCCCCTGCCCCAGAGGCTCCTTTGGTAGGTGCTGGAGGCCTAGAATGTGATATGGAGGACGTAGCCTCTCATTGGTGGGGTGAGGGCGGAAAGCCCCTGGCTGCAGATCCTGGGAACCCCTTTCTGGCCTCCAGGTCCAGGAGACTCCATGTCCCATCCTTCCCTGGATCATGGCTCCTCTGCTCCCGAGGGTGCCCATATGAAGGGTGCCTACATCTTGGACTCTTAACAAAAGTGCTGAGAAGCCCACAGTGTGCCCAGCACAGGGCTGGGTGGTGGGGATTCACAGATGAATCCCCAGGCCCGGCCGTGTGGCTCAGTGGTTGAGCATCGACCCATGCAATAAGAGGTCGCCAGTTCAATTCCTGGTCAGGGCACATGCCCAGGTTGTGGGCCAAATCCCCAGTGGTGGCATGCAGGAGGTAGCCAGTTGATGTTCTCTCTCATCGATGTTTCTGTCTCTCTCTCCCTCTCCCTTTCTCTCTCTCAAAAAATCAATAAAGAAAAAATGATGAATCCCCAGGGTTCTCAGCCTGAGCTCATCACCTCATTTTGGGATCATGCCACTAGACAGATAGTCTGGGGAGGAGGGGATGTTGGGTACTGTCCCAGGAGACCCAGCCCGGGATGGGTGTTGGTGCTGGTCCTCAGACTGACGAGGAACAGAGTTCTCAAGCAGAGCATGGCTGAGAGCAGAGGTGGTGGCTGGAGAAGGGCAGCGACATTGGGGGGCTCAAAGAGGCCATGCCCCCGTGTTCCTGTAGCCCTTGTTGGGGCTGATCTGGCAGAGGCTTTGGCTTTAGTGTTCTACATACCTGTCTTTCCATTTTTATCCGGGCTGTAGGAGGGCAGGGCCCTTGTTTTCTGTCTTCTATCTCTAGCCCATGAGGTTTCCGTGGCCTCCTGTGGTCTCTTCCTGAGGCAGCCTTCTTGGCTTCCTTCCCCCAGGGACTGCTGTGCGCCACTGTGACGAGCACAGGGGCTGGCTCCCCCCAAACCTCTTCAACTGCACATCAATCACCTTCTCAGAGCTGAAGGGCTTTGTAAGTGAACCTCCTCATTTCCACCTCCTCCCTTTCCTCCCCGCTGCCCAGTCTCACTTGGCCCACCAGCTTTGAGGAAAGGATCCAGCCCCTGCCTCCTGAGGCCCCCACTTGGAGAAGCTGTTTCCCTCCTTTGCTGAGGCCCCTGTATTCCAGAATTCCAGTTACGCCTTCTTTGTACCTCACTGCCACCTTCCGCGCCGACCCCCTGCCTCCCCTTCCTTCTGCCTTCCTCCTAGGCGGAGCGGCTGCAGCGGAACGAGTCGGGCCTGGACTCCGGGCGCTCCCAGCGGCTGGCCCTGCTTCTGCGCAATGCCACACAGCACACAGCTGGCTACTTCGGCAGCGATGTCAAGGTGGCCTACCAGCTGGCCACACGGCTGCTGGCCCACGAGAGTGCCCAGCGGGGCTTTGGGCTGTCGGCCACACAGGACGTGCACTTCACCGAGGTGGGCTCAGAGAGGGCAGTGGTGCCTGACAGTTAGGTGGGGTCTCAGTGAGTGAGTCTGCCCCTAGCAACCTGGGGGCAGAGTTGGGAGCACTCCCTACCCCTGCCTTTGGGCAGCTCCCAGCTGGCACAAGACCATGAGATCTCCTGAGCCACGGTCCAGCACTTGGGTAACTTAGAACACCTCTTCCCAACACTTCATAGCAAGGTGCCCTTAAAAATTAATATTTGTATTGGAGCTTGGTCTGACCAGGCTTCTCTGCCCTCAGTGCCAGCAGGGGGAGGAATTGGCGTCTAATACGTTGGGCAGGTCCAGGCACAGGGCCTGGGCAGCTCTCAGGGATGAAGAGGAAGAGTTAGAGGGAGGGAAAAGTGGGCTGGTCTAGGCACAGGCTGGGGCCTGGTGGTGGGGACGAGAGGTGTGGGGCTGTGGGCACAGCCCACTGTGATGATGCCCACCCCCAGAATCTGCTGCGGGTGGGCAGTGCCCTCCTGGACGCGGCCAACAAGCGGCACTGGGAGCTGATCCAGCAGACAGAGGGCGGCACGGCCTGGCTGCTCCAGCACTATGAGGCCTACGCCAGCGCCCTGGCCCAGAACATGCGGCACACCTACCTAAGCCCCTTCACCATCGTCACGCCCAACATTGGTGAGACTGCTGCCCGAGGCGGAGAGGGTTTTGTGGAGAGAGTCCTTGGCACTGCCGTGCTGGGGCCCTGCCTGCCTCGCCCATGGTCTGATTGACCCGCATCCCTTCCCTAGTCATCTCTGTAGTTCGCTTGGACAAGGGAAATTTCGCTGGGGCCAAGCTGCCCCGCTACGAGGCGCTGAGGGGGGAGCGGCCCCCGGACCTAGAGACAATGGTCATTCTGCCCGAGTCTGTCTTCAGAGGTCAGTGGGGGTCTAAGGGTGAGTCAAAGGTCAGGCTGGAATGTCTGTGCAGGGCCTTGCTGAGTGGACATTGTTCCTATCCCAGAAGCACCCCCCGTGGTCAGGCCCGCAGGCCCTGGAGAGGCCCAGGAGCCAGAGGAGCTGGCACGGCGTCAGCGGCGGCACCCAGAGCTGAGCCACGGTGAGGCTGTGGCCAGTGTTATCATCTATCGCACTCTGGCTGGGCTGCTGCCCCATAACTATGACCCGGACAAACGCAGCCTGAGGTGAGCAGCTGGGGAGACAAGGGGAAGGAGGAGTGGGGGTCAGGGTGCGGCTGATGGGTGAGTGCTGAGGCATAGAGCAAGGCCAGGGGTTGGGGTGTGCCCCAGTTACACGACTACCATGGTGATTGTGGACCTGCTTGCCCCGTCAGGGTTCCCAAACGTCCTGTCATCAATACGCCTGTGGTGAGCATCAGTGTCCATGACGATGAAGAGCTTCTGCCCCGCGCCCTGGACAAGCCAGTCACTGTGCAGTTCCGGCTCCTGGAGACAGAGGAGCGAACCAAGCCCATCTGTGTCTTCTGGAACCATTCGATCCTGTGAGCCTGCACTGCCCTACCCCTTGAGGCTTTGGGCCCCTGGGCACCACACCCTCCTGGCTCTTGACCCTGCCTCCCTCCTGCAGGGTCAGTGGCACAGGTGGCTGGTCAGCCCGAGGCTGTGAAGTCGTCTTCCGAAACGAGAGCCATGTCAGCTGCCAGTGCAACCACATGACAAGCTTCGCTGTGCTCATGGATGTGTCCCGACGGGAGGTTGGACCCACAGGGGACCTGCAGAGCTGGGGGTGGGAGCCCAGGGCACTGTGCCGGGTGCTCAGGCCCTGCTCTTCCTAATCCCGTCTCTTGCCACCCACCCTGCAGAATGGGGAGATTCTGCCACTGAAGACACTGACATATGTGGCCCTAGGGGTCACCTTGGCTGCCCTGTTGCTCACCTTCCTCTTCCTCACTCTCCTGCGTGCCCTGCGCTCCAACCAGCACGGCATCCGGCGGAACCTGACTGCTGCTCTGGGCCTGGCTCAGCTGGTCTTCCTCCTGGGAATCAACCAGGCTGACCTCCCTGTAAGATGTCCCTCTTTACCAGTGCCCAGTGCTCTTAGCTCTCAGGCTCCCTTATGAGACCTCCCCACCCCCACTTTCAACCCAGCTCCTGCAGTAGTAACTGACAAAGAGCCCAGCCAGGCCTGGCCCATGGTTTCCTCTCCCTGTCTCCCCTTACTTCCCCAGCACCCTATAAGCACCTTCCTCTGGCCCAGACTCCCCCGAAGCACCTCCCAAAACCCAGGTCCTTGCCCTCTGCCTGACGAGAGCAGAAGCCCACCTCTGGGGGTGCCCGCCGCTGACCTGGCCTGGGCCCTCAGTTCGCTTGCACAGTCATCGCCATCCTGCTGCACTTCCTGTTCCTCTGCACCTTCTCCTGGGCTCTGCTGGAGGCCTTGCACCTGTACCGGGCGCTCACCGAGGTGCGCGACGTCAATGCTGGCCCCATGCGCTTCTACTACATGCTGGGCTGGGGTGTGCCTGCCTTCATCACAGGTACCGCACCCCGGTTCCGGATCTCGAGGTTCTACATCCCTTCGTGGTCCACCATCATGCCATATTCTCCCCACCCATATCCCAGGCCCAGAAGCCCCACATCCTGATGCCGTAGGTCAGGTTCTCCATAGGTGTCCTTCTGATTGAACCCGGTCCCTGAAGCCCCCACCCAGGGGTTGGGACCCCCGTCCTGGAGAGGATGGCATGGACAGATGGTGGGCTGCACCCGTCATTTTCTGGTCCTGGCCCTGTGAGCCCACTTGGCCACCTGACGAACTCTGAGCACTGACCACCCTCCCTTGCTGCTGTCACCATGCTCCCAGGTCTAGCCGTGGGCCTGGACCCTGAGGGCTACGGGAACCCCGACTTCTGTTGGCTCTCCATCTATGATACCCTCATCTGGAGTTTCGCTGGCCCCGTGGCCTTTGCTGTCTCGGTAAGTGCTGGAAGGTAGGCTGGCGGGTAAGTGAGTCCTTGAACCGCCGAGGCTGCCAGGCCCCTGTGAGGTGGAAGCTATCTGGCCTGTGATGATCCCCCTCATGCCTTCCCTTCCCGTTAGATGAGTGTCTTCCTGTACATCCTGGCGGCCCGGGCATCCTGTGCTGCCCATCGGCAGGGCTTTGAGAAGAAAGGCCCTGTGTGAGTACAGGGTGTGGGTCCCTGGGCAGTGGGTGGGCAGTGGTGTGGGGGGCCTCAGGGCCCCACTCACAGCCTGCCCCTCCCCGCAGCTCAGGCCTGAGGCCCTCCTTTGCTGTCCTCCTGCTGCTGAGTGCCGCGTGGCTGCTGGCACTGCTCTCCGTCAACAGTGACACCCTCCTCTTCCACTACCTCTTTGCTGCCTGCAACTGCATCCAGGTGCCCAGCCTAGCCCATGTGGGAGCCCCATGGAGACGGGAGGAGAAGCCTGGTTGTGGGTACTTGAATAAGCACTGAGACAGTTGCTACCTCCTGCCTGCCAGGGCCCCCTCATCTTCCTCTCCTACGTGGTGCTTAGCAAGGAGGTCCGGAAAGCTCTCAAGTTTGCCTGCAGCCATAAGCCGAGCCCGGACCCTGCTCTGACCACCAAGTCTACCCTGACCTCGGTGAGGGGGCCGGGGCTCAGGGAGGTGGAGAGGTCTTGGAGGGTCGGGGGAGAGGCAAGAGGCCCTAGGAGCCTGTTCTCTGGCCCCACGTTTTCTCCATCCCTACATCCTTTCCTGGAAGAAGGAAGGGGCGGTGCAGTGGTAGGTGTGGCCTGGGAAAAGCGGGACTTGAGGGCTGGAGAGGAGGGTTTTGATTTGGGAGAGATGGGCATGGAACTTGAAAGAGTCAGGTGAGGAAGTGGTCAAGATAGGTAATCAGGTCATGAATGCCCACTACCTGAGAATCCTCTGGGACTCTTGGTAAATTTTCTCTGCCTCCCAGTATGCTCTCAGGAGATAGTTCCTAGTGCCATCTTTTACCAACAAGCCCGTACACAGCCAAGTCCAGGGTACTTGGGGTGCATAGGACTGCACAGGTATGGCAGAGCCAGAAGCACTACTCAGCCCTGCGATGGGGGGCAGTAGAGATGTGGGCCTCACTCTTCCAGACCTGGGGATGTGGAGGTAGAACCTAGGGTAGGTTCCCTCAGCTCTTTATTTCTAGCCTAGAAATCTTGCTCCTCCTCTTACTGACCTCTCTGTTCCCTGCCTAGTCCTACAACTGCCCCAGCCCATATGCAGATGGCCGGCTGTACCAGCCCTATGGAGACTCAGCTGGCTCTCTGCACAGCGCCAGCCGCTCGGGCAAGAGTCAACCCAGCTACATCCCCTTCTTGCTGAGGTGAGCCCTGGCGATGGGAGGGCTGGGCAGGGGAGAAGAGCACTGTCATGTCAGATCCAGGCCAGCCCGCTGCTGAGAGTGCACAACACGGCTGACACCGGTGACAACTTGAATTAGAAGCAGAAAGGGACACAGGGCAGGAAATGGAAAACCCAGGAGAGTGGAACACTGGGCAAGGGGCCAGGCTGACCCCTCCAGCATGGTCTTGTCTTCTTAGGGAGGAGTCCACAATGAACCCTGGTCAAGGGCCCCCTGGCCTGGGGGACCCAAGCAGCCTATTCCTGGAAGGTCAAGACCAGCAGCATGGTGAGGACAGATGCCTCTGATGGCTAGTCAGGTGGGGGGCAGGGGGCAGCTGCCTGGGTTTTGCTGGGAGTGGGCAGAGGCAGGTGGGCCGGCTGTGATCTCTCTCCTACTTCCCAGATCCTGACACAGATTCTGACAGTGACCTGTCCCTAGAAGATGACCAGAGTGGCTCCTATGCCTCTACTCACTCGTCAGACAGCGAAGAGGAGGAGGAAGAAGAGGAGGCAGTCGCCTTCCCTGGAGAGCCAGGCTGGGACAGCCTGCTGGGGCCCGGAGCCGAGAGACCACCCCTGCACAGTACCCCCAAGGGTGGGCCAGCACCAGGGCTGTGGCCTTTGGGGGCAATGGAAGGGCAAAGGGCCTGGGGTTCCTGGGAGGCAGCACTAGGGTGGTGACTCTCTTAGCTGGCCCACAGGCATCTCTGGGACTCACCCACTTCCTTCCTCCATCAGATGGGGTCCCAGGGGCCGGGAAGGTCCCCTGGCCAGACTTTGGGACCACAGCAAAGGAAAGTGGTAGCAATGGGATCTCTGAGGAGCGGCCTCGGGAGAATGGAGATGCCCTGCCTTGGGAGGGGTCCCTGGGCCCCCTCCCAGGCCTTTCTGCCCAACCTCACAAAGGTGAGTGGGCAACCTCACACCTCACATTTGCCCTGTGGCCGTGGGGCGCTCGAGGGCAGCCCCATGCTCCCACCACCTGCTTCTCATGGCACCTTCCCTCCTGGCCCACAGGCATCCTCAAGAAGAAATGTCTGCCCACCATCAGTGAGAAGAGCAGTCTCCTACGGCTACCCCTGGAACAGGGCACAGCGTCTTCTCGGGGCTCCTCAGCCAGCGAGGGCAGCCGGGGCGGGCCCCCTCCCCGCCCACCACCCCGACAGAGTCTCCAGGAGCAGCTGAATGGGGTCATGCCCATTGCCATGAGCATCAAGGCAGGAACGGTGGATGAGGACTCATCAGGCTCCGAGTGAGTGTGGCTGGGTGAGCGGGACAGGGTGCAGTGGCCCCGCTGGGCTCCGAGCTGCCTCCAGGCTTTCCCAGCGTGCTCTGGTTGGCAGTCAGGGGACAAGGGGCAGAGTTTGCTCCCAGCTCCCTCACTGCGATGTGCCCATAAACCACAATGCCCTGTGGGGTCAGTGCAGCCTGGCATCAGGCAAAGTGAGGGAGGGTGGGGAGCTGGGGTTGCTTTTCTGTTTCCTTCTTCTGGTGATAGCTTCTCACTGTCTCCTCTGCTCCGACTAACTCTGTCTGCCTTTTCTGTCACTTTCCTTTCCTGCCTCTCCAGATTTCTCTTCTTTAACTTCCTGCATTAACCCTGGGCCGTGGTTCCTACACCCTGAGGCTCCCTTGCCTTCCCCAGCGGCACTCATGCCCCCACTCCTGTCTTGTGCTTTATCCTGCCCCCGCTTCCCACCACCTGCCTACCTGCCCGCAGCGATGAAACGTCCATCTGAGGAGCCTGGGCCTTGCCAGGAGGGGCACCCACCCCACCCAAGGCCATCTAGTGCCAACTCCCTCCCCCACCAACCCCCTCACTGCACTTTGGACCCCTGGGGCCAACATCTCCAAGACAAAGTTTTTCAGAAAAGCGGAAAAAACGAATTTAAAAAAGGATCTCCACTCTTCATGACTTCAGGGATTAATTTTTTTTATATGCTGGAAACTGACTCCCCATTCCCTTCCCAAAGAGGATAGGACCTCCCAGGATGCTCCCCAGCCTCTCCTCGGTTTCCCATCTGCTGTGCCTCGGGGAGGAGAGGGACTCTAGGGGGACCTTCCCCTCATTTGCCATCACCAAAAGGAAAGGACAAAGCCACATGCACCCAGGGCGCCCAGCCCTGCAGGCTGCCCCGGGCGGGCCTCAGTATGGCGAGGGTATCAGGGCAGAGGGAGTGCCTCACCCCGCCTGTGCCACCCCTCCCAGGAACTGACGAAGCCCCGTTCTCGGAGAGGGGGCAGAAGGACTCAGTGCCCCCAGACCCCCAAATGCTGCATGAACACATTTTGAGGGGAACCCGTGCCCCAGCGGTGGCTGGGCCACCCCAGCTCCTCTCCTTTTCCTGGTCTCCGGCCATGTGCTGCAGCCCAGGCGTTTGCTCAGTTTGCTGACCCAAAAGTGCTTCATCTCCCTGCCGGACCCGCACGTGGGGAAGGCCAGTCATGTTAAGTTGCGCTTCTTTGCTGTTGTGTGGGTGGGACCGGGAGGAAGAGTAAATTTAGTGCTTGCTCAGTTGCTCCCAGCACCGGTCTCAAGTCTGGGTTCTGGGGTCCACTCACCCACACCCCCCAAGATCAGACAGACCTCACTTTGTCTGACCTGCTGTGGCCTCTGGAATGTGTTCTATTTTTAACCCCTTCTGGGAATTGGCTCTCTTCTTCAAAGGACCAGGTCCTGTTCCTCTTTCTCCTGCTCCCCCCACCTCAGCTCCCTGCGAAGAGAGAGTTAATATATATTTTTTATTTATTTGCTTTTTTGTGTTGGGATGGGTTCGTATCCGTTCCCGGGGGTCTGATGTGGCTGTTACAGGTTGGGTGTGTACCCAGCAGTCCTGGTGTGGGCCCCGAGGCCCTTCCCCTTGCTCCAGGCTGTCATCTCCCCCCCTCTCCTCCCCTCTTCTCAGTTTTGCCAACTGCTGTTCATTTCAGTCACCATTTATGCTAAGCATGTATTCCAGGCTTGTCACGGACTTTCCTCTGGAGCAGGTGCAAATGCTCGTTTCTCATTTGTAAGGCTGGTCTCTGGCTTTCCTGCCATGGATTCTCCTCAATCCCTCCCCTCAGCAATTCCTGCAAAAGTTTAAAAATTTCACTGGTTTTCACTACTGATGACTTGACTTAAAAAATACAAAGATGCTGGATGCTAACTTGACACTAACCATCAGATTGTACAGTTTGATTGTTACTGTAAATATTGTAGGGTTTTGTGGTTTTTGTTTTGTTTTTTCATTTTCCCATACTACTGAATAAACTAGTTCTGTGTGGGTTGAGCATCGTCACCATTGCTTCTGTGTGGTACCCCATCTTTCCAGAGGGAGGGAGGCCTGGCCTCTGGAAAACAAGAGCAGGCAGGACCAGGAGGTTGGCTGCTGGTACAAACTAGACACTACCAACATCCCAGCAGTGCTCCCCAAATAGCCCATCAGCACAGAGCCCATGTCCTGGCATTTCCAAGGAAGATGTGGCAGGAAAGTATCGTTTTCCTAAGAAGGAACTTGTATAGCTAGAGTGGAGGCTGCATAGAGCAGGCAGGTTTTCAGCCCAACCCCTTAGGGCTTACATCCTGTAGGCAGATTTCAGGAGACAGGGTGGGCTGAGTTGAGAAGCTGGTGGGAATTTCAAGGTGCTCAGTAATGGTACCCCCTAACTCTACTTCTCTGGGCTTTTGTGTTTTTTCCCCAATGGAAATGAAGCAGCTACTCATACTCCAAGCCAACTATGTACTCTGTAACAGTACTTCTATTCCCAAGTTTTATGTTTTTTAAAGGTCTGTTCAACAAACCAGGTAAGGAGCTAACATGGGGGCAATTGAGGGTAGTTATTAGAACACAAACCCAGGCCCTGGCTGGGTAGGTCAACTGGTTAGAGCATCGTCCTGATAAGTTAAGGTTGTGGGTTCGATCTCTGGTCAGGGCACATCCAAGAAGCAATTAATGAATGCACAAATAGGTGTAACAACAGATCAGTGTTTCTCTCTCCTCTCTCTCTAAAGTGAATAAATAAAATAAAATAAAAAAACAGTAACAAAAACACACAAACCCAGGAACTGGATTGAGTGACTTCATCTCTCTGGGCCTTAGCTTCTCTGCTTGCAAAATGAGGATGATAATAACATCCACCTAATTGAGCTTTTATGAGAATTAAATGAGTTAACACATGTAAAGTGCTTAGAACAGTTCACAGTGCATAGCAAGTAAGAGGCCAATAAACGTTGCCTTCCCTTGTTGCTACTGGCTGGGGACGGGTGGATGCATAAAGAGAAGAATAGAAAGCCAGACCTAAGGGAAAGAAGCAAGCAGGTAGCTGAACAAGGATGGCTGTGGCAGGCAGGCCTCCTCCCTGGCTGGCACTGCCTACTGCATGTGGCTCAAGCAGGTGTGGAGTGGACAGGAGTGGAGGTGGGCACAAAACTCAGGACAGACCACGAAGGTCAAAGGATCACGACTTGTCCTCTCTGGCCACCAGGTGGCAACAGCACATGGGTTTGCTGCTCCTTTGCCTCTGAGGACCCACCAGGACCTGGTCCAGACCCAGGCCACACCTGCCATCTGCTGGCCACACCTATGTGTGTGCCTAGGCTTGCCACACATGTACGCACTAAGGGGTTGGGCTGTCAGAGCCAGTGGTGACTAATAGGCCCTGCTCACTAGACCAGTGTGGGATCCAGCTGGGAAACACACCTCTGCCAAATTTCTGGAGTCAAATACTGTGTGTCTTCACACCTTCTCCCCCAACTCAGTTCCTGGAATCCCAGAGCTGCCAGAGGCCGAGGGAAAAGTTAATATCTAGGCAGATCTCAGTGTGCTAGAGGTGAATGTGTGAAATGAACTTGAGGATCAGCCACAGAGAAAAAAGCAGTGGAGGGTCTCTGGCCTGGGAACAGAGGAAGAGCACTTCAGTACTTAAGTATAGCGCTTATGGGTGTATAAACCTTGGTGGGGTGGGCACCAGCTGGCATCCACTTCCTTCACCCAGTTGCCTGCTGGCTTCCTCAAGTCATGGCCTGGCCTTCAAGAGGGATATTCTCTCAAAACTCACAAGGAATTGAGTTGGTTCTGGTTGCAAAGTCAAAGGCTATGAGAAGAGGGAAACCATTAGTTAAATCTGCTATAAGTGAGCCTTTGTCATTCATTGAACTACCACCCATCTTACACTCAATATTTTTTCAATAAATGAATGAGATTCTCTGCCACATACAAATCACAACAGTAGGCCCTGGTGCCAGTCCTTGAGTCTATAAAGATAAGAGGAGAACACCAACAATTCTAATGAAGTAAAGGAGAATGTGAGGAGGTATCCTGGTATCTTTCGCCTGCGGCAATAAGGGAGGCTGAATACCAGGGTACCCAATGAAGGGCCCCCTAAGCCCCTAAGTACAGCAGACAAGATGCTCAAGAGTTCCTAGGAGACTCCATTTTCTTGACATGTAAGGACACCCAAGTTAAAGATATAATAAATAATAATCTACCAAGACCCTGGCTTGATAGTCTCACATACTGTGAATTAAGCTATACTTAACTTGATCTGAACCTTTTCATAACATTCAAACCCTGGGAAAAGGCAGCCTGTCCCCATCTAACGCCAACAAGAGGGTCAGTTACATCCTGATTAGCTGGAATCTCAAGGCCCATCCTGGCTCCCTCATTGGAATTACAGAGGCGTTCACTCCAAATTTGTTAGAAATTGGAGCAGGGTTTACTTTCACATTTACAGAGAATATAAAAATACACTCATTTTATTTTAGAAAAATGTAGGCCAAAGGAGTAAGCTTATCATAAACTGGCCTGTTAAGATTCACAGAATTGAAAGGAAACAAGTTCTGGAGGCCAGGTGCCTGCCCCTGCTTCTCCAAACAGGCTGGAGTCCAGCAGAGGATGTGATTCAGGGAGAGCAGGGGGTTAGCTACAGAGGCCATTCACATGTAAATGCCCAGTGAACACTGCCTGGGAAGAAGATCAAACTCTGGGGGATGAACACAGGAGGGGGGCGGGGCGGGGATGGATGAGGACAACCCACTCTCCTGCATTTCACTGGCTAGGGCTCATCTGTTTGTTAATTTCACTGTCAGGATGTGTGACTCTTTCCCCTAATTTTTCAATCCAGAGTTTGCATTGCCTCCAGCTCAACCCTGATCCACCCCATCTCCCTGGGGCACCAGGCTTGATGGCATCTCTTCCTCTTGCCCCAGGGCCAGCATCTGCAGGAGTCAGGAACTGCCTCTGATGAGAGCACTTGGGAGGCTGGAGAAGAGGTAGTCCAGGCAGTAACTGTAGTGGTTTGCTACTGAATTCTTGCTTGCTATCCTGATCTCTTTACCTAGAGACAGAAGAAGGAACTGCTTTATTGCCCTTCTTCCTCAAGCCCACGTCACCCAGCTGAGCTCAAGTTTCTCAGGAAGAAATGGGACACCTGAACCTCCAGGGTCCCCTCCTCTTCCCCATACTTGACACACAGGATTATGGCTGATGTGCTTAACAGGTCAAAGCCCAGACGACAGGGGAGGGAGACAGCACCTCAACCAGCCTTACCTGGTCGGTCCTGTAACTGCAACTTTCCTGGGGGGCTGCAGATTGCTGTGAGTGGCACTAGGAAGATTTGGTCGCTGGGAAACAGGAACTTGATGGGGGTTAACAAAAGAAATGAGTTAGCAAACAGTTCAAGTGACCTCCTCACAAAGATAAATACTGGATGAAGGCAGGGTGACTTTAGGTTTAGTACCTTCCCTCTCATCCAAGGAAAAGGTATTTGAAAACCAAGCTTCAAACTCTTGGTTCAGGCCCACATTCTCTCCTTAACTCATCATCTTCGAATAGAGTTATAATGAAGATGGACAAAGTGGTCACTGTTACCAACTCTGGGAGGGTGCAGTCAAGCTGGGCAAAGGTAGGTATTCCTACTTCTGACTTCTCGTCCTTATGTCCATTCTTTCTTACCTCTGTGCCCTGCAGCGCTTGGTCTTGGAAGTCCTTTCCGAGTTGACATTGAATCTGAAGTTTGGGCACCTTTGCTGGGTGGTACAATCCGGCTAGTGAGTGGCACTCGGCTGACAGGCTTGGGGATGGCTGAGGGAACAGGTAGTCGACTGGAAGCTTTAGCAGCTGCTCCCTGTGGCCGAGACAGGCGCTGAGAGTTGCTGGTAGAAGGCTGTGGGGCCAAGACTGGTCTGACGGGGACAGGGGGGCCTAGTGCAGAGGGTAGAGGAATTTTAGGGTAAGCTCCACATGCTCCCTACTCCCATTCACCCACAGCTTTGCTGCCCAGGTCCTCTTACTTGCTGTTGCTCTCCCACTGGGTCCAGCTTTCCCCCTGATTGGAGGAGTTGATCGGGCAAGGGGAGAAGATGCTGGGCTTTTGGATGTGGGGAACAGACTGCAAGTGGGCGACTCCTGAAACACAAAGAGAGAGAGAGAGAAAAAAGAGACTAACATGGAAAGAGAATCTGTTCTGCTGGCTGATTAAGGGATAGAGGTGGAAAGTTGCCTAGAACCCAGTAAGGAAGGGCAGAAGTTAGCTGCTAACATCACCACCACCACCAACACAATTTATTGACAGCTTATTACAGATGTTACAGAGCTCTGCACAGACTCAGTGGAAAGTGCATGCCTTACGATATCTTGTTGAATTCCAACACTTCTATGAGGTAGAATTTCACTATCCCCATTTTACGAACGAGAAAACCACTCTATGCCTGTACTGTATCTGGGGCCACACACCCAGCCCAGATCCTCTAAACTCACCCTCTTCACGCTGGAGGGTCTCTTTCCAGATGTTGCCCGAAGAGCCCTGACTGATCCCTTCCTATCGCTGCTCCGGAGTCGGGGTGTCAGGCTGCTTGGAGAGGGGGTGCTCCGAGCCAAAGAGCTCACAGTGGGTAGCAGGTCTCGGACAGGACTGTCCTTCAGCACAAAGGTCTCCCGCCGAGGGCTGGGCTTCAGCCTGCGAGGCCCGAGGCCCTCGCCTGTCCTCTCCCGCTCCTGCAGGGCACACTGCTCCAGCTGCACTGCCAGCCTGTTGGCCTCGTCCAGGATCTCCTCCAGCTTCTCTGGGCTGAGGCGGCCTAAGCTGAACCTCACACCCTGGGGGATGGGGGCCACCGCATTTAGGCCACCTCGGTGGGAGAGGCCTCGTCGGAGGGGTTTCTCTGGAGTCGCCAACACTGCTATGTCTTCCTCCTCACGACTGAGACAGAAAACAAACCAGGCACCGTGCCCACACAGAAGAGAGCAGGAGACTGTGCAAGGGAGACTGGGACACAACAGAGCCAGGGACACAACCCCAAATCCCAATGCCCACGCTGGCCTCCCGGTGAGATCTGCTTCTATGAGACCTAACAGGCCTTTAGCATTTAATGACATTGGAAATTGCGCAGGGATGAAGATGCAGCAAATCCATTTATCCTTCTTAACACCCTGCAACCTCATTCCAACTTCTCCCTTCTCCCCTTCCCCAGTAGTGTTGTCATAAGGGCCCAAGCAAACCAGCCACCAGCAGCTCCAACGCACCCAACCTTGCTAAATTACCAAACCCTATAAGTAGGATAAAGAGGCTGGTACCTGTCGGATGGTGACAGCCTTCCAAAGTCCAAGGTCTCATCCACTATAAACTTTACATCTGTCGGGGAGGAAAGAATGAATGCCAGTAGTGGGTCCCTAACACGGCTCTCAAGCGGAGTCTCGATCTTCCCTCCTGGATTCCCTTACCTTCCTGCAAATCTCCCATGTTCCGGCCAGCAGGGGCAGAAGTCTTCTTAGACCTGAACTGGGGACAAAGCATACCTTTCCTCAGGTCTCCATCCTGCCCAAGGCTCCCGACTAGGCTCAGTGCAAGCCAGGGGTTGGGGTCCCGCTGGGGTAAAGCAGGCGTCCCAGGAGCAGCACCTGCTTCGCTCTGCTACCGTTATCTCCGGGGAAGTCGTGCAGAGCTCCCCCGATGGCCCTATCGCCCTCCGCAGGTTGCCTCCCTGCCCCTCTGCGGGCCGCCTCTCCTCCCTGGGGGCGCTCTACGCTCCCTATCTTCCTCCCAGCCACCGTCCTCCGGGCTCTTCCCCTCCCACAAGCCACCTTCCCACTCCTCGCGGCACCACACCCACAGCCTAACGGAGTTTCCACTCCTGCTCCGCCACACGTTCCGCCGACAGGGATTTTCTCCCACAACTTAGTCCCGGGACTCAGCTCCGAGGGGAGGGGCTCCTTTCAAATCTCTCAGGCCCCACCCACTCCGACCACATACGCGCCGTGGTTGGCGGATCCCTGCATCCAGCCCTCGGGGGGCGGGGCAGAGGAGGGCAGCTGGCCGGAAGTCTGCAGGTTGGGGCGGGGAGAGCGCTTCCCAGAAAGACTCCATCCGGGAGGCTGGAGCGGGTGCCCGCGAGCCGCGCGCGTGCCCGGGAGGCCTTCGCGGGCCAATGAGCGTGGGTTTCGCTCCCGATCACCACGTCGTCTCTTCCTCGTCCTGTTTGGAGGAGCGGGCTCGTGACCCCAAGGGCTCGTGTGTTCCCCTAACGCCCCTCGCGGCGGGGGACCCCGAAACGGACGCCCCGCCTGAGGAAATTCGTTTCCTTGCGCTCACGCCCGGTGCTGGCGCCGCGTTTGCCAGATTTCCTCAGGGGCGACCTTTCCAAGTTGTACACATTGGTCATTAAGTTTGTTGAGGTTGTCTGAGGAGTACATCTCCCACGGCTTTTAAAGCAACGTTCAGAACCTGGGGCGGTCAAGGTGTGAAGAAAACGAGGGATCCAATCGACGGTTACAAAAGAGCCAGGGGGCCGCCGGCGCGGCCCAGGGGTTGGGTGTGGACCCTGCACCAGGAGGGCGCCCTGCATTCTGGGCGGGCACATGCCCGAGCTGCGGGCCCATCCTCGGTGGGGGCAGGCAGGAGGCAGCCGGTGATGTCCTCCCTCATCCACCTGTCTCCCTGTCCCTTCCTCTCTCTTAAAAATCAATAAAGAAAAAATAGCCAGGGGGACGGAAGGTCCAGCACAGGGAACATAGGCAATAATACTATGATAACTGTGTGTGGTGCGTACTAGGGTTGTCAGGGCGTTCACCTCTTAAGTTATATGCACATCGAAACACCATGCTATGCACCTGAAACGAATCATTGAATGTCAACTGTAACTGAAAAACATTTTTAAATAAAGTAAAAGTAGTGGGAAAGAAATAAAAAGGAAAACAATGGGCTTTAAAGACAGGGAGAATTGGGTTCAAATTCAACCCTGACTCCTGGGTTTACATGGGAGGCAGGCTTGAGTCTATTTTTATATTTGACCCCTGGATTATCTATGAAGGAAAGATAGTGACAGTCACAGTGATATGATTCAGAGCATAATTATGAATATCAAGTTTTTTGTTTTTTAATCCTCACCCGAGGACATTTTTCCATTCTTTGTTCAGGTAGAGTGGGAGGGAGAGAGATCGATGTGAAAGGGACACATCGAGTGGCCGCCACCCACACAACCAGCCAGGGCCAGGGACAAACTGTAGGGCCGGGGACAAACTGTAAGCAACCTTGGCGGGAACTGAACCCTTAGCGGGAACCGAACCCGGGTCTGTCAGGGACCGCAGGTCAATGCTCTAACCGCTGAGCCAAACTGGCCACGGCGAATATCAAGTTTTATATCGTGTGCTTTAGGGACTTTTGAGGGGGTTTGTAACTTACTGCCTCTAAACTCAAAGCTGTGTCTGTAAACCTCTTAAACCTGCTTATTAGGTATTTTCTCTCTGTTGTTTCCAGGTATTGACTGGGAATAGACAGGGCCACCAGGGCTTCTTAGAAATGTTCTAAAAATTAAAAGGTCCTAAAAGTGGCCAAAGACCTTTCCTGGAAACAAAGAGCCTGAACTTTAGTCTCCAGCGTTTGTGACCATTATTTGGGCCATTTATGGGCTTTTTTGTTTTACTTCCTGTTTTGGGGGGTGCCATTGAGATGGTGAGGGTTGCAGCAGCGAGATGTTGCTGTGATGCCGCAGGTAGCAAAGGAGCCCGGAATTTAGCAGAGTGATAAGGAAAGGGTGGGGAGGCCCAGAACTTGCAGGCTTAGGTGAGGAAAACCTGAGAGAGGAGGATTGCTCCTTATTCCCCAGGCTTGCTGGTGAAAGTGGAATTTTGGTTGCTCATAGGATTCAGGTTCTGGGAAAGCTAGAGCCAGACACCTCCCTTGCTCCAGTCAGTGGCAAAGTGGAGATCTGGGGGAAAGAAGCTGTTAATTAACTGCACTTTTTCTTCCCCTAGAAGCAGCCTGAGTGGAGAAACGCTGCACTTACTTCTTCACCCACCTACAAGTAAGCAGAGGAAGCAGTTTTAGCAAATCGGAAGTTGGTTTCTCCTAAGGAAACTCATCTCCAATTTTCTATTGCTGAGTTATGATTTTGAAAGCTGTTGTAGTACCAGGAAAAAAAAGCAATGGAATTGCTTTTCCAAATGACAACAAAGTCAGAAAAGAACAGATTTTAGGCACAAGAATTCTTCACTTAGCATTAGGCCACTAATCTGGGAAATATTTGTCCTCCTTAGCTCAACTGCAAATTATATACATGTATGAATAGGTGTTTAAGATTTTTGGATCAATACTGAAGTGAATTAATGAAGAAATTACACCCCTTCCCAGGCATATGGTAGGCCTTAGTTCAGAAGGTGCTAAACAGTGTTGAATGCATAAATGAAAAAATTAAAGATTCCAGTGCAGTTCTTGAACTCAGAAAGAGTACCTATGACTGGGGGTCTTGTTCAGTGTGAAAATTTTATCCCTTCACCATGAAGGTTAACAATGTATGAACTTTAAGGGATGGCCCTTGAGTAGTTTAACAAACAGCAGAGGCAAGGGTCTGTGGGCTGAGGCCAGAGGTATAACTGATCCTTAGGGCATCATAGCTGGGAGTATTTCACTCCTTCCTGGCCTAGGCCCTGCTTGGCTGGAGCTCCCTCTTGGCCCTTGTGTATATGACTGGCGGGCCCTGAACTCTGCCCCACCCCACCCCCAACAGTCTCAGCAGGGGTTACATGCATTAGACCTTACAAATGATTTATGTGACTATTTTCTCAATTTTCCCAAGGATGGTACATAACTAGCCATATTCTAGATGCATAGGAAGAAGTTAATTTATGATACACAATGAATGCCTTGGGGCATTAGCACTTAATTCTCATAGAACTTCGGTTGAGAAAGGCTGGAATAGATACTTTGCCTCAACTTAAAATAGACCTTTGGTCTGAACAGAAAAGCCTTTCACACTCTTCTCAGCCAAAACACATCCCCTTTCGCCTCAAAACCTTGCCTAATATTTACTGGATCCTGGAAATCTTTTTTATTCTTAAGTCCATACATACTACAGCGGGGGTCACAGAGTAAAAGAAATGAGAGGAAATAGGGAAGGCTTGAGGTCAAACGCACCTGGATCAAATGCTAGTCTGTTACTACCACCTGCATACTTGGAGCAATGTATGAGCTTCAGTTTACTCTTTTATAAAATGAATATTAGAGAGACAAAGCTCTTAGTTCAATGACAGCTGCATAGAAGGCTGTTTTAGTTATATACATACTGGGGCAAAAGTAGGTTAACAGTTATTCATATAGAAAATAATACAGTAATTTATAAATAACAATACAACAATAAACTCTGTGTTTTATGTAATCACAACTATAAACCTACTTTTGCCCCCCCCCCATTACTATGTGTAACAAACCACCCCAATATTCAGTGGCTTGAAAAACAGTAACCATTTATCTGCTCATGATTTCATGATTTGGGCAGGCTCTGCAGGGACAATTTGTCTCTGCACCACAAGGAGTAGACTGGACTTACTATGGCTGAAGGGTCCAAGGTGACCACATATGTCTACAGCCTTGGTTCTGTCAGTCAGCCAGGCTGCCTGGTTGTCCTGTATATGGCATTTAATAATTGAGCAATCTATTCTGAGATTCTTTACATGGCAGCCAACTTGCAAAAACAGGTCTAGAACTGTCCCAGCATCATTTCCACTACATTCTTTTGGTCAAAGCAGGTTACATGGTCAGCCCAGATTCATGAGAAGGAGAAATTGATGCCAATTTTTTTTTTAATTGATTTGAGAGAAAGAGAAACACTGAGTTGTTGTTCAACTTATTTATGCATTCATTGGTTGATTCCTTTTTTTTTTTTTTTAATCCTCACCTGACGATATTTTTTCCATCTCTCTTCAGATAGAATGGGAGGGAGAGAGGGAGAAAAAGGGAAAGAGAGAGAAACATTGATGTGAGAGGGACACATCAACTGGTTGCTTCTCGCACAACCCCGACCAGGGCTAGGAACGAACTGCAACCCATTGGTTGATTCTTGTATGTGCCCTGACTGGGGATCAAACCCACAACCTTGGCATATCAGATGATGCTCTAACCAACAGAGCTACCTGGCCAGGGCGATGCCAACTCTTGATGGGAAGATCACCATGCCCACCCTACAATGGGAGGAATTGTTTCTATCTTTTGCAGATTCCACCACAGAATGCCTTTAATATGTTATTTATTATAAGAATACAAACAAATGTAAGCAAGGACACCTCACCTTAATTCTTTCCCAAGGGCTTAATAAGAACATGCTGGAATCTCCTCAGTATCTCCAAGCCCTCAAGTTTTAGTGTTCTATCTCTAATTAGCTATGCATATGTTTATGTGTCCTGCTGTCTGTGTCTCTGTGATAGATGTACCTCCTATTGTTATCCAACTTTTACTGGAAAGCCCAGAGAGGAAGAGGCAAGTTATCTTCAGCATCTCTTTCAGCACCTGGTACTGAATAGAGTTGAACTCAGCTCTTCATACACTGTTTAGGGACAAGGACAGTGCTAGAAATCTCTCTGGAAGAGAAAGTGGATATGGGATAAAAAAAAAGGAGTCTGAGGTTTTCTGAGATTCCATCTAGTCTGGCTAAAGAATTCCAACTTCCTAAATGGTTTTCCCATATGGAAAGGCACAAACAGATGGACACTTGTGCACTGAGGAGCCTCACATTTATTTAGATCAGTCCAAACCAGATGTTGTACTGGATCTCCTTAAGAACAATCTCAGCACAGGCAGGCTTCCTGGAGGCACAGAAAAGAGAGAATGTGTTATGGCCGTAACGGCCAGAGCCAGAGCACATGCAGCGTGCTGAGGCAACCCCATGCTATGAATTCTCTACCTGTCCTGCTTCATTGCTGGGCACTGGCTGGGGAAAGGTGGAAGGACAACTCACACTAAGAAGGCTGACACGAACCCAACGACACTGGCGAAAGAACAGTCTTTGCAAGCCAACTGGCAGAGAGAGTTTTGAGAAGTCTGTACTTAAAGTGTGTGTGTGTGTGTGTGTGTATACGTATATATGGAGAGGGAAAAATGGATTAGCTGCCTTCTGCATGCCCCCTAGTGGGGATCCAGCCTGCAACCCTGGCATGTGCCCTGACCCAGAATTGAACTGGTGAGCTCTCGGTGCATGGATGCCACTCAACCAACTGAGCCACCTGAGCCAGGGTGAGAAGTCTGTACTTTTAATGTATCCTTTAGGGTTTTCATTTGCTATTTATCAATGGTAGGCTTAAAAAATTACTTCTGGGATTGAATTCATTCTCAATTTTTATCAGCCTGGAGCTGTAGCTCAGAGGAGACATTGGGAACCCATTCTCTTGAATTCTCTCATGAGATTCTTTTTCACCTCACTCATCAGTTTGTACACAACATTTGTACTGTGAATGATTTAGAATTTGAAGGCACTATCAAATTCTAAACATGATCTATGCTGCCCTTTGCCTGTAATGTGCTGCTTGGAACCACATACCCACATCTTTAGTTATTACTGACTTGTAATGATAGTGATGATTTTCTTCTCTTACAGGGGAAGGAATCCATAAACTTCAAATTAAAAAACAGGCAATGAATCTGTTTCTCACCATGCTTATAATACTGAGGTAGAAACACTTAATTGACAAGAACAGCTTCCTCTCTCCTTTCCCATGCTGCCACCCTCATCCAGCCGCCACTCCTGGTTATTCCCTCGACATCTTTTCTTACAGCATCTGCCCACTCCCTTCCACAGATCCCCCTGACAATTGGGCAGATACCACCACTCTTCTTCAGAGGGTAATACACTCCTATCATGAACTTGAGGAGCATAGATAGGTAAAGGATGTAACAAAAGTAGATTTCATTTATAGTAAATTTCTTCCACGAGGATGATAGTATTAGCTTACAAAAAAAAAAAGAGTAGTTAAAAGAAAAGTTGTCACCAGTGAATGCAGGGTTGAAAAGCTCAGCAATACACATTTGTCCAAGTCTCATCAACACTGGCCATAAACATAAATTCAGACACCCTGTTTCTCTTTCCTTACCTTCCTCAAGGGTTGCCCATGTCCTCTTAGGGAACCTCAAAGAGGAGCTGCAAGAATTCAGACATTTCTCAATGTTAATATCTCAGAAATATCTGAGAAACCTTCTTTTGGAGTCATGGGTAGGGAATGACTGTTTTCTTGGGAGTCCATGGTGCTAATGAGGAGTCTATGCACAGGGAAGAATAGGACATGTAATAGCCCATTGATTCCTGATTCATTCTACTCAGTTAAAAACATCCACTGTGTGTCAGAAACTGGGCTCAATGCTGAGGGGCCAAGGTGGATAAAACTGTCCCTGCCCTTATGGCATTCATACTTGAATGGATGGGAAACAGATCAGTAAATTGGTAATTATAAAAACAAAGTGCTAGCTCTGGCCCGTTTGCTCAGTGGTTAGAGCATCAGCCTGCGGACCAGAGAGACCTGGGTTTGGTTTCTGCTAAGGGCACGTACCTTGGTTGCAGTTTGTCCCCTGCCCCGGTTGGAGTTGTGTGGGTGGCAACCAGTTGATGTGTCTCTCTCACATCAATGTTTTTCTCTCTCTCTCCCTCCCTCTCTCCCTCCCGCTCTATCTGAAGATAAATGCAAAAATGTCCTTGGGTGAGGATAAAACAAACAAAAAATATACCAAAGTGCTAAATGTAATGATGGAGATCTGAACAAGGTGACAGTAAATGAATGAATACTTTAAAAGAGGTGAAATGATGTGCGATATTTTTCTTTTAACAAACCAGAGGGGAAAGTCCTCTGGTTTGTTTAAAAGTCCAATAAACAGCTGCACTGGCTGGATTGAGTCAGAAGATTGTATTGTTTAAAAAAAAAAAAAGCTGCCCTGGACGGTTTGGCTCAGTGGTTAAAGTGTTGGCCTGCAGTCTGTAGAGACCCAGGTTCGGTTTCCACTAAGGGCATGTACCTCGGTTGCAGTTTGTTCCTGGCCCTGGTTGGGTCGTGTGGGTGGCAACCACTTGATGTGTTCCTTTCATGTTGATGTTTCTCTCTCTGTCTCTCCCTCCCACTCTATCTCAACAAAATATCAAAAAAAAAAAAAAAAAGTCCTTGGGTGAGGATAAAAAAAAAAAAGCTGCCCAGCAGGCGTGGCTCAGTAGATTGAGCGTCCTCTCATGAACTGAGAGATCGCAGTTCGATTCCTGGTCAGGGCACATGCCGGGTTGCAGGCTCAGTTCCCAGTAGGGGGCATACCGAAGGCAGCCAATTGATGTTCTCTCATCAATGTTTCTGTCTCTCTCTCCCTCTCCCTTCTTCTCTCTCTAAAATCAATAAAGAAAAAAAATCAATAAAAACATATTTTTTAAAAATTAAAAAAAAGCCCTGGCCGGTTTGGCTCAGCGGTTAGAGCGTCGGTCTGCGGTCCGGAGAGACCCGGGTTCGGTTCCCGCTAAGGGCACGTACCTTGGTTGCAGTTTGTCCCCAGCCCTGGTTGGGTCGTGTGGGTGGCAACCACTCGATGTGTCGCTTTCACGTCGATGTTTCTCTCTCTCTCTTTCCCGCTCACTCTATCTGAACAAAATATCAAAAAAAATGTCCTCGGGTGAGGATAAAAAATAAAAAATAAATAAAATAAATTAAAAAAGTGATCTGTGTGAGGACCAGGAAACTTGGGCTCTTTCCACCATAGTGCCAATTCCTCAGTTAACCAACATGGGAAATCTTTTTTTTTTTTGTATGTGCCCTTAGCAGGAATCGAACCCGGGACTCTGGTCTGCAGGCCAACGCACCAACCGCTCAGCCAAACCAGCCAGGGCCAACATAGGACATCTTGAGTAATCCAATCACTTCCCTGTATCTCAAGTTTCTCTTTTGTAAAATGGAAATAGCAACTCTTCCTATATTGTAGAATTATGATGGAGAGAAATGAGATCGTGGATTATAAAAACAGCTCCTCAGTACATCCTGATGTTGACAGTGATGAAAGAGCCTGAAGCAGGAAGAAAATTAAGCCCTTATCCATCTAAGCTTGTGTCTCTACCCCAAGTTTTTCACCTGTGGAGAAAGGATACCCTAAGGCACAAGTTCTTCCCTTACCTATCACATCCACCCGACAGTCCACCGACGCCTCCCCCAGGGTGTTAATCGCCTTGCAGGTGTAGATGCCCCCATCTGAGGGGCCAGGCTTTCGGATTTCTAACGAGCAGATTCCCAGCTGAGTGAGGGCTCTGTACTTGGGGTTATCTTGGATATCCATCTTGTTCTTTAGCCAGATAATCTTCGGCTGGAAGATAAAGATGAGGGGGCAGCAAGGAGTGGTAAGAACCCGTTGTTCTTTCTGTACTCAGTCTCTGGGACACTTTGCCTACAAGGCTTGGGGACACACTGGCCAGAGGAGCAGGAGGGCTAGGTGGCTTTAGGAACAGATGGTACAGGAATCTAGAAGGGATAATGGCTTCTGAAGAGCTCCCTGTCCTTGGCTTCCCACTCATTATATTTGGGAAGAGGTTCCGCTTTCAGTGCCCTCAACAGCCTCCATGCTTTCTCTTGGTTGGAAAGAGCACCTGACACCTTGTCTTGACCATCAAGCATTCCTGACTAGAAGAGACGTGATAACTTCTGTTCTATCCTACTTAAGCAGCCCTTTGATGGACCAGAAGCACTGGGCATCAGATTCACCTCTTTTTAGTATATACATTATTGAATCATTCATATTCTATTCCCACTGTTGATTTGGGAGTTACTCCTGTCCCCTCTGGTTAGAAAGTAGTTTCTAGTGTGAACTTACTGCTATTTTCTTTCTGAGATGTTATCTCCACATAGTCTGGCCCAGGACTAATACACAAGAGGTACTTTGTAAAGGTTTTTATGCCATGTGTGGAATGAATAGGTTGTAAACAGACAACCTTGCTCAGAGTTGTGACCAAAGGCTCAACTCTAGGAAGCTCGCATGTGCATGGTCCTAATCAGACGAGATGTAGTGGGTGAACACGGAGAAACCAGCAGGACTCCATCACCCCTGCCAGAGAGGCAACTTTGAAGCTCATGCCAATTGCCAGCTGGTCAGAAAGTGACATCTTCATACATGAGGAATAAACACTGAAAAGAATATTGGGTATGTTATCCACATTGGCTTGTCTTGGACTCCAAGTGCCCTGACTGTTCCTACAGAACCTGTTGTGGAAGTAGCAGATGGTGATGGGAACAACCATTTTGGTTAGAATGCTCTTCAACATAGCTAAGGTTAGAGCAGGTGCAGAAAGCAGCATGGCACAGCCACCCATAGGACTCCCCATTCACCTTGGGAGTGGCACGGACGCAGCAGAAGAGCTGGGTGTCATAGCCAGTGACTGTAGTGCAGTCCGCCAGAGGCTGGGTGAACTTGGGAGCTTCAGAGAAATCTCGCTGGGCAAACCTCTTGGTCTTGTAAACAGTAGCTGAGGTGACCAAGAAGGGCCCTGATGTAGTGCCTGAGATCTCCATCCTCCTTTCATTCTTTATCTTTCACTTCCCAGCTCAGGTTCTTCACAATCTTACCTGCTTTCTGGATGTGGGCAAGGTCAGCAGTGACGGGGGCTGTCACACTGAGCCCACACTCATTCTCAGCAAAGACTCGAAATGCATAGGAGTTGCCGACGATGAGGTTGGAGATTATGCAGTTGGTACGGTGGTAACGCTCCAGTACCGTGAACCACAGCTTTGGGGTCCCAAGAAGATGCCATGAATGAGACACCTGTTTGGTGAGCTCAGTCCACCTCAGCCCACCATTTGGAGCTATCAGAGTCACATTCCAGAATGTCCCTCCCTCCCACCCTCCCTTTCTCCCTCCCTCCCTCCCTCCCTCCCTCCCGGCAGGGCCTCACCCCAGACTTTGTGTCAGCCTTCTGCACCATGTATCCTAGGAGTGTTGCATTGCCTGTGTCTTGGGGAGGTGTCCACTCCAAGGTAGCATTGGAGCCCCAAACGTCCACCAGCTTGATACTCTGAGGAGGGCCTGGCCTCTCTGAAAGGGCCAAGTATGGCACTGGACATGGTACGACTCACATGCATGGAAATCGCTTCGGGAGTGCCCCTTTCCTTTTTCTGCTCAGCTACCCCTCCCTTGATCCACTTCTGTGTTCCACACTCAGTACGGGGGAGTCACCCAGGCTTCCCCAGCTCTCTGCGATGGCTCCTCTTTAGCCTGGAGAGGGAGCCCCTGAGGACCACCCCGTCTCCTACTGTCCTCACCGTACCGATCACCAAGATGTCAATGGTGGCAGTGGCCTCCAGCCCGCCCAGCTGCACACTGAGCTGGTAGCGGCCTGAGTCGGCACGTTGGGCTTCTCGGATGAAGAGGATGGAGTCCCGCTCCCCATTCCGCACACTCACACGACTGGCATCCAAGGCACAGCTATTGTGTGTCCAGGTGGCTCGAGGTTTGGGTTTCCCCTAAAAAATAGGGATAAGTCTGTGAGCAGCCTCAAGAGGGGCTTGATCCTCCCCCCAGTTCCACATAGTGACTTGCAGCTGAAAACTCCTCGAGTTAGAGATTGGTGGACTCTCCCAGGGGACTTCCGTCTTTCAGCAACAGCCTAAGGATCATGGGAAAGGAGGTGGCTTTGAGTCTCCCACCCTCTGTGAATTTAGGTCATGGACACGGGGGGCAGCTGGGACTAATAATAGCTGCCCAGACTCCCAAGAACCCACCCAACTGAGAGCTCCCTGACCTCTGCTGACTGAAGGACATGGATTAACCTCATCACATGGGCCCAACCCAACCCCCTCTCAGGAGTACAGATGGAAAGCCCACTTGGCCTCAGACTTCTGGCGACTTGGCTCCCTTCGTTGAAGGCCAGGACAACTGCCCCACAGCTAGCAGGACTGTTGGTATCTGTTTCCAAATCAAACCCTGTGCTGGTCCTAGCCATGGACCCAGCGTGGGCTGGGGCATGATCACCTGGAATGGAATTAGTAGGTTCACGGTGTCTCCAACTTTCCGGATGTAGGTCTGCCTCAGGGCCCGAGGTAGCCAGATCTTAGGTTGCTCTGAGCGATGGAAAGGGAGAGAATGAGCTGGTGAGCTTCCTACGGTGGGAAGAGTGGCGCTAAGAGGGAGTGGGTGCTGCCGTCAGCCGCGCTCGATGGCAGGTGACCCAGGCATTGCTCAGCGAATTAAGTTCTCTTGCAGGGAATGGGGAATGGGAGGATTGCTCCTGTCATCTTTCTGGGTCTCGGGACAAGCGGCTGGCTCAAGGACCCCCGGAGAGCTTCAGTTCAGTGAGAGCACCGGAGCCTGAGCCTGGGGCTGCTGCTAACTTGTAACTCTCAGCCCCTGACTTCCCTCCAACTAAGATTTCTTTTTTCTGTTTGTGCACAGACCAGTCCAGTCCGTGTGGTTTATTTTTCCACCCATTTGCTACATTTAGCCTTAACAACACTCCTTTTGTCAAGGCCACTTTCAATGTTAATCGTGACCTCCAAGGGTCAGCACCCCACCCCCAACCATTTGGTGCCAGACCCAAAAAGAAACCTTTCCGTTCCACAGGCAGAATCAACACCCTGGCCCCACTAGCACAGCACTGATGTTGAGGTTGCAGGTGTCTGGGTCCCTTCATCTACATGGCCGCCCTGCTCAGCGCCTGCACAGAGTTCTGCTGGTTTGTGGGGGATCGCTTTGTACAAACAGAATCTGGGAAATATTAGGTCCACTGCTTACTTCTCCTGGATCTCCCAGGTCTGTTCCAATGAGAAGAGATTAGATTATGTTTATTGGCTTCCAGGATGAAGACAGGAGATGCTCAGGAAAGTGCTGAGTGTGAGGTTTGGAAAATGACCAGGTGTAATTTCCCTACTTGGCCTTGACCAAGAAAGTGCAAACATCCCACCTGGGTTCCCTTGGGGGCCGAGCTAAGATGACACCCTTTTCCAGCCTTCCTGGGGCTCCTGTCTCCTCCTTTCTCAAGCAGATATAGCCCCCGCCACTGTTCTCTTAAGTGGAACGTGTCAGTGCTCAGTTCCCACCACCTCCCCAGCCTCCCCCTAACTATGCATTCCTAGCAGTTGGAAAAACTCTCCCTGAGAACACACTGTGGCAAACAGCACAACTGCTTGATAGTGGGTTCCAGACTTTTTGATAGCATCCATTTCCGTGTAAATACATTCCCAAGCATTCACCCCAACGTGTTTATGTATAAATAGAACTGTTTAAATATGTATATTATATCATGAAAAATTTTGAATGGTGAAATTAAAAATAAACAGAGGTTCTGCTATGTTCTTTCTACACCTCAATTTGTCGATCTTTGTCTAGAGACCAATAATTTCACCCCTACAGTTCCCCTATTACGATCACGAGGTCACCTGGCCTTTGTAAATAAACATAAACACAAATATTCAGTGCTATCCATTTTATTTACCTAGTTTCCTTTCCTGCTGTGGCCTTATGTTTTCCCCTGGGTTGTGCTGTCTCAGACTGCACCTCACGCTGCAGGAACGCAGGGATGCGGGGCCTCCAGTGCTGAGCCGTCCTGCCTCAGCTGCTCAGGGTGGCCAGGCTCCGTAGGCACACAACAGCCACAGGCCCAGGCAGCCGAGTGACCCTGCTCTGCTTGCCCTCTGTTTGACTTTGATGGTTTGGGAGGGGGCAGGGCATGAAAAACAGAAGAAGTGTTTGTGTGATATGTTCCTCTCCTGGGGCCAACTTGGCGAGCCACCAAGGAATTGAGAACAGGCGGATGTGACTTAAAGGGTTTTCTGAAAAGAGAGGGCAGTAGTTGAAAAGGAGGGTCAAAACCTCATCTAGTTGAGCTTGGTTCCTGACTGCTGGGTGGGGAAATCAGCCCTCACAGTTGCTGGGGAGAGGGCTGGAGAGAAGCAGGCTCTGCTGTCCCGGCTCTGCCGACAGAACATCTGTGTTATGAAGGGCCCGATGCGTACCCAGCACAAGGCGCAGACTGGGGGGAGAGGGCTTGGAGAGAGAAACAGATTTGCTGACAGTGTCAAGGCTGGTTGGGAAGTTGTGGTGGACCAGGACTCCTGCCTCCCCATCGAGGGGTGTGTCTGAGGGACCCATTCTCGGAGCATGGCAAATCTGTCCACCCTTCTGTCCTCCAGTGTCCACCTGGCACTGGGCACCACGGGCAGGACTCTGACTGTGATCTTGCCCCTGGAGGGAGGTGGCAAAGAAGGGACGCCCTCAAGAATTGAAGAGATTGAGGTGAGAGAGGAGCCCAGGCTGTTACGCCCTGAGCTCTGCTCTGCTTAGACTTCAGGGGTCAAGGCCTTCTATAGATTGGCCACGCGTGCTCGTGGATATTTGTTCCCACTTGGTGTTCCTTTTATCTCTTAGAAAAATACCTTGGAAAATGTTAGCACAGTTTCACCTGAACTAAAGAGAAAAATGAAAGAGAGAGGGTTATGTGGAACATGAGCTAGGATGGGGGTATTCGGAGGGGGAGGAGCAGAATGGCCTTGAGACCCAGAAGGGCCAGCAGAGGCAGAGCGAGAAGAAAGGCTGACAGCTAGGTGGTGGTCTCCCCGCGGAGGTCTCCTGTGCCAGTTCTTTGCTTATAAATGAGATTCCCTGACACAATGATGAATCAACAGGGAACAAACTGAAGTTACTAGAATGTTCCGACTGAGGATTAGTAGGTGAGGATATGGCTTTCAGCAGGCTCCCAGGCCCCGGTGGGAGGGCGGAGGAAGGTTTAAGGCTGAAGCAGCTGCCAAAGTGAGGGAGGTGGCAGAAGAGTGCTTGACAGCTCCCGGTGCCCGGCAGCAGCCAGCCTTTCCCCAGCTCAAGCCAGCCTCCTGGTCTGCCCTGCAAACAGCCATCTGACCCTTTGCTGGGAATGTTAATAGGAGGCATCTGGGCATCTCTTTTCACACCTCCACAGTCCAGCCAGGTGTTAATTGTGCTGACCTTGGGTAAACATGGCTTTCTCCTCCCCCACATGCCAGGAGGGGAGTGAACCAAAGACTGGAGCCCGAAAGCAGAACTTAGATTTTCTAAGACCAAGGGTGAGACAGCCACCACTTGGTGTTCTCCCTTCACAGAGTCTTGAGAGAAAAGGCATTTTTAAAGTCATTTGAGAGCCCTTGGCTCTGAGCTGTGTCTCTTTCTCTCAGACAGGACGTTGTCTCTTTCTTAGAAATTAGTAGAGAAGACTACCTAAAGTCCAAAGATCTTGACCCTTCTAACTTAGAAAATTCCTCCTAGTTCTACCCTAATTTTATGCTGCTGAATTTCATGCACATTTCCTTATTCTTTGCTCATGGGAAAATTTGTTCATATCCTCTCATAATTTCCTTTCACATGGTTAAAGACTCCTCCAGCAGTTCCCTAAGGGCTGTGTAGTTGATTGATGTATTAATTATGGTCTGGAGAGTGAAAATACAAGATGGACACATCTGAAGAGCGAAGGGTGTGTGTGCGTGCACGCAAGTGTGTGTGTGTAAGACTTACTGTATGTGTATGTGTATGTGTGAGAGTGAATGGTTACTAGAAGAGGGTGAACGCACCAGGTGAACTACGGCTTTGAAACATAACCAGAGATTTTCAGGGATCCAAAAAGTACCAGAATTTCTTAGAGAAAAATTAGCAGATGCTTAGGATGTGGCCTTGTCTTGTCAGAAACCCATCCGGAGGAGCGTGACGGGAAAGGAGTGTGGTGACCTCAGGAGCACCTTGTGAGGGACCAAAGTGCCTTCTTGAAGACAGGAAACTAAGGCCGGAAAACACAGAAGGACACAGACATAGGCAGCACTTCTTTGCGGACTTCCACCCTCCCCAGTGGCGGTCTTCCCTCCTGCTGATGGCTTCAGCCCTGGCTCACAGGGCTCTCTCCAGGCGCAGATCCTGGGGATTTCAACAGCCATCCTTCCAGTCTCTGCAGGGCCTTACATTGTGCCTGCCACTCCTCCAGGAAGTTTGTCCTTCCCTGCTTCCCCCTCGTTCCCAGGTCATTCTCTAGAGCAATAGCTGCAGGTCCTCTGCAACCTAAATTTTCAGCATCCCATTCTCTCATCCTGCCTCTATGACGGAGATGGCTAACTGCCCCCACCTCAGCTCACAAATGCCTCTGCAGAGGCTCGGAGAACACTATGCAGAGGAAGCCAAATGCCTCTCCCAGGAGGGCTCTGCTTCCATGGAGCTCGGGTTCCGAGAGGTGGGGATTTCTGGTGGGAGCCAGTGGGGTGTTGGGTGGGTTCTGGACCCATGGCGCTGCCCTGGGAGAGGAGTGTCTCGGACACTACTTAGCCTTCCAGTCGCTACAAGCTTTTCATTTCCCTCTTCTAATCTAGACGGCCACTCCCACCCCATTCCCTTTCTGACCAGCATTAGTACAGAGGTCCTCCTAGTCCCTGTGACAGCCATTTTTTAAAGGTAAAAATATGAACAGATAATTTTTAGTCACTGTCAAGTGCCACAAACATCATTCATTGAATTCTCAGCTAAAGAAGCAAAATCCCAGCAGACACTTGAATAGCAAGAATCCACCAAGGAAGGGGGTGGGGGCTCCAACCACGTCCTCCGTCCTCAGTCCCCACCCATGAAGTTGCGCAGCACTGCACAAACCTCAGGGGGTGCCATCAGCATGTCGGGGTACCCTTCCAACTCCCACCACCCGGCCTCCCCACGCTCCCCAATCCCCATGGTCACCTTCTAGAGGGGCCAGGAGCTGGGGAATGGGGCTGTCGGCCCCCCGTTGAGGTGAAGTCTGGGGTTTTTCAGCATCCACTGGGCTGGCTTCTTTCATCTTCAGCGCGGGTCCCAAGGCCACCTCCGTTGCTGTGGCCGCCTCCATGCTGGGCCACAGGAGGCTGGGCTCCAGTGGCAGATTTTCACTGTTGGTACTGAGGGAGGGGCTGAACACTTGCTCTTCAAGCTCTCCAGGGTTTCCTGCCACTGGGTTATGTACTTGGGCTGGCCTCTCCCCCACCCCGCTACTCCCAGGAGAAGGGCTGAAGCAGGGGCTGTGGGGAGAGGGGGATCAGACAGCAGCCCAGAATAGCCACAGGAGGGCTGAGGTGGCCGTTATCTTGGGAGATGACACCCCTCACACAGCACCAGGGAGGGAGCTAAGAGCTCGAGCTTCTAACAGCTCCCACTTCTCCACACCCAGACCATCCAAATGGGGCCTCTGGCTTCTGTGGGATTGGGTGACATCTTGAGTCCTGACCTCCAGATCATCTGACAGAGTGTTCAGGTCCAAAGAAAGGGGCCCCAGGATTAGCTGAGTGACAGGCGCACCTTTAAGCTGCTCTCTCTCTCTTCTCCCACATTCAATGAGTTGTAGTCTTGTCACCAGGACCTTTAAGGGTGTGGGACCATTCTCTCCACCTCCCCCTAGTGACAATGGAAGGTACAGTCCGAACTCTGGAGCCAGGCCACCAGGGCTGACGTTGGCCCCATCACCAACTAGTTGTGTGACTTACAACACATCCCAGTCTGTCTTAGGTCTGTTTCATTATCTGAACAATAGAGATAACCATAGGGTTGTCATAAGGATGAAAAGAGGTAATCTGTGTAAAGTGCTTAGCAGTGTAGCTAACTAAGTGCTTGATAAATGTGAGCTATTTTTAGGTCAGGCCACTTGCGCCTTTGGAAGCTCCCTCGTCTATGAGATAAGGTACAAATGAAGTGAGAGCAAAGAGGACTTGAGTGCGACTCTTGGCTACACTGCTAACTCATAGCAAGGTGACCCTGAGCAAACCACTCCCTCTGAACCACAGGTCTTTGGTCTATGAAACAAGGGATAATGAGGCCAGGGATGGGCTGAGGATCAAGTGATAAAAATGTAGGGAAGTGGCCAACCCACAGTAGGTGTTAGTTACAAACTAAAGGTCCTATATGATTTCCAGGTTTACCAAACCATCCATCTCCATGTGCTGTAAGCTCCTTCCAAATTACCTGGTTTCCTATCCTAGTCTTTATCTCCAGAAGCCAGCATCCCCTCTGTATATATTTCTATACAGACTTTCAGAACAGGTTTAGGTTCACAGAAAAGTTGAATGGAAATTATGGAGTTCCCATATATCCCTCTCCACCAAGTCCTTATTTTTTTTTCCTTTATTGATTTTATAGAGGAAGAGAGAGGGAGAGAGATAGAAACATCGATTGACCACCTCATGCATGCTCCCTACTGGGGATCGGGCCCACAACCTGAGCATGTGTCCTGACTGGGAATCGAACTGGTGACCTCTTGGTGCATGGGTGTCAACGCTCAACCACTGAGCCACACTGGCCAGGCCAGTTCCTTATTTTTTCATGGAAAGAAGTGTGTGGTTGAATGAATAGGCTAGGCTCCTTACTCGTGTTTCCCCTTTAGTCCTCAATTTGGGGGCAGAGTCTGTGTTACTGCCTTGGGGTGTGGGATGGAAACCCTCTTTGTAACTTATATAGGGGCTCGGGGCCAGGACACTGCGGACACACTTCAGGCCCAGGAACCTGTTTATCAGGAGCAAGGATGGCCAAACAGGGTCACCGTGGAGCCTGACCTCTGGGCTGGCTGGTGAGAGGCTGTACCTGCGGACATCAGGATCAGTGTGAAAGCCCCTGACTACTTCTGTCTCCTGACCTAGCCAGAGCCCTTCTGAACAGAGAATCCCCACACCAGGGACTCTAAACACCCCCTCTTACACCCAGGCTTTCAGTCTTAGCCCTTGGCTGCAACAAAGGGTTTAAGAATCAAACTGAAAATGCAGACTCCTAGGGTCTGTCCATTAGAACAGTCTAATTTAACAGGTCTGGGTGGGACCCAGGAATCTGCATTTTTAAAAGCAACCTAGTGATTCTGACACTTCCTACACTCAGTGTAGGAAGTCCAAGAACACTATTTTGGATAAATTCCTGAAAATAAAACCACCTTAAACCATCCGGGGGAGGAACTGTCCCAGCAGACAGCAGGCCCCTCAAGAGCACGGTCTTCGCCTCGTCGTTTCCAGATGCGATGCCAGGGCAAGTGTTCCACAGATATCGCCCAGGACGAAGGCTGAGGAGCTGGCTCAGCCTCAAGGCTCAAGGGGGGTTGGCAGGAGCCTCTCCTAAAAGAAAATCTGGAAGAGAAGCAAGCTACAAACTCTCTGAAGGTCCTCAAATGAAATGGACCAGTAAGGACTGTGGGTAAGAGCAGCAAGAGAAATATAAGAGGAGCAAATGGAAAGATACCGAAGAAACTTCAGTGCTGTCATTTGTCAAACCTGCCATAAGGAACATATAATTCAGGAGAGTAATTGTATGTTGCTGTGTCCAGAAGAGTAAAGGAATTGAAACCTGAGAAGGTAAGTGGAGTGGGTCAGTTAGACTTTCTGGGGGAAACAAGCTAGCTGGTCTCACAAATACCCATGGGAAGTAGATCTCTATGAACATAAAGAGAAAGAAAAAAGTGAGTGGTTTCCCCCATAAATTATCTTAATACCTTTCATGCTATAAATGCAGTCCTGGCTCTAACTGGCTTACTTTCCGGTTTGGTTTGATTGCTGAAGCTAGAAAACTGGAAAAGCTATCATATTAACAAACTGTAGCTTAGTCATTTCAGTAGGTCAGGTAACAAAGTCCCAGTCTGTTTTATTTCTAACCCAAATACTGCAAATATACAGAAAATTACCAGTACAAAGTTAAACACATCCAGATTTATTTACACAATGCTAAAGAACTGTGAGTATTATTTCCATTTTGTGGAATTTTATTATGGGGTCTGGCTTTGTTGTGCAACTGACATGGGTCATTGAGACTTGATTATCCCACCTCACATGCAATTTTCTGTCCCAAGGGAACAGAAAACTGGTTGTTTTTTAGCACACATGCAGTAGTGATCTTAACACTGCTTTACTCTCTAATAGGAAGGCAGATGTTCCATATTTTGGGAAGAGGCACAAAAGATATGGAACAGGGAGGGACCACATGCTCAGAAAGCAAACACGAAACGAGAGAGGTGAAAACAGGCACATGGGGACCCTGAGCATTTCTGTGCATGAGGATACGGAGGGCACGACTAAAACCCTCTTCCCTAGATGTCCAAACATAGGAGGTGGGTGGAATATCAGGGAACATTCAAGTCACCTGACTGAAACAGGGCATGCGGAGGAACAGAACAGCAGTCAAGATTTGGGACACATCAATAAATCATTAGCATGTACACTATACAGTTTATACATGTATATATGTACATATATATAAAGGTACAGATTAGTTTATGTTATTCTCTATAAACAAGAGCGCTTAAGAATGCACTGGTGTGAAAAAAATGCATACAGCAAGTTGAAGACAATTTCAAACGCATGTTCTGATTCTTGTATGTGATATAACCAGGAAATCAACATGCTGCTGCAATTTCAATTATCCTCCAGGAGAGTAAGGCCTGGGCTCTGCTAGGGCAGGACAGTGCTCCCAGAGCTGCCTGAGCTGGGCAAAGGGTGGCAGATGGAACAGAAAGCCTGGCACCTGCTGAGTACCAGCGCTGAAAGTCTGCCCCCCCAACCACTCCATCATGTGGCAAATCTTAAACTTTGGTTTTGTTCAAAGGACATATAAATCCATGTTTAGTTTCCTGCTTGAGAGAAGGTAGTAGCCAAGTGGAAAGGCTGAATCTCTTCCTATTTGAGCAGTTCCAAGTATCCAGGCTTCATGTGGGACAAGGGGGCTGTACCGACAATGAGCAGGGTGAGCTCTGAGCCACTGCATTTAGGGACAGGCCTCTTTAGAGCTCTCCTAAAAGGAAAGAATCTCTACCTGGATGATTTGCTTGGGAAATAAAGAAATGACTAAAGCCAGGCCAGTCCCCCACCTGGGGTGGGTGTGGACACCCTGGCACTCCTCTCTGTATCCTGGTATCGTGACAAAGGCCGTGGGAGAACCAGCAGGAGCTGGAGGGGCCAATGTATTACTAATCTGCCAGGGATGAAAGGCCAATTTGGGCATGTAGAGGCCCTGAGACAAACCTAAGAGAGAGACACATACCTATTCAGAGGCAGATGGCAAATTGTACATTTCAGTTATGGCTAATTTTTGAATCTCCTGAGCCCAGCCTAGAACTGCCACACCCTCCAGACATTTTTATTCTTCTGTGTTTCCATTCAAATTACAGCCTAGGTGTATGTACCTCTGGTTTCTAGTCTCACTGAAAATCAAAAGCCCCCTACGGTCTAAGACACCTGTCCATAGAGCAGGAAAGATGGCAAGTTCTCCACCTGGATTTAAAAGCTCAGACCCCTTTGGATGGTCTGATATGTCCAACCTATCTTACGATGCTAAATTCTATTGCTGAAACCACCAAAATTCATCTCTTCTGCTACTATCAAGCCTGGGACTTGACACAATGAAATGCTGTACTTGACTTTCAAAGACAATGCTCCTAACCTAACATCAGTAGCACAAATTAGAGATCTTTTTTTCTTAGATGCAATCATGGATTTAGGCTGTTTTACTCACTGGCTGAGGGCATATACTTGTGAGTAAGCAGAACGATAAAGGGAATAAGCCAGGCTTGTCAGCAGTCCTCAAATCAACTGAGCCAGCTAGCCAGCCAGCATGGGAAACGAGGAGACGGGAGAAGGTGTTGTCAGAGGAAGTCCATTCCTGCACTATTGAACAGTGGCCCTCAGTGAGGTGAGAGGCAGTTTCTAAACACATATTCAAAATGATCATTACTTTGTTTTTAGCCATGAAATACAGGAGAATAAAATTTTTACCAAGGTGGCAAAAGGGTGCTAAACACTGCTCTGAAAGAAATGCCGCCGATTCCTGCCTACAGAGCAGCCAGCCTGTAAGGAAGGAGCCCTGCTCCAGGCACGCAGCATCTGCACACAAGGAGTGTCCCCGAGCCTGAAGACAGCCAGCCAGCGCTGCGTGTGACACACAGGGCCTTGGGCAATAACTCAATTTTTTTTTTTTTGGTACGTGCCCTTAGCGGAACCGAACCCGGGACTCTCTGGTCTGCAGGCTGACACTCCAACCGCCGTGCCAAACCGGCCAGGGCAGTAACTCAATTTTTGTACTGCAGCTCCATTTCCTCAAAATGAGGATTACAACCCCTGCCTTTTTTTCCCTTTTCACAAAAATGTTGAGGTTCAAAGGACATATTACAAGTGAAACTGTCCTGAAAACTGCTAATTTCTACAGAAATCCCAGGTATCATTATAAACAAAGAGCCCTACTCTTATATGGTTAGAGAAGAAGAAGAACTTTTCTACATCTTAAAGTTGATCAGAGAATCACTACATCTCAGCACATGTACCCAGGGAGTATGTTCCAGGAGAAAAGGTGTAGGTGAAGTAGTCCTTCCTGGGCCAAATCCACTTCGGGCAGGAGGTGAGGGTGTCCGAGACAAAGGCTGACACCAAGTCCTTTGTGAGCTGGTTTATCTTTGGAATTATTCTTAATTTAAAAGCCATGTGAAGTGAACGCGCTTTAACTAAGATGAGTGCTCTCTGGCTCTAATGAATATTAATTCTCTTCACAAAAATTGCCCTCAACATTATTTTCTAACCGAAGCTCCCTGATTCATTTAATTTACTGTAGTTTCCAAGTCTCTAGAATTCTCCATCCACTCCCCCCCTTCCCTACTGCTGTCATTCCATTCTGGTCAGGAAAGAACTCAGCCATCTGCTCCCGCATTCTGACAAAAGTTAATTTGGCACATTTACTTTTTATGGACTTTCTGGCCATAAAACGATCTAGCAGCAAAATGGCAGTTACCAGAGAATGTCCCAATCATAATTATTGAGAAACCGTGACCAGCATAGCAGGTATGCTAAAACCAAAAACGTACTACATCCCTGTATAGCAAATATTGAAGCTGTATTAAAACTAATTATTGCAGTTTTTCATGACTATATGGCCACTCAAAAATCCACCTCACTACATTCTATAGATGATTTAATTTGAAAAAGTGTCGAATAGAAAACTCCCTTCAATTTAAAATATGAACTTAATATATCACACAAAACATCATCTATACTGGAAGTATTTTCAGTTGGTTCAGCTAAAAGTTTCATGCCAATAACTTACTTGGCAAAGCTGGGGAAAAGGGGTAAGGAAGAGAACCTGGTAATAAATTCTGATTTTTTTTTAAAAAGCCTATAAATCTGAAAACATCCTGGCTCCATGTACAACAAGCCACCTAAGAGGAAGCAAGTAAGCAGCCACTGGAATGACTCACCACCGAGCCAACACAGCAGGTAGAAGGGCACGTGGAAGACCATGTTCAGTTCTCAGGGGCTGCACCGTGTATGCCACCATCAGTTCTAGCAAAGAGATCACCCAGCCTGGGCAGAAACCCAGGGCAAGCCCTGCACCCTGTCCTTCAGCAAGTCCACAGGCACTCACACAAAGCATGGCTTGAAAGATCTCAGGGGAAGGATTTCTCCTTTACTAGGTGCTAAATCTAATCAATTATTTGCTGCTCCCCTCTTCCTGCCCCCAGTTAAAAATGTTGCCCTTTAAGTTCTCCTGATTTAGCATCTTGGAAGCACATGGTTAAGTTAGTCGCCAAAGGGCAATTAACAAGGGTATTGCCTAATTAAACAGGAAAAATAAAAAAATCACTGTGATCTATGGTCCCTGAAAAAAAAAAGGTGGGGATCTGTGCAAGGAGCTGGTGTGCAACACTCTTGGAGCAGGGCTGTCCCCAAACGCAGAAAGGCTGCCCAGGTTATGCCAGTCACCACAGCCTTTGTGTTCATCTCTACAGCTGCTTCATGTCACCAGCAGAGCCTTTGTGAGAGTTGAAGCTGGAGTTGGCAGGTGCCCTGGGGCAGGCGCCATGCAAAACATGCAGGAGTAGAGTTAGTGAAATGTTCCCTTAAAATTCCATTTCATTTCCCTTAAAAAACAAAATCAAAACCAAAAGAGCCCATACTTTGCAAAAAGACAGAACTTGAAATAAGAAGTTAAAGATTTAAAAATCCCCCCCTTCTCAGAGCCAATTGTAAGTGTTTAGGGTTTCGCCCCCACCCCCTCCCCCTGCATTTCTTTAGTGAAGGTCCTTCTGGCTTTGACGGAAGCAGCAGAAACAGAGCTGGATCCCTTGAAATGGGAAATTTATTTCCCCAAGTTGGAACCACAGGAAGTGTAACAGGTTTCAGTCCCAGCTTCTTTGAGGAGCTATTCCAGGAGGTCCTGAAAAGACATAGACCGTATTATTTAACAGACTAAAAATTTCCTATTTTGAAAGCAATTAACTTGTTTCTGGCTGAGTCTACAGTCATTAAGTTTCTGCTTCCAGCTTATACCCTCATTTGCCTCTCATATCTTGATTGTGCATAGGAAAAAAAAATCACTTTTTTTTTTTTACTTCTGGATCATCCCTCAAGAAGAAATAGTCTCACCTCATCTGAATCATCATGATAACCACTTTTATTAGTGTGTGAGGCTGTGTCCAAAGTGTCCACACCATCCACACCATTGGCCTCTGCATGCTGCTGTAGCACAGAGTACCGATGCACCAGGAACCTGCGGAGAGAAACCGCCATTAACCCAGACGTGGTAAGGAGGGGTGTATTTCTTATAGGACTCAGGATTTTCCAAGTTTTATACACTCAGGGAATGAGTCACACATACAAGAAGCACTGCCATAGTTGGCATATGGAAAAATACAAGATCTGAGAAGATTTGGGCCTGATGCTTCAGGAACATCACTTCTTTTATTAAGGGCAGACTCAACCATATGTCCTTGGCTGATTTTCTGGTTTGACTGCAACACCTCTGATTGACTGCCATGTTCCTTACCTTCCCCCACAGACGTATTTCTTCACAATGAGCACTCCTGCTATGACTGTGACCAGCATCAATCCCACAGTGGCCAGGATAATTGGAACAGAATTTGACTTGAAATTCTTGACAAATTAAAACACAAACACAACATTTCAGGTGTGCATATTCTAAAACTGAATTCAAATAGGTTGCTGATTCCCCTCATTCCTCTGAGTGATCTGCGGTTTCTAAGCACTTCATGATGTTACTCTTCCAACCCCCAAATGAACCATCTCAGGACGATGAACCAGGAGAATATCATAGCTGGCAGAGGGTCACCAGAACATCCACTGCCTTGAAGCTGTCAGAATGAACTCAGCGATTTCAATGTCGAAATTACATTGGAGGTCTTGGCAACTTCCTAGATCAAATGGCAATTGTAACTGTTCCCCACTACTACTGCTGCTAAGTCTTAGAGCCTCGAAGGGTGGAGCAGGAAAGGGAGATGATGACAGTGGGCTGAATGAGTCTAGAACAGGGTCATCAGCTGGAAAGAAGCTGTGCCAATGCTATCACGCAGGGCATCATATGACACCAAGGTTTCTTATTTAATTTTTGGTATGTTTTTACAAATAAGCTTTTTCATATCATTGTTTGAGTGTGACCTACCTGCTTCTGGGTGGGAGATAGGGAGTGTGTGTTTTCAATGTATCCAAGAGGAGGCGGAGCTGGATTCTGGGACAAGTTGTGTCCCTGTGGGCGGGAGTCCTGTGCAATCACACACACAAACACTCTGAGGACAGCCACCAGGAGTGCAGGGCGGAGCGCAGAGGAGGACCTTGCCCCCTGACAAGTACACACACCCACACATTCTTCTCCCACTGCCTTCTTCACCCTGCCCCTTGTCAGGCTCTCATCCCTTAGAGTTAGAGAGGAGGGGACTGCAGTTTGTCCACCTCTCATTTTACAGATTAGGAAACTGGGGCACATAGTTTACTGCCCCAAGTCTCACTGCTGGTCCAGTGCTGCTTTATCGAGGTTTCTTCTTTACCATACTCCCAAATCCCAGCCAGACAGTTCTGTACTACAGACCTGTAGTTAGGCCCATAACTTGCTTCTAAATCAAAAACAGCCCATTATTACCACAGTTTAGTTTTGCATTGTGAACACACCTAGCATGACTTGGCATAGAGATCCACCCTATTTATGGTCCTTTGCTCTTCTTTTCCACACATGTAAAACTCCAGCCCTTTACAGCCCAACGTCGTGAGTCTTTCTCCTAAATGACCCTGAGTCTCAGAAATTTCAACTCTTCACAGAATACTATTTTTTGCCCCAACAAAAAACTTTTCAGTAGATGAGCTTATCCCTGGTTAACATGACCCCTCCTTCATTCTCACACTTTCCTGCGCAAAGGGAAGCCTGATGGGAGTAGTCTGGCCACCTTGCATTCCTGACTATTCCTGGTAGAATACGAAATCCCACTTGTATCTAAACCACACTGACTTTAACATACCTGCTTTTCTGGACTCAAAAAGCTGCTTGTGCATTTCTTTTTCAAGTCTTTTACTTCTCGAACTGGATTCACTCCACCTTGGCATTTGTCTCCTGGAATTTTCCGGTACCTGAAAGGCAGAGAAAATTTGTTAACAGAATGCAAGAATTTATTGCCTGGATTCTTGCCTACTTCTTGAAAACAAGATTTGAAAAGCTTCTCATCCAGGACTTCTGGTCAAGATGGCGGGTAGATAAAGGCAGTATCTCCTCCTCCCACAACCACATCAAAATGACAACTAAACTACAGCACAACCATCATTCACAACTGCCTAAAGACTTCCGGTCAAGATGGCGGGTAGGTAAACCCGGTATCGCGTCCTCCCACAATCACATCAAAGTTACAACTAAACTACAGAACAACCATCATTCAAAACCGCCTGGAATCAAGCCGAATGGAAGTCCTACAACTACGGAATTAAAGCAGCAGCCACATCCAGACTGGTAGGAGGGGCGGAGGCAGATGGGCTGGTCCCACCCCCACGTGTGGTGGATAAAAATCAGGAGGCTCCCGCGGCTGGGAAGGTCCTCCCTGAGGACTGAGGGGTCCCCGTCCCACACAAGGTGCCCCGCTCAGGGTTCCAGTGCCAGGAAGAGAATCCCCATAACTTCTGGCTGGAAAAACCAGCGGGAACTGAGGCTCAGAGAAGCTGACAGAGCTGGAGCCCCAGGCAGCTCCTTAACGGGCCCACGCACGGACTTATTGGACTCTCTCCCTCTAAGCTTGGAGGGGAGGCAGCTCGAGGGGCACCAGAGACATACAGGAAAGAACTGAGCTGTTTTGGCACTGGAGCGAGGGTTGGAGAGGGGGCTTTCTCCTGGACAAACGTGCTGTAAGAGGCCTTTGTTCCTTTGGTGAGCCCTTCCCGGGGACGGCAGACAGCTGCCATATCTGGGACTCCAGCAACCTGGCTCACACTGGTAGCCCCGCCCTGGTGACTCCCTGAGGCCCCGCCCCACCCCATCCAACTTTCAAGCCCACCCAAGCTGTTGCCACTTGCTTAACAAAAGGATTGGCCTGTCTTGGATCCTGCTTCAGGTTTTTCCTAAATTCTTTCAAACGAGCAGCATCTGGTCTCAGCGAGCCCCATACCTCTCATTAAGTAGTACAATGAAACAAACACAGGGAGGCAGCCAAAATGAGGAGACAAAGAAACAGGTCCCAAATGAAAGAACAGAACAAAACCCCAATAAAAGAACTAGCCCACAGTCAAATGTCCAAAATAAAAAGAATTAAACGATTTGGGTAAATGGCCCACAGTCAGTGTCGGGAAAAAAAAAAAAGAACTAAGTGAAATGGAGATACGCAACCTAACAGTTACTGAGTTCAAAATACTGCTTATAAGGATGTTCAATGAACTTAGTGAGAACCTCAGTGAACTTAGGGAGGGCCTCAAGAGCATAAAAAAGGACCAGTCAGAAATCATGGATACACAGTTAGAATTGAAGGAGGCATTAACTGAAATAAAGAATAATTTACACAGCTTCAATAATAGAGTACATAAATCCAAGGAGCAAACCATCAATTTGGAATATAAGGAAGCAAAAAATGCCCAATCAGAACAGCAAAAAGAAAAAAGAATCCAAAAAAATGAGGATAGTGTAAGGAGCCTCTGGGACAACTTCAAGCGTGCCAACATTCACATCTTGGGGGTGCCGGAAGGAGAAGAGAGAGAACAAGAAATTGAAAACCTGTTTGAAACAATAATGGCAGAAAACTTTCCTAACTTGGTGAAGGAAACAGACATACAAGTCCAGGAAGCACAGAGAGTCCCAAACAAGATGAATCCCAAGAGGCCCACACCAAGACACATCATCATCAAAATGCAAAAGGTTCAAGACAGAGAGAGAATCTCAAAAGCAGCAAGAGAAAAGCAGCTAGTTACCTACAAGGGAGTTCCCATTAGGCTGTCAGCTGATTTCTCAAAAGAAACTCTACAGGCCAGAAGGGAGTGGCAAGAAATATTCAGAGTGATGAAAAGCAAGAACCTACAACCAAGATTACTCTATCCTGCAAACCTGTCATTTAGAATCGATGGACATATAAAAACTTTCCCAGACAAGAAAAAGTTAAAGGAGTTCATCACCACCAAACCGTTATTATATGAAATGATGAAGGGTCTTTTTGAAGAAAAAGATAAAATATATGAACAAACAAAATGGCAATGAATACATATCTATCAACAATGGAATCTACAAACAAAATGAACAGGTAGAACAGAAACATTCTCATAGATACAGAGAACATTTTGTTGGTTGCCAGTTGGGAGGGGAGTTGGGGGAATGGGTGAAAAAGGTGAAGGGATTAAGAAGTACAAATTCATTGCTAGACTGACAAACCTCAAAGGGAAAGGGGTTGGGGGGTGGAAAGAAATAAACCAAAGAACTTATACGCATAACCAATGGACACAGACAACAGTGTGGGAAAAGGTGGGAGGGGGGCGGGAGTGGGGAGGAGGGGATCAATGGGGGAAAAATGTGGAACATCTGTAATACATTTTACATCCAACAATAAAGATTTTTTTTAAAAATTAAAATAAAAAAAAAAAGAACTGCCTAAAATAGAGCTGAATGGAAGTCCTACAACTACAAAATTAAAGAAACACCAAGACTGGTAGGAGGGGCAGAGGTGGATGGACTGGGCCCACACCCAGGTGTGGTAGATAAAAATCAGGAGGGCACCTCGGCTGGGAAGGTCCTCCCTGAGGAGTGAGGGGTCCCCATCCCACATCAGGCACCCAGCTCAGGGTTCCAGTGCCAGGAAGAGAAGTCCCCATAACTTCTGGTTGTAAAAACCAGCGGAAACTGAGGCCGAGGGAGGCTGAGCCTTCTGGAGCCCCAGGTAGCTCCTCTTAAAGGGCCCAGGCACGAACTTACTCGAACTTGCTCCCTCTGAGCTTGGAGGGGAGGGAGGTTGCTTAAAAGGCACCAGAGACATACAGGAAAGATCTGAGCTGTCTGGCCTCGGGAAGAGGGCTGGAAAGGCAGCTTTCTTGCTGGCAGAGGCCTTTGTTCCTTTGGTGAGCGCTTCCCTGGGGCAGCTCTGACCCCAGCAACCTGGCTCACACTGTTTGCCCCGCCCTGGTGATTCCCTGAGGCCCTGCCCCATCCAACTTTTGGGCCCACCCAAGCTGTTGCCAGTGGCTTTACCATTGGCCTGTCTTTGATCCTACTTCAGATTTTCCTAAAATCTGTCAAACAAGTAGCATATGGCCTCATCGAGCTCCATATCTCCCATTAAGTGGCCCCAGGCCTGGGACTAGAAGCAGCCAGCCTTGGTTTACAACTTGGATTTTCCTGGACACCTCCAAGCCCAGCATAAGAGGCAGCCACTGGCAGATGACCTTGTAGTTTATGCCAGGTAGCCCCGGATAGAGCACAGGCAGTGGATGACCTTGCCCCAGAGCTAGAACACCCAGGGGACAGCTTCAGACCACATGGAAGCACCACCACCCACCACCTCCACAAGTGACACACTCAATGAGGGGACTCAGAGCCCTGCTGAAGTAAGTCTTGCTCTGTGTGGTGGGCCCCTGCACAGCTGATTCTCCAAGGTAGTCAGAGGTCGGTGGTCAGTGAGCACAGCCAGTCCTTGCAGCTAATCAGCCTGAGTAAATCTCTCCCATTGATGTGCCAACAGCAATCAAGACTCAATGACAACAGAAGGGTGTACAGTCCACACTAGGGGTGCACCTAGAGGGCCCAGGTGGGTGACCAGGGCAGCTGTGCCACTGAATCCTACAGGACACCTACAATATCAAGCCACCCTAGGAAGCCTAGGAGACATTGCAACTCTGCCTAATACATAGAAACAATCACAGGGAAGTAGCCAAAATGAGGAGACAAAGAAACATGTCCCAGATGAAGGAAAAGAACAAAACTCCAGGAAAAGAACTAAACAAAATGGAGATAAGCAATCAGTCAGATGCAGAGTTCAAAACACTGGTTATAAGGATGCTCAAGGAACTTAGTGAGACATTCAAGGAACTGAAGGAGACCTCCAAGGAACTTAGTGAGAACATCAACAACATGAAAAAGAACCAGTCGGAAATGAAGGATGCACTAACAGAAATAAAGAATAATTTACAGGGAATCAATAGTAGAGCAGGTAAAGCCCAAAAGCAAACCATCAATTTTAAATATAAGGAAGCTGCCCCGGCCAGTCTTGCTCAATGGTTAGAGCATCGGCCCAAGGACCAGAGAGATCTGGGTTCGGTTCCCGCTAAGGGCACATACCACAGTTACAGTTTGTCCCCGGCCCCGGTTGGGGTTGTGTGGGTGGCAGCCACTTGATGTGTCTCTCTCGCATTGATGTTTCTCTCTCTCTCTTCATCCCTCTCTCCCTCCCACTCTATCTGAAGATAAATGCAAAAATATCCTCAGGTGAGGATAGAAAAAAAAAAAGTGTCAGCCCGTGAACCAGTGAAATATAAGGAAGCAAAAAACACCCAATCAGAACAGCAAAAAGAAAAAAGAATCTAAAAAATTAGGAGAGTATAAGGAGCCTCTGGGACAACTTCAAACATATCAACATTCGCATCATAGGGATATCAGAAGGAGAAGAGCGTGAGCAAGAAATTGAAAACCTATTTGAAAAAATAATAACAGAAAACTTCCCTAATTTGCTGAAGGAAACAGACATACAAGTCTAGGAAGCATAGAGAGTCTCAAACAAGATGAACCCAAAAAGGTCCACACCAAGGCATATCATCATCAAAATGCCAAAGGTTAAAGACAAAGAGAGAATCTTTTTTTTTTTTAAATTTTATTCTTATCCTCACCCAAGGACACTTTTGCATTCATCTTTAGATAGAGCGAGAGGGAGAGAGGGAGGAAGAAAGAGAGAAACATTCATGTCAGAGAGACACATCGACTAGTTGCCTCCCACACGAACCCAACTAGGGTGGGGACAAACTGCAAGCGAGGTACGTGCCCTTAGCGGGAACCAAACCCAGGTCTCTCTGGACCACAGGCCGATGCTCTAACCACTGAGCAAACCAGCCAGGGCCAAAGAGAGAATCTTAAAAGCAGCAGGAGAAAAGCAGTTTGTTACCTACAATGGAGCTCCCATAAGACTGTCAGCTGATTTCTCAAAAAAAAAACACAACATAACTTTGCAGGCCAGAAAGGAGTGGCAAGAGATATTCAAGGTGATGAAAAGCAACAACCTACAACCAAGAGTACTCTACCCTACAAAGCTATCATTTAGAATCAATGGACATATCAAGAGCTTCCCAGACAAGAAAAAGCTAAAGGAGTTCATCACCACCAAACCAGTATTATATGAAATTGAAAGGGTCTTCTTGAAGGAGAACAACAATAAAAATATGAGCAATAAAATGACAATTAATACATATCTATCAACAATTGAATCTATAAACAAAATGAGCAAGCAGAACAGAAACAGACTCATAGGTACAGAGAACTTTTTGTTGCTTGCCAGATGGGCGGGGGCTGGAGGGATGGGTGAAAAGATGAAGGAATTAAGAAGTACAAATTAGTTGTTAGACTGATGAACCTCAAAGGGAAGGGGGGAGGGAGGGAGGAATGAGATGAACCAAAGAACCTCTATGCACATATGCATAACCAGAACACTGACAATAGTGTGGAGAAGGCAGGAGAGGGGTGGGACTGGAAAGGAGGGAGTCAATGGGGTAAAAGGGGGGGATATCTGTAATACATTCAACAATAAAGAGAAGTTAAAAAAAGAAAGAAAGAAAGAAAAACTTCTCATCCTTATACCTAATCTTTCAGGCATGGGGGGAGATCCAAAGGGATGTGTTGGGGATATTTTGTGTATTTTCAGGCTTCAACAGAGCAAGCATGCCCGGCCTTGCTGCAGGGACATGCGTGCCTTTCTGCCGTTAGAGACTGTGCCAGGAACTGTGATCCAGGAAAGCATGTTAACACAGAGTTCGGAAATCAGAGGGGAAGAATATACAGGGAGGAAGGCAATGAGGCGCCTCTGGAGCTACTCTAATATGATGGCTATTTGCATTTAAATTAATTGAAATCAATTCAGGTCCTCAGTCTCACTAGTGTCAATAGCCACACAGGGCTAGTGGCTACCATACTGGACACAGTACATCATAGAACATTTCCACCATCACAGAAAGTTCTATTAGATAGTATTTTCTAGAGTACCCTAAAACACTGAGCATCTCTCTGTGTGGAGAAAAGCAGCTTTTCACTCTGAACAAGGGTGATTCATCTATCACCAAGGAGAAATGCCACTCACCCATTTGTTGTCAGGTGCTCCTCTCTGCCATACAGACAGAACTCTAGGTCATGGCCCTTCAGTTCTGGCTGTTCCACACATTTGGAGTCATTTTCTGGACGGAAGTAGCCAAAATCACTGTAAGAGTCCACAAATGAAGTATCTTTTAAAGTTGCTGAAAGACATTAACTGACTATTATTGAAGGTTTTTGTGGGGCAGTGGGTGGTTAATATTCTAGTCTTGGGTTGCCAGATAGCTCAGGAAGGCCTGTGGCATCTATAAAGTCCGTTTAGGAAAACAGACATAGAGAGGGTTTAACTGGGGGAAAATAGCTATGGATCGGGCCTGGTGGACTTTGGACTAGTAGCTGGAAGTACCAAGGCTGGGAGTTCTGCACAGATCGCAGGCTCCAGATAGGGAATGCCTGAAGCCTGCATGGAGTAGGGACTCATGCAACTAAGACAGAGCTAAACTTAGCAATTCTTTTATTTACCTACAAATAAACTCATTATTACATTATTTGGAGGAATACCATGGGGTATGTGCAAACCTTTCCTGCCTTACCCACTTTTGACCCTCTTAACTTCTTAGACGGTCCTTGCAGCCAATGTGTATGCCCTGATGTGCCCTCCATTCTGTGTCATTTCTCCATAGCACCACACATCTGCTCTCTTTTCTGTTTTCCCCAAAGAAATAACACTGCCTCCTCTCTGAGCTCACCTCCTGCAAGAGAATCCTTGGCCTCATCCTTCCCACTGCCCTGGGGCCTTGCTTTATTGACAGTGTGGGAGGAACCATCAGTCCTACTCACCTTGTGGCTTCTCCTTAGCCTGCACTTGTCCTCTCCCTTCACCCTAATCTGCCTTATTGGCCAAATTCCTTTTAAAAATATTTTTCACTTGTTCTATTTTACTCATTTACTCTTAATTCTGTGCATTTTGATTTCAACCCCCCTCTGCAACCTTGAAAATGAATGTCCGAGACTTCCCCCTCCACCACTGCACCAAGGGCTTGCTCACTAGTCATCCAACCCACTGAACCCTCTCCAGCCTCATTCACCTTGACCACCTGACACACCACTATGCTCCTACCCACCTCTACACTGTAAAACTACTCGTCTGTTTCTCTTTTCACTAAGGGCTCTTCTCTCCTCCTAACCCATTAATGCAGATGTTTTCCATGGTTCTATAGCTCATTCTCTTATTTTGTATCTCCTCTCTGTTGCAACAAAAACTTCCAGGTTTTACCTCTCTTGAGCTCTAATCCTCCAGTTCCAAATAACTGCTGGACATCACCACCTAAATTATCTGCCAGCAGAACCTCAAATAAATAAAATGTTCCAAACACATCATCTTTTCTCCTTCATGCCAGCCTTTCTTATCATTTCCTTAGGTTGTCCATGACGCTACTTTCCTTCCCCAATATGAACCCTATTCACTTTTTGTTTTTGTTTTTATCCTCACCCGAGGACATTTTTCCATTTTTTGTTCAGACAGAGTGGGAGGGAAAGAGAGAGAGAAACATCGACGTGAAAGGGACACATTGAGTGGCTGCCATCCGCACAACTCAACCAGGGCCGGGGACAAACTGCAACTGAGGTACATGCCCTTAGGGGGAACCGAACCCGGGTCTTTCTGGACCACACAGGCCAATGCTCTAACTGCTGAGCCAAACCGGCCAGGGCCCTATTCACTTTTTTATCATGATTATTGTGACTTTCTCTCATGACCCATTTTCCAGCATACCCTTCCCAATCACACTCACACTTGTCCACTGGCTTTAATGACCTGCTTCTTCCCAGATGAAGAGGGTCAAATCCTACCACTTGTCAGGGCTCAGCTCAAATGCCACCTACTCAGCAAAGCCTCCTTCGACCCACACCTCCTTTCAGCTCTAGCTGGACAGTGTCTTCCCTCCCCAAATCCCTGAGACACTTGCTATCTTCTGTTTCACAACATAATTATGTGAATCTTACCCAGAAAGTCCACAACAAACCTTCTGTTTTCACTCTGCACTGCCCTGTACACAGCAAATACTCCAGTCCTCGGGCCGATGCTGTAACCACTGAGCCAAACCAGCCAGGGCATACACAGCAAATACTCAATGAATGCTTGAGGGATATAGAGATGCCGCTTATACATTAAGGTTTTTCTGACAAATATTTAGGGGAGAGGGTAGGGAGAACAAAAGATGTAGAGGACACCACTCAAGAACAAGGGAAAATTTCTGGGAGAGTACCATTCCCACTCACATATGCACGTTTCTCAAGCACATGTGGTAGAGTATGGGCTCTAGGGCTCAACTGCCAGGTCCACATCCCAGCTCCACCACTTCCCGGATGAGTGACTGTGGGCAAGTCAGTCATAACCTCTCTATACTTTCTTTCACTTCTTCCCTTTGTGAAATGGAAATGACAATACCCACCTCATAGGGCTGCTGAGGTTAAGTGTAAAATTGCTCAAGCCAGTGCCTAGTACAGTTAGTACTCAAATAATGCCAGCTGCTATCATTACTACTATACAATGATCAAATATAATATGCCCTCAAGGAGTCTAGAGTGTAGTGGTGGAGGCAAGCCTACACATAATGATTAAAACACAGTAAATGCTGTGATAGGGGTTCTGTGGGAGCCTAAAGGAGGGAAAACTGGGCAAGGCTTTAAAGAAGTGATATCTGACCCTGGCCGGTTTGGCTCAGCAGTTAGAGCATTGGCCCGAGGACTGAAGAATCTCAGGTTCAATTCCCAGTCAGGGACGCGTGCCTGGGTTGCAGGTTTGATCCCAAGCCTGGGTGGGGGTTGTATGGGAAGAAACCAATTGATGTGTCTCTCTCACATTGATGTTTCTCTGTGTTCTCCCTCTCTCCCTTCCACTCTGTCTGGAAAGCAATGGCAGAATATCCTCAGGTGAGAATTAAAAGAAAAAAAAAAAAAAGAGATAATATCTGAACTAAGCACTAAAAGCCAAACGGGAATCCACCAGGTTTAGCGGTCAAACGGGGAATGTGGAAAGACTTTCAGGCAGGTGAAGCAGTGTGTCCAATGGCTCAGAGCTCTGAAGAAGCACAGCATGTCTGGAAACCAGGAGAAACTCAGTAATGAAGAGCCAGCCCTTAAGAGTTTCACAGGATCAACAAGCTCTAGCCCTACTGTAACAAAACTAAGTGATCTGAGTGATAGTTTCCCTGTGGAAAAGAGAGAGAAAGCCCCCTGGCCATTCCAGAGACAGATATAAGTCACACAGGAGGACCCAAACGGGGTCAGACTTGGGTTTTCTTGGTCCTGTATTCTGTCATTTGTGGTCTGAAAGAATATGACATGTGAAGACACGACTATCTGCCTGCCTTCTTTTCTAAATCCTTCACTTCCTGTTAGTATCTTTTGCAGGTAATGAATTCCATAAGATTACTACCTGTGATCTGAAGCAGTCCCTCTTATTTGCCTTAAGTTATCTTGCTTAGGCTACCTAGGGACTCTCTTGCCCTTAAAAAATCAAACTAACCCCAGGCCAACCACATAACTGATCCTTAAGTCTGGATGGTCCTGAACTCTTGCTTGACCTTGATGGCACACAGGGACCATAAATATACTACTGTCACCTTGTGTCTCAGGACAGAACCACTTTTTCTGCATTCAGTCTTGCAAATGACCCAAAATCTAAGTGCCTTACCTGCTGAACTCAGGCTGTCAGGCTGTTTGCTAAAGTCCAATGTCCTCTTGGCTCCTGTACCACTTCCCTTGGTGTTTTTATCCTATCACCTCCTCTTCTCTCTTTTTTTACATTCTCGTCCTCCTTATATGCTTCCCTCCTTCCTATCATGGCCAAGTCAGGATTTCTGGGGGCTGCTGCTGGTTCTGCTCAATAATTAACTGTCCAATATGATAATATTGTCTGTCCAATTATTAACAACTTTGGTTCCCTTTCTCTTTGCCTCAGTTTCCTCAAGAAGCAGCAATTCTCTGCTCTTGAGGAAGAAGGGAAAGAAAAGGGTTGAAATATCTTTCAGTTCTATAAGACAATTGTGTTCCACCTCCTCTAGCATAGGAAAGGGGGCTGACAGGGATCTGAGGGATGCTGATACCAGAGGAAGTCCTCCAGGGAGCACAGACAGACAGACGGCTGCTTAGTCACTACATAGTCCCGGCCATTCTGACAGACGGATGACTTGCGGAGCCGTAGAAACTGTTCTTTATAGCCTAAAATGCAGCCATCTCCATAATCTCCAGGGTCTGTGGAGTGAGCCAGCCATATGGTATAGTCCTTCTCTTCACCTAAAGGAAAGACAGGTTGTTCAGGTAACTACATGGCACATAACCCACCTACATGAGGACGCTGCCAGATGATAAGAGGAATAAGGAAAGAAAGCGTGGGGATGTCTGACTGAACCCATTGCTTCATTATGGAACTGTGAACCAAAGTTAATTGGTTGGAGCCCACTAGTAATTTGCATTTCCTCATACCAAAGGATGATTATTTGCATCTCACCCCTCATTTGAGTATTAGGAAGACCCTTATTTGTTTTGAAGTGGGGAGATGGATAGAGGATCTCTAGGGTTTCTTCCAAACTGAGAGGCTGCTGGCTGTATGTCTTGTGCACCTGTGCCCTCAGTCAGCAGTAACTGTCAGAGGTCAGCAACTAGATGTTATCCTTTAGGACAAGACACCAATGAGCAAAAGCATAGGTTCAGTTTCACTATGGGTTAGTTTGCTTCCAACAGAAGGGAAAACATTCTCTTTCTAGACTTTTAACTCTAGTCAACTGTATATCAAATGAAGACTGCTGATGACAGTTAACCTGGCTTAGTATGTTGTATTATCCACTCCTGGAAAAATGACTCAGGCTATGGCCTAAAGACTGTGGATCCAGTTTTTATCCTTCGGGGTAAGAAGATCAGCACTAAGTCTATTAAAAAGCAGGTGCTTAACAATTTTGTAATGACGTTAAACTTGAGGGATAACTGTGGAGCTGCCTGCTGAAAGGAAAACGCATAAGCCAGCTCCATTATAGCCTACTTAATGAATTTAGATAATGGTGACTCTCCAGTATTAAATCATATTTAAATATCTTTTTAAAAAAAAATTTTTTTTCCCTTTATTGATTTGAGAGAGAGAGGAAGTGAGAGGGAGAGAGATATAGAAACATCGATGAGAGAGAACATTGACTCCTGCACACCCCCCACTGATGATCAGACCCACAACCTGGGCACGTGTCCTGACCGGGAATTGAACCAGCGACATTTTGGTGCATGGGTTGACGCTCAACCACTGAGTCACACTGGCTGGACTTAAATATCTTATAGAAAAATAAGGTCCAAATGACAGCTTCCTCCAGGAGTCACTGAATTAACATTCTGAGGAAGTGGACCTGTAATATAGTCTAATATTAGGACCAAAATTCAACCAAAGTGTCTTGAATCTTTAAGTCTTTTATCATATAATGCCAACAAATACTACAGATTACAGCATGGTTACCTTCTCCAGTTTTTCTTTTCCCCTCCATATTTTTTAGTACAATGTCAGCATCTTTGGTATTAGGGCTTGGGTGTGCTTGTGATTCTTTAGAAATACCTTGCAATTACCATTTTAACTCCTTTTCTGGGCCTTGAACATGCCTTGTAATTTGAAGTCACGGAACTCTGAAATGGTCAGTGTGGGTTCCACACCTGCCCAGTAGCCATTCTAGAGCTTCACCTGTGAGTGGCATTCAAGCCAAGATTCTTGGCATGAAAACTTCCTCAGTTCAACATTTTGATAAGTCACACACACAATCAATTGGAACATGCTTGCAATACACTTTTCTCTCAAGTTTCCTCTATAGTTCTGCTGTAATCAGGGATTTAAACCCTCAAATGTTAAGAAGTAATTTTAGACAAACACAAGCATGCACTATCCTTACAAGCAGAAACAGTGTCATAAAATGTTCCAGAGATCTAATAGTGCAAAGCTATACTCTCCTATATGACAGCTGTAGCTATATGTGGCTGAATTGAAACTTACTTTGAGGACAAGTGTAAGATACACACCAGATTTTGAGACTTAAAAGAAAAAGAAAGTAAAATATTTCACTGATAATTTTTAATACTGCTTACATGTTGAAATGATAATATTTTAGATATATTAGTTATATTATTAAAATTACTTTCACCTCTTTTATTTTTGTAATGTAGCTGACAGAATGATTTAAGTTATATTTGTGGCCCTTGTTTTATTTTTCTTGGACAGTGCTTGTCCAAATTCCACTGCCTGATTACCCCACAAGGAATATCTTTCCATCCTCTTTCTTACGCATTTTCTTCTTCCAGTGAAAAGAAATTAAACTGAATTGGCTCTTTAGAAAAATGGGCTTACAAGTTTCTGGTAGAAAAGGTCAAAGGAGACACTCACAGTTCCTTTTAAGGATATCTTTAAAATCGATGGTGTAGGAGACCCACCGGCGAGTCAGGAAAGATTCTATGAAACCCCAGATGCTGATGTTCATGGACTTCGCTCCAGGTTCTGAAGCAAGGCCGGTAAAGTAGATGGGCTCCTTGGTGAATGTGTAGGTTTGCCAGCACTGACCTTCGTCTGTGGAGAACCTGAAACCCCAGTGAGAAAAACATCATGATAGAGGATCAACATTTATGGGACTATCAGGAAACCACTCTGCTGTTAGGTCCCAAACCAAAGAACCTTCATGTTTAGGTGATGGCTTACTGACTGACAATTATATCAATTTTTTCTTAAAATTTTTTCAAAACTGATTTTTAGAGAGGAAAGAGAGGAAGAGGGGGGAACATCGATGTGAGAGAAACATCAACTGGTTGCCTCCTGCACGACTCCGACCATGGCCGGGGATGAACCGCAACCAAGGTATGTGCCTTTGACTGGAATCGAACTTGCAACTCTTTGGTCCACAGCCAACGCTCTAACCGCTGAACAACATTGGCCAGGGCCAATTATATCAATTGTGAATGCCTATAGTTAACAAGGTAGGAAAAGGGATTCATTCAGAGAGTGTGGGAAAAAATGCTTTTATAAACATTCTTTCAAAGGAAAGAGAAAATAGTGACCCATGTAAGAATGGGCTTCCCAATCAACAGACAGAAATTATTTTATATGAACTTTTACTCAAGGAGTCATTCTCAATCCAGAATGTTCAGACACTTCCAAAATATTCTTGTGGAGAGAAAGAATATTTTTAAAGTGACAAAAAGTATTAACTAAAGAGAGTCAGAGAAAAAAGCAAGCCATTTAATCTGAGTTGCTCTAAATGCAATCCCTTTAAGAACCTTCCCTACAGTTGTGCAGAATGCACAAATTTAAATCAGGCATCTGTAACTTCCCCACAACAAACTGAAACATTTCCCACAACTGCCCTCTATGCAGAAAGTGTGGGTGGAGCTGAGCTCATGCATACTTAATCACATTGATAGGAAGGCTGCTATGCTCAATGGCCACAATGATGCCTCCAGAATCCAGGATGGTGTAATAGTGGGGTCCTTCCAGCATCTTCGCCCAGGAGTAACCGCCATCATCTGAGATGTACACATCTGGGATCATCACTGAGATGGCATCCCCCACGCTACCTGCAACACAATCCACCAGCTCAGCACAGATCAGCCATGAAACAGGATTTACTGCTAGAGGCTCATTTTGAGTAAATTTATTTCCCATCATGCCTCTTGTCATAGAAAAAAGGCCAATGAAAATTTGGGAAAGGGGGAAGTCATGTTATTCTCTCTGATGGGAGCCTATGAAACACCTAAGTATCATTATCACACAAGAAATCCTACAAACAATGGTAAAAGCTGTGTTTGGCGGTTTTCTTTTCTTTTCTTCTTTTTTTAATCCTCACCCGAGAACATTTTTTCATCTTTTGTTCAGATAGAGTGGGAGGGAGAGAGAGGAAGACAGAGAGAGAAACATCGATGTGAAAGAAACACATCAAGTGGCTGTCTTCCACATGACCCAACCAGGGCCGGGGACAAATTGCAACCAAGGTATGTGCCCTTAGCGGGAACCGAACCCGGGTCTCTCTGGACCGAGGCCAATGCTCTAACCGCTGAGCCAAACCGGCCAGGGTTCAGCGGTTTTCTTATAGGGTGAATAAGTCTGAGTTTCAGTGTGCTCAGCTACTTCTTTCCAAGGAGGGGAGGGAAGGAAAGAGGAGGGGAGGGCCCCTTACCATGGGCGATGACTATGCCCACGGCATTTGGCTCTGAAAGGGGGACCACTGGAACGTTTAGTTTCTGGGAGATGCTGTAGGAAGCATGAATATGAAGACTGCACTGTGAAAAGAAACCAAAGCTTAGATTAAAACCAAAGGCATAATTTTTACTCATCTCACAGAGCCTTCTAATAAACCTAACCCAGACCTCAGTGGGATACTCTATTTAAAAAAAAATTATGATGATAAAACACATATGACATAAAAATTACCATCTTAACCACTTTTAAGTGTACAGTTCAATAGTGTTAAGTACATTTACACTGTTGTGCAACCACTACCATCATCCTTCTCTGGAACTTTTACATCCTGCAAAACTGAAACTCTGTACCCATTAAACTGTAACTCCCTACTCCTCCCCCCTCCCTTCCAGCCCTAGGCAAACCACCATTCTACTTTCTTTTCTTTTTATCCTTACTCAAGGACATTTTTCCATATTTTGTTCAGATATAGTGGGAGGGAGAGAGAGAGAAACATCGACGTGAAAGGGACACATCGAGTGGTTGCCACCCGCACGACCCAACCAGGGCCGGGGACAAACTGCAACCGAGGTACGTGCACTTAGTGGGAACTGAACCCGGGTATCTCTGTACCGCAGGCCGACGCTCTAACCGCTGAGCCAAACCGGCCAGTGCCACCATTCTACTTTCTGTCTCTATGAATTTGACTACTCTTGGTACCTCATGTAAGTAGAACCACAGCATATTTGTCTTTTTGTGTCTTGCTTATCTCACTTAGCATAATGTCCTCAAGGTTCATCCATGTTGTAGCATGTATCAGAATTTCCTGCCTTTTTAAGGCTGAATAATATTCCATTGTAAGTGTACACTACATTTTGCTTATCTAGTCACCTGTCAATAGACATCTGGATTGTGTCCATCTTTTGCCTATTGTGAGTAATGCTGCTATGAACATGGGTGTGCAAATATCTCTTTGAGGCCCTCTGTTCAATTCTTTTGGATATATATCCAGAGGTGGAATTACTGGAGCATATGGTAGTTCTATGTTTAATTTTTTAAGGAATCTCCATACTGTTTTCTACAGCAGTTGTATCACATTTCATTCCCACCAACAGTGCGCAAGAGTTCCAATTTCTCTACATCCTCACCAACACTTGCTTTTTATTTTTTTTAATAGCAACCATCCTAATGGGTGTGAGGTGATCTCTTCCTGTGGCTTTGATTTGCATTTCCCTAACAATCAGTGATGTTGAGCATCTTTTCATGTGTTTATGGTCATCTGTATATGTTCTTTAGAGAACTGTCTTTTGCTCATTTTTAATTTGGGTTGTTTTTTGTTTTTTTTTTGAGTTAGAGGCTCAGTGGGAAATTCCTGATTCTGGAAGCATTAGTATATTTGAGAGCAATATGCAATTATTTTCTCACGTGTAATCTTAGCTTATTTTATTCCTGCATTACACCAAAGCCTCTGGTCAATATATGAAGTATGATTCCACACAAATAAACCTGATGAACTCCTGATGTATTTCAGGTATTATATAAGATGTGGTGGTGATCAGAAATAAGACCTAGTCCAATTTTTTTTTAAAATCCTCGCTGGAGGATATGTTTAGGGGGGAGGAGAGAGAGAGAGAGAGAGAGAGAGAGAGAGAGACATAAAGAAAAACATCATTTAGTTGCCTCCCGTGTGCACCCTGACCGGGATCGAACCTGCAACCTTCTGGTATACAGGGTAACACTCCAACCAATAAAGATACCTGGCCAGGGCCCAGTCCTGTCTTTAAGGAATATTTCTCTGAAACTAGTTGAGGTATAAAATGGAATGAAAGTTAGTGCTTCAAAAGAGGTTCCAATTGGTTAAAGTCATGTATACATTGGTTTTATGTCATGTATATTTTACTGCAAAAAAAAAAAAAAAAGAGGTTCAAGCAAACTATTAATGAAAAAAAGAGGAATGATTAGTTCTAACTGAAGATGGGCAGTAAGGGTGGTTAGGGTTTCTACAAATTCTGATGAATCGGGGTGGGGGAGACAGGCCCAGCTTTCCCAGAACAACATGGGCAAGGCCCCAGAGGCAGGGCACATGAGGGTGTTGAAGGAGCAGCAGAAGATGGCAAGGGGTATGTCAGTTATAAAATGGGCGATGACACGGAAGAGAGCCTTACAGGGAAAGAGAGGACCTTTAGTCACCAGGTCAAAGACTTTATTCAGAGGCAAATGGGAGCTAGGAAGAGTGCTGAGGAGGAAGAAGCATGGGAGCATGAGGGTAGCATAACAAAGTAAGGAGAGGCCACTGTGCAGCCAAGACTTAAAGTAAGGAGGACAGGCACAGGGCAGGGCACACAAGGGGGATGGGGAAAAGGGAGCAGGAAGGAGAGACTCAACAGCACTGATGAGTGTGGAGAAGGGAGAGAGAGCTGGGGGTGGGGCAGGTATACTTAATCTCACACTGTGTGAGGCTCTTAAAACAGAAAACCCAGCCTAGAACAACAGAGTGCATATTAACCACAGGTATGCTGAGAAGAACTCAGAGCTATTGACACTGTCATTTTTTTAAAGAACTCTTTAGTGTTCCCCTAAGCTCCTCTCCAATTCTGAAAGAGCCAGACACAAAGCTTGTTTTTCTCTTTTCATGCCTCTCAAGACCTGTCACTCCTAGATTCTGGGATCCGCCTTTTCATTTTTAGGCTTGGTCTCCTCTCCTCAGAGGGTCAGCTCCTGCTTTCACGTGCACTGCTGGGTCGCCACCCACACCCACCAGCCGTGGGGCACCCAGGCAGAGGGAAGACAAGGCCGAGCTCTCTGCTCTAGTTTCTGGCCAGCACAGCTTCGCACTGCTCACGAACGGCTGGGTATATGGCTGTTGTAGAATTCCTGATGTCTCACAGCCAACCTGCTGACTCCTAACTCATCACTGACCCTTCTGTCCATTCTGTTTCCATTCCGCAGTTTAGCAAAACACAAACTGCTAGCCCTCAGTTTTGTTTTTCTTTGTAAGATAAACAATCCAGAGTATTTTAGCCTTTCTTTGCAGTTCCAAGTTCCTACATTCTAAGTTAATTTCATTACTCTCATTTCCAAACTTTCCACCTTTACCTGTGGACCCTAGTCAAGTAGGAAACTTCATTATTCAAAAGCCTGGCACAATAAGAGCAGAACAGAGTGGCTGCTTTGATCTAAATACATATGACAGTTGGAGTAAAACTAACCTCATTCTTATTTTTTGCTGTAGCGTCACATTCACTGTTCTCGGGCTTCCTCAGGTGCTTCCACCTTCCTCCTTGGTCAAAAGTGATCACAGTCTGGATAGAATTATCTAAAGGGGAAGAGAATGACATTAAGCCTGATACACTGGAAAAATCCTATAAAGTTCAGTTTCTCATTGCAGAACTTGATACTAACTGAGACTATATAACTTCATTGTAACCCTGGAATCCCCTAAGCTTATAACACCCAACAAACCGGCTCAGTGTTGATGAGTAACTGAGCAGCACTCTTAACATGGTATCTGAAGGCGGCTTACCACCTGAACAGGACCCATTGGATTCCAGAAATCATCTAGTCTGACACTCTTGAAAAAAGATACCTTTTATCTCCTTACCAATGCAAACAGGCTGATATCTATTCTCCTTCCTTGTTTGCTTGCTTTGGAAGTAAACTCCACAATGGGAAGGCATACTCAACTTCACAGACAAGGCCATGATACTGGGCTTGTTTTAGGGAATTTCAAGATTCGACTTATGTGCATAAGTCTGAATTAATAATTCCTAAATTTTGTCTCTCCACTACTCCATATCCTATCCCTCTTACACCTTTTCTTTTTTTCCTTCTCTGTGTCTTTTCCCCATTCTCTATTTTCAATGATATAAACTGTTGCAGGTTTAAATTCAGAGATAATATGCTTTGAGTGTTCCAAGGAAAATCAAACAAGAAATTAAATCAAGGCAAATTTATTTATTCCATAAATATATATTTTAATTCTGATCCAAGGATATGTTTTGATTTTTTTAGAAAGCGGTAAAGGGCCCTGGCTGGTTTGGCTCAGCACTTAGAGCGTCGCCCGCAGACCAGAGAGTCCTGGTTTCGGTTCCTGTTAAGGGCACGTACCTCGTTTGTAGTTTGTCCCCAGCCCTGGTTGGTGTTGTGTGGGTGGCAACCACTCGATGTGTCTCTCTCACATCAACGTTTCTCTTTCTCTCTTCCTCCCTCTCTCCCTACCGCTAAATGCAAAAATGCAAAAATGTCCTCGGGTGAGGAATGAATGAATGAATGAATGAATGAATGAATGAATGAATGAATATAAAGAGGTAAAGGGAGAGAGAGAGGGGAAGGACAGTGAGAGGGGGAGAGAGAGGGAGAGGCACTGATATGAGAGAGAAACATGGGTCAGTTGCTGTCTGTATGTGCCCCGACCAGGGATCGAACCTGTAACTTTTCAGTGCATAGGAGGATGCTCTAACCAACTGAGCCACACTGGCCAGGGCTCAATAAATATTTTTGTGTGCCGACTGTGTGAAAACTGTTGTAAGCCTTTGGGAATATATTAGTGAACAAAACTGGAAGAAAAGCTTTATGAAATATACATGTTAACAGGGTGAGACAAACACTAAACGTCATAAATAGGTAAATTACTTATTACATTAAAAAATAAGAGTTATGGCCCGGCCTGTGTGGCTCACTGGACTGAGCGTTGCCCCATGGACTGAGAAGTCCCAGTTCGATTCCCAGTCAGGGCACAGGACTGGGTTGCAGGCTCAATCCCCAGTAGGAGGCATGCAGGAGGCAGCCAATTGAAGTTTCTCACATCAATGTTTCTCTCTCTCTCCCCCTTCCTCTCTCTTTAAAAAAAATCCAATAAAAGCATATTAAAAAAGAAAAAAGTGCTATGGAAAAACCTGCATAGCTAAAGGGGGACTGACAGAGTGTGTGTGAGTGGGGGAGGGCACAGAGAAATTTAAAATAGTCAAGGCAGGTCTCATTCAGAAAGTAAATATGAGCAAAGACTGGAAGGAGGAGGGTGTCAGCCCCACAGCTATGTGGGAAAACAAAGAACAGTCGGGGGTGCAAATCTCCAAACCACAAGTGTGCAAACCTGATGGGTTTAGGGAATTGGAAGAGAACTGAGAGCTGAAGTGACTAGAGTAGAGGGAGAGGAGAGAAGAGTGGGAGTGGAAGTCGGGGAGGAAACGGGGCCAACCTCACTTGACCTTGTAGACCACTGCGAGGTCTTTACAAAAACAAACACCCCAACCTCGTATCAAAAACTCAATACAGCCCTGGCCGGTTTGGCTCAGCGGTTAGAGCAACAGCCTGCGGTCCAGAGAGACCTGGGTTCGGTTCCTGCTAAGGGCATATACCTCAGTTGCAGTTTGTCCCCGACCCTGGTTTTGGTCATGCAGGTGGCAACCACTAGATGTGTCCCTTTCACATCGATGTTTCTCTCTCTCTCTCTCTCTCTCTCTCTCTTCCTGTCTCTCCCTCCCACTCTATCTGAACAACAACAAAAAATGTCCTCGGGTGAGGATTAAAAAAAAATCAATACATAAATAAACAAAAAAGAGTCTCCTTGGGGTGGTGAGTCTCTGTACTTTAGAGTAATGTGTTTACTTGTACAGGTGAACTTTAGTAAAGGTGAGCACTCCAGAACCACTGAGCAGAAGGCGAGAAGAAGCTTGGCTATTGCTGTGCCCTCTACAAGGAGAAAAGCAGGAAGAGGGTCAAACTCAGGCTCACTCCCGTAGGACTAAACCTCCCAATGCAGAAAACTTATTTTATAGATTAAATAACACTGAGTGCCAAAAATCTTTCTTTCTACCTGTGGTTATTTTGCTCTTTCTTAGTTCCAGTTGCCACAACTTATTTAAAGTGGAGAGCCAGAATTTACATAGGCAGGCTGCTGGCCAGGTAAGCAATGTTACTGGGGGAGAGGATCATCAGTCTCTCCAAAAGTTTCAATTCTCAACACATTCAGCTGAAGGACAGGTGTGCCAAGACTCACCTTCAGAGAGCACACTTGTTATGTAGACCCCACGGAGGGAGGTCACATTGGTAAAGTCTGTCTCGCCACCTGTGGTGGTGTACAGATGTCGGTCCAAGGACTTGGAATAGACAATGCCTCGATCGTCTGAGGTGAAGATTGTACCAAACCCGGTATCTGAAATAGCAAACAAACAAAAACACTAAGTCTTGGGAGGGAATAGAGAGGCAATAAGTCTAACCATACAACACATAACTTGTTGTTAGGCAACAAGTCTAACCATACGCACATTAGCCAACCATCTCTCCTCATGATGTAGACGTAGACCTGGAATTCAATCAAGGTTTGATACTCAAGATTTTTATGTCCACCTTTAATTCTATACCCATCTTACGTAGTGCCAGAAATATGGTAGATGCTGAGTTTCCTGCATGAATTAATCAGATGCTACAGAAAAGCTCTTCTTACATCTTAAACATCTCTACATCTTTATACTCTGGAACGTTTCTCAAACTGTCTGTGATGAAGGATCAATTTTTAAATTTCCATTATGTCACAAACCAATGTTTTTGTAAAATATAATAAAAACTAATCACTAGAAAAAGAAAATACAAAAGATAAAATAAAATATATTCATCAACTCTTTTATCATTAGATTCAACAGATATAAAATTACTTTGTCACATGGCTTGCTCTCACTTCCTATACTTATTTGGTGAGTCTGCAAATCAGCACCAGTCCTCTGAGCATTCTCTGAGCAGCACTGCGCTAGGCACTGGATATGCACACAAACCACACAATGTCAAAACAAGCAGCCTTTTAAATCGAGGTGACAGATTTTAAGACAGAATATTCAGTAGGGCACTAATCGATTCCTAGAAAAATAGACATAAAAGAGGGAAAGCTACTGAAAGTAGAGCTTGAAGTTTAAATCTCTCTGAGGTTAAGGGTGGGCCACTAAAAAGCTCTCACCTCCAGGTTCATCCACGTGCATGAACACCATGTCGTCATTAGCTGCTAGGATAGAATAGAACTGCTCCTGCCCCACAGAGGGGAGCTGGGCCATGCTCCATGTGTCCCCTTGATCAGTTGATACATGAATCCTTCTTGTCGTATCCTGAAACAAATGCCAACATTTATCTTTTTAATTTATTGCCAAGGTGCCATGAGCAGGGACCAACTAGGCACATTATTATTGTTAATTATAAATATCATTATCCATTTCTTCACTGGGTACAACTATCAAAAATGAAAGGTCCTAGTACCAACTATCTAGCAATTTTTAACCTCTAGCAAAGTTCCAGGCAATGGGACAATCCATTCTACTGTAAGCAAAGCTATCTTGGATTCTTCTTTGGCTTCTTCTGGCAGGGCCTGTAAGATCTATCCTCTTAACCTCTGACATTCCAATTTCCTTCAGTAAAGCCAAGGGTGTGATGAGACCACTCACACGTGTGTGCTCAGATAATTCTTAAATAATGATTGCTGTATAAAGGTCTGATCCCTTTGAGATAATCCAAAGTATGAGGTAACTAAGGATCTAGAAAATGGGGGATCACAAGGGAAGTTAAGATGTGACCTATATCTAAGGAAGTCTCTCAGAACAGCCACAATGAGGGGATTGTGCACAGGATAGGAAGAGGCCAAAGAGCATCATAAATTAACAAAGGAAGCTGATCAGGGATTTAGCTGTGAAAAGGAGTCTGTTAAGGATGCAATTAACACCTACTTTTTGATAAATAGCTTAAAATAGCTACAAGACACAATTAGCTATGGTATGAGACTGACTCCCAGGGCCTTCATTAAATAGTTAAATGCTATTTAAAGTTCAGTGACAAGTACATTTAACTTATTTTTCTAAAACTTATACCTAGATGTTCAATTTGAATCTTACTCATTGTTACAGGCAGAAGTTAGAGTTCAAAAGCACACAGTGGAATTTTAGTTGTAGACAGGAACAATACAGTCGTCCCTCATTTATCGCAGGTAATCTGTTCCAGACTCTAGTGGTTGCACCTGGCGTTGAAGGATTCTTGGGGTGCTCGAATACATAGGCCTACAGTCCATACGTACAGTAATTTTCATTTTAATTGTAATACAGGGGTGTATAATTGACTCAGACAACCGAGTGCGCACTGTATCATTTTCACTGTCAAGATCAACTTTTTAATGAACATACATTCATTAAAACTGTGATAGAGTGAAGCCACGAAAGTTGAAGCGTGAAGTGGCGAGGTACGACTGTATAGTGTAGGAGGCTACCCCTTAAATCAGTCTGATTTCTACCACGGTTCCACCTCAGGGTGACCCTTGGCAAGTTTCTCAGTTCCCTCAAATAGAAATCAAAGTAACAGTATAAGCTTATAGGGTTGTTGGGAGGATTATTCCAAAATTGCTTGAGGGAGTTACTGTGTTACTACGTCTGCTAATCCACCTCCAAGTCTCTCTGAGCTCACTCTAATCAGTCTTTTAACCTCAGTACTGCAATGAAACTGCTCAGTCAAGCCCACAAAAAACCTCTACCCTGCCCTGGCTGGTTTGACTCAGTGGTTAGAGCATCATCCTGTGGACCAAAGAATTTCGGGTTCGATTCTGGTCAAGGGCACACACCTTGGCTACAGTTTGGTCCCCAGCCCTGGTTGGAGTCGTGTGGGAGGCAACCAGTCAATGTATCTCTCTCACATCAGTGTTTCTCCCCACCCTCCACTCTGTCTGAAAATAAATGGAAAAATATCCTTGGGTGATTTAAAAACAAAGAAACAAACAAACAAAAAATCCTCTCCACTTCTGCCAACTCCAGTAGCTAATTCTCAGCACTCATCTAACTCAACATCTCAGTTGAGTTTAGCACAGCTGATCACTTCGTCCTTCTCGAAACATCTTTTCACTTGGCTTTCATGATTTCACACTGTCCTATTTACCCTGCTTCACTGTCTCCCTCCCAGGCTTCTTTGCTAGATTCTCCATTTCTTTCCAACCTTTCAGTGGTGGGTGCTTCAAGGCGTGCTCAGTCCTCCTACCTCTTCTCTACCTACTCAGTCCTCTCGAAGATACCATCTAGTCACATGACTCTAAACACCATAGAACACTGGGAGATTCCTATACCCAAATGCTTACTTGACATTGCCACTTAGATATCTAATAGGCATCTCATACCCCAAACTTGCTTCTCCCACAGCCTCTGCCATCTTAGTAAATGGCACCACCATTCATCCAGTTGCTCAGGCCAAAGCCTCTAAAGTTATCCTCCGTTCCTCTCATTATCTCATAATCCACATGAATCCATCAGCAAGTCCTATTGGCAATACATTTAAAAATAGATCCACATCGTACCATTCCCCCCTCTTCCGCCTCTCACACTGCTCTAACAGCCTCCTAGCTGCTCTGCCCTGACACAGACTATTCTGTCAAAAGAGAAGTCAGATTACACCACTCCCCTGCTCACAACCCTTTCATAGCTTCTCAACACAATAATAAAAGCCAAGGTCTTAGTCACAGCCTATAAGCCCTGTAGGATCTGGCTGCTGGCTCCCCATCTTTGGACGGCCCTTCTCACTTTCCTCAGTATTTTGAGCGTGCTTCCAGCCCATGGTCTTTGCACCCACTGTTCCCTCAGCCTAGATGTCCATGCAGCTATGCTCTCGCCTCAGTCAGGTCTCAGAGAGCACATCCAAACCATCCCGCCTAAAACACCCCTGCCTGATTCCTGTCTCTTTCTGTTTCCTCACACTGCTTTAGATTTCTTCACAGCTTTACTCATTACCTGATATTACATCATATCTCCCCTCCTTAATTATAAGCTCTGAGAACAGGACATTTATCTGTTTTGTTTACTGCTAGGTACTCAATTAATGTTACCTATTTCTATTATTATTACTGGATAACAAACAAATGGATTGCTTTTTTCAGATATCCATGTCTCAGTAAAGCCCAAACATGGGTCTACTACATATCCCAAAACAAATACCAGAATTTTTGTGGTAATAACAAGCTTAAGCACAGAAAAGCCCAGAAGAGCCAATCAGCCTCTATAAAAAGAACCACCACCAAATCTTACAGTGATATTAAATACTGAAAAAAGGCAAGCAACTCTGTCAGTATAAGCAGTAAAAGGGACCTACTGGAGGCATATTTACAGAAATATCAGAACCCAAAGAGAAGAGACAAACACCCACCTTGTCAGCCATCACAGAGGCAAAAAGGAAACGTCCCCCAAGACCAAATGAGTAGATTTTCACACCAATGGTTTTGAAGCTTTTTCCCAAGTCTGAAGTTCTCCACAATTCCAGTGCCCCAAGGTCAGCTTCTTAAACAAGACAAAATATTAATTAAAATTTCACTTACTGGTGAGCCTCTAGTTCAAACAACTGTTTTAGAATTGCTCTGAATTTTATAGCTATAGGATTTTTAATCCTATGCATGTTAATGAAGTGAGAATATAAACTGATATGGCATTAGACATAGGGGATTCACATTTGGGTTTTATTTTTATACATGTGAGGTTTTACATTGGGAAGAAAGATAGTTTTCTTAATTCCAAAACAGTGCTGCATAAAAACATCATAGCCACAGCATCCTGTTTACTTTCTTCATGACATCATTTGAAATTATTCTATTTTAAGTTGCTTGAGTTTTGTTTTTTTGTTGATCATCCATCATCCCTACTTGAATTTAGCTCCATGAGAGTAGGCCTGGGTTTGTTCTCTCCATCTTTTGCTAGTATTTAGCATACTAATTCAGGTGCTCAAATGAATTTGTTGAATGAATGAATAAAAAACTGTGCTTTCTGCTTTGAAACTGCCACTGATAGGAAAGCCACTGGCTTCCATTGACAAACACAATCCATGATCTTCTTCAGAAATCACTATGCATTGCAACTTGTCCTTGGTTATAGCTTAATATTTACTTTATGTAAATACACTGCTGAAATGAAGTATAGTGTCTGTGTACAGCTTGCATTTTTATATGATCTAGGTACAAAACAGTAATTTGGTTGTACTTTCAAGATTTTAAAAGTCACTAAGTTATTTTAGCTATTAAAATTATAGAAGAATGGAAGGATCTTTGATGTTTGTATCTCTTACAACCCAGAATATTTTACCATGAATGGACAGGACACTCTTTTGGGACTAAAATATACTTACTGCAGGAGCCATTCACATAGGTAGTAAAGAAGATGGTGTTTTCTGATCCCCTACAATGAGGCAAACACAGAGAAAACACATGGTTCAAGATGTTAACAGACTGTGTCCACCTTAGTCACAAAGCTCCAAGCAAGTCTCATAAGCCTCATCCATAGGCACTAGCCAAAACAGCCACCGCAGATACTGCACGCGGATTCTTTCAGACTCCTGTCAAGGTTTCCCACGGCCTGGTCCCAGGCATTTGCCATAGTCCACTACACTTCTGTCAGCTCTTCCAGCGGCTCAAACTGGTCTGCACTCTCCAAATATGCCTTTTGCGTTTGCTCACACTGCTTCCTTCTTAAAATGCTTTTCTCTCGTGTAACCAAGTCTCACCCTCACAGCCTTCAGTTTCTAGCTTACAGTCTAGTGCTTCCATGAAGCTTTTCCTGTCACTCCAAGGCTTTATTTGCTGCAAACTTTTAGAGAAGTGGTTCTCAGGGGCGATTTTGCTCCCTAAAGGACATCTCTAGTTGTCACAATTGGGGGAAGGGAAATTATTACTAGTATCTAGTGGGTAGAGGCCAGAGATGCTGCTAAACACCCTACAAGGTACAGGATGCCCCCACAACAGAGAACTGTCGGGTCTACAATGCCATTGGTGCTGAGGGAGAAACTGTTGGAGAGCGCTATGTCATTCCCTATCAGCCACTCAGCACTCCTTTGTCCCCCATTTACTGGTTTTAATCACACAATATATGCTTTATCTCTTCGACTACACCATTGGGTTCTTCAGGGCAGGTACTAAGTTTTACGATTTTTTGTTTCCCCTCAGAACCTAGTTCAATGCTTTACATGAGCTAAATAATTTAGTTCTTTCATCTCAAACAGACAACTGGGTCAGAGGTTGAATTATTTAAATTCTAACTTGGAAAGGGAGTTTACAGGGAACTCAATTCAGACCCTGACAGTACTTATAGATTAGTACCAGCAAAAGGGCTATCTCTGAGCATGTTCTTTCAGAACTTTAGGCTGTCAGGTTCTAGAAATCAAAGATCTAAAAGGTGAGTCAACTGTTATTAGCAGCCCGATTTGCTCATATTTAGACACTAATCAAAGAAAGAAGTTACAAAAGTAAAAAGTCCTATACAGAATATAAAATAAAATACTATTTCAAAATAACTTTTTAAAGATGACTTTTCTGTTTCTTTTAGATTTACTGAGGTATAATTGACAAATGAAATTGTAAGATATTTAGTATACATTGTGATGAAATGTACATAAAGATCGGTTTTTATTATTATTATTATTATTTTTTATCCTTACCCGAGGACATTTTTGCATTTATCTTCAGATAGAGTGGGAGGGAGAGAGGGAAGAAGAGAAAGAGAGAAACATCGACATGAGAGAGACACACATTGACCCACACGACCCCAACTAGGGCCGGGGACAAACTGCAACCAAGGTACGTGCCCCCAGTGGGAACCGAACCCAGGACTCTCTGGTCTGCGGGCCAATGCTCTAACCACTGAGCAAAACCGGCCAGGGCCATAAAGATCAGTTTTAATGATCAAAATTACTACAGTCTTACTTGACTGTATCCTTAGTTACTTTAAAAATGACTTCCTTCCTGAAAAGGCCAAATAAGGTACAAACACATTTCATTAAAACCCATAAAATGAAAGCAGATATGGCACGTGTACCAGAGTGGTGCTGTAACAACCTAATTTAACCAGCATTTTCTAGAAAAAGGCCCACTTCAAGCAACATTTTTTAGTGTTTTAGTTAATTTTGGTAGATATATTTGGCAATGTCTATATTACAGATTTCCCTGACTCCCTAAGTAGAGGACATTAAATATTAAACTCTTCCTTGGGATTATGGGCCACTGGACATCAACCATATGAAATGATAACACAATGTGCCCATTAGAGGCTCCTGCGGTCTGTGTGCACTCTTGATCTAGCATTAGCTCACTGCACCCTGTTATGTTCTCTCCGTTTTGCCTGCTCCCACACTTCTCCTGGCATGTGCTTGTTGTTAGCACTCATACACCCCACCTCTGGCAGAAATCTGCTATTGACTGGGAAATCAGATGAACAAATTTGCTGAAATTAGTCAGAGAGAAAGAACAAAGAGGCTCTAAGCACAGGTCTGAGCCTAATCAGAATTTTAGAGGTATGAAGACTCTTCAATTCAATTATTGTTCAAGCATCCTCCAAATTCCTCAAACAAATCTCCGTGCATAGACAGAAGGAAGAAACTAAAGCCCAGAGAGGTTAAGCCACTGACTGGCAGCACAGCCAGGTTAAGACAAAGGTGACTTGACTCCCTAGTAAGAACCCCTCTACACCACCTTTAAGCAGGCACCTGATGGGGGGGGCTGTCCCCTTGAGAGAAGGGAATGAGTTTTGTTGTGCAGACAGTGTGACTCCTGCGGTCTGGAAGCTCTCTGGGCTTTCTTCCTGATTCTTCACTCCATTCCACATAACTGAAATAAATGGATCTCTAGATGAGAGGCTTTACATAAAGGGGGTGAGAAGTATGTAAGTTCCTGAATCAAAGCTGTAGCTTATGCTATTCCAATTGATGTCATCATTTATGGAGAAGAAACCTTTTATAGGCAGCAGCTACTCGGACACGAGCCTTGTTTTCTACTTTATGTTCTAATGTTTAGTGAGATAAAGTCTTCTTTCCTGACAGAATTAGAAGCTCCTCCAGGTCAAGTTCTGTGTGATACCCTCTCTCGTATCCCTTGTGGCACCCTGAAGAGTACTTGGCACATAGGAAGTGCTCAATATTTATTCATGTGACTTTTGGCAGCACTGTCAGGAAAGGTTTGGGCTCTGCACAGATGGAGTCTTCTGTTACTCACCATTTGGCCAAACACACTGCTTTGTGGATTTCTTCCCATTTTCCCCCAAAATTCTTGGACACCCACAGGCCATTCTGAAAGATTATAAATGACTTATCAAAATTCCAGCTTTATCTTGTGCAGCTGCTTGTATGACCTTTAATAATTCATATCTAATCATTCAGGACAGTACACACCCTGAAATTCTATCTGAGCTGCCTGAGATCTAGACACACACAGACAGTTTACAGGGACCTCTTTGGGGGCTTGGAACTTCCAAATAACAAATGCTTATGAAGTGCCTACCGTTAGCCAGGCACTGTACCAGACGTTGCACTGGGGATACAAAGAAGAATAAGACATACTCCCTGCTCTCAAGTTCACAGTTAAGAAGGGGCCCAGATAATAAGTGTGATACCGTGGGGTAACTGTTAGGGAAACATGGTCTCTGGGGTAAGAGTAGGGAAAAGAGGGACACTGCAGCAGAGATGGTTTTTGGACTGAGTCTTAAACGATGAGCAGTGTAACCAAAAGAAGGCAAATGGGAGATGAGATGTTAGGGCACAAAGACAGACTAGGACTAGCAAAGGCCGAGAGGTGATCAACGTGGTACTGTGTGCAAGAAGAGCTCAAAGCCTTCAGACAGTTGCTGGAGATACAATTCACGGTGTGGGGAAGCAGCTCATGCAGGGAGAGGGGAGGTGGAATACTTGGATGACAGTGGGGAAGATGGATCGCACAGAGTTCAAACCAGAAGCAGGAAAAGCAGTGAGTAACTGTCACTTTTCATTCATTAAGAGTTAGTGAGGCTTTAAACCATGGCTTTGAGAAACAGGTTCAGGAAGAATGCAGAAGTTAGGTTCAGTAGAACTGGACTTTTCTTGTAGGGCAGGATGATATGTGTATGTGTGGGGGGCGGTTGGTCACTCTGGGATTCTGGTTGAGGGATGAGAGGCACTATGGAATCTTCAACCAGTACAAGGATTAAGAGAAGAGGAGTATATCTGAGAGAAGACCAGAAATTAGTGGTTTAGATTGAGCCTGAGGTGCCTGTGGGACATCCAGCTAGAGATACCCAGGGGGCAGCAAGACAGGAATCAAAAGCCCTACGAGGAAGCCTGGATCAGAGACAGAGACTCAAGAATCTTACATGTTATGGTGGTGGTTAAAATGGTATGAGTGGAAGAAATTGAGGAGTGGAATGGACAGTAGTCATTTAAGGGTAGATTGAAATAAGCCGAAGGAAGAGACCAAGAAGGAATGGTTAGAAGATAGGAAAGAACAAAAGGGAATAATGCCACCGAAGCCAAGCAAGCACAGTTCCCAAAAGGAGGGAACAGCCAAAACTTCCAAATGCAGCAGAGGGACTAAGATCAAGACTCACTAGGTCAAGTTACTCTGAACCCAGATTCAGTAGAGACGGGACACAGATGTCCTGGAACAGCTGAAATTAAATGGGGCTGCTCCAGACAGAATTTCCCTTTAGTGTTCTCCCTTCCCCATTCTTTTTTCTTTTAATTTTCCTCCTCTGATAATGTTCACTTCCCAACATTTCTAATTTACCTAATTCTACTTAGAAACAGGAAAGGGTCTGATATCACCTATTTGCACATTAGTACAAACTGGTCCATCCATCTTCTCCACCTCAATAGTTGTATTCAAACTTACATTTAATTGGAAGAAATGTCAGGTATAAAAGCAGATTATGCCCATCTCTTGCTAAAGATAGAGATAAGGATAAAATCCTGTTTTAATAACCTTAAGATAGCTTGGTAATGGCGATGGAGTGGTCAAAGGGGAGAGCGATGGTTCTGTCCCTTCCTAAGGGGTCGCTTTGCTCTCTGAAGGGCTTTCAGCTTAAGCTACTGCAAGGAATTTCCAGGAATTTTTTCTTGAAGATCTGAGGCCTACCCAGCAAGCCATTTCCTTCCTCTGGTCTCCTCTGGCTAAGCTTAACTCTGACCTTCCTTGAGCCCTCCAGCCTCAGTTCTGCTCAAAGATCTGCCCACAGAGACCCAGGACCCAGACCTGTCCTCCAGTACCCCTCACTTTCCCTTTGCCTCCTTCTTTGCTCAGTCCAAATTGTCCACATCTGATAATCCTGTTTCTGTCCCCAGAACGGTCATCACAGCAATGGCTCTTAAATTTTATTGGGATGGCTCAGCTGGAGAACTTGTTAAAAACAACAGCCACCTCACAACCAGAAGTCACTGATGTACTTGTATCAGGGTGGGCCTAGGAATCTGCATCTTAAGCCAGCTTCCCAGGGTTTCTGATGTTGTTGGTCAGTAGAACACACTCTAAGAAATAAGATTAGAGAGAGCCATAGAAATATAGTGTGATTGTCACAGTCTAGCAACTCAGCCACTCTGGGCGCGACATCCATGACAAAGGAGACTGGGCTTAGGAAAGGAAAGCTGCATATCTCCTCAGGGAATGTAGAGGAGAAGGGGAAGGGCACTAGTTTCTGGGGAGAGTCCAGGAATGTGGTAGGGGTGCAGGGATTTCAGACTCTGAATACTTAATGCATGAGTGTTGGAAGACAGAAATCGATGTGCTTGATATACTATGTAACAAATATAAAGTCAAAATCATAAAGATGTGGTTTGGCCACTGGGAAGGAACAATAACATCAGGACTGTGACAATCTATGCTTGTCCCTCGCAGAACAAGAATGATTACATTAAACTGTTTCCTAATTCATTTTTCCAATAGCACATGTCTATTCAATTTTTAAAAATTGTAACGACAACTAGACATACTTATCTGGAATACATAACACAGGAAATTGTGCCTTTTACCAAACAGAGAAAAAAGAAAGATAAAAATACATACTTCATGACATACAAAGTCACTAGAAAGCAGTCCAATACTGTATAAAAAAGTATTACGTACAGGGTCCTTTTAAGACAATATGTTGTGAGAGGATAAAAATACAAAAGGCAAAACAAGTTCTTCAACTAGACTTACTTCAGTGCTGAGGGCTAAAAGATAATCAGAATTCTGAGGGCTATACATCATCTGAGTCAGAGGATAAAATGGGAGGTTGGTCTGAACAAAGTTCTTTGCAAAATCTGACGATCTGAAGATTCTTCCTCTGTGACTTACTCCAGACACCTCTGCTGTTAAAATCACCTGATTTGGAAGAAGAAAGATCAGATTCAGGGTGTAACACTATAAAAGCACAGGAAGTCTTACACCACTTCCACAAGACATCAGTTAAGAAAATTTTAGTTCCAAGAGTAAGAATTATTATAAAAACAGATTAGTTAGTGCACCCCACTCCTCAAATATTAGTCTTATCAAAAATAATATCCTGCCCTGGCCAGTTTGGCTCAGCGGTTAGAGTGTCGGCCTGTGGTCCGGAGAGACTCGGGTTCGGTTCCTGCTAAGGGCATGTACCTCGGTTGCAATTTGTCCTCAGCCCTGGTTGGTCGTGTGGGTGGCAGCCATTCGATGTGTCCCTTTCATGTCGATGTTTCTCTCTCTCTCTTCCTCTCTCTCCCTCCCACTCTATCTGAACAAAACAATGGAAAAATGTCCTCGGGTGAGAATAAAAAAAATAATAATAATAATATCCTGAATTGATCTAGTGCATACCTATGAATTTGAGCCTGGTCAGTTTGAGATCAACCAGTTTCCCAAAGACTAAAATGTTTGTCTTGCCCGGCTGGTGTGGCTCAGTGGTTGAGTGTCGACCCATGCACCAAGAGGTCGCCAGTTTGATTCCCAGTCAGAGCACATGCGCAGGTTGTGGGCCCCGTCCCCAGTGGGGGGCATGCAGGAGGCAGCCAATCGATGTTCTCTCTCATTGATGTTTCTATCTCTCTCTCCCTCTACCTTCCTCTCTCTCTCTCAAATCAATAAAAAAAAAAAATTTTTTTTAAATGTTTATCTTGAGTATACATTGCAATGTTAACCAACTGCCACCTGAAGAGTTTGGGTACATCGTGGACAGGGGCCAAAAGGAACCTGTGTGCTGAATCTCATTATTTTGTGATCAGTATTAAATTATGTTTAATTTCAAAACAAAGTAGTAGTAAACGCAATACATTGCTGTGTATCACTGGATCATGCCAATATTACTACCTGACAGCCCGTATATGGTATCAAGCATAGCTCTATACACACACAAATGAATCTCACCTTTCCAGAGTTCTCAGGACCAATAGCCATGCCAAATTCAGTCCGAATGAAGGTGTTATTGATGAGATTTGTAATATCCTTAAAGCTCTTTCCATAGTCCTCACTGAGAGGAGGAAAAATACAGACAAGTTTAGAATGCAGTAGTAGTGGACACTGTTGGGTTCCTACCCAACTTCCATCCCCTTCACTAACTTTATTCAGGTACTCAACCTCCCCTGACAAGTTACATGTCTCAGAGAAGCTGATTCCATCCCTAACTCTGGTGGTGGACTTGATTAGTCTGAAGGAAAGTCCACACCCTCACATGTGCTGGAGTCAGAAATGGGAGAGTGACCCAGATTGGGGGAGTGACCCAGATCGAGGCAGTGAGACAAAGGGGGAAATTTGGGATCTATTAAAAAACTCATTTTCTCACACTCAGACAGCCACCTAATGAAATAAACGATCTATCTTTCTTTAGACCCATGGCTCTCAACCAGGATATTTTTGCACACATACCCTCCAAGCAACCATTTGGTAATATCCGGAGACATTTTTGATGATTACAACTCAGGGTGGAGATGCTAGTGGCATCTCATGGGTAGAGACCAGGGATGCTGCTCAACATCCTACAATGCATGGGAAAGTTCCACAACAAAGAATTATCTGGCCCCAAATGTCCACAGTGCTCAGAATGAGAGTCCCCAACGTTAGAGTATGTTAATGCAAAGCCAAAAGTTGCTACAGGCATCCTGGCGCAATAAGAGCACAATCTGAAGATGAAGCCAACGTAAGTGGAGAGCACTGCAGAGGCAACTCTGGATCCAGAGAAGCAGCACCTACGACACTAGACTGAACAAACCCTGAAGCCTGTCCTTCCTCTGTACTTAGTTATGAGTCACTAATTCCATTACTATTCAAGCTAGTTTGAGTTGAGATCTCTACTGAATGCACAAAGAGGCCTCCTAACTAATCTATGAATGCAGAGTACTCATGATAAAGCTAAGTTAAGTAGCAGGAGACTTGAAGTTTCCCCCCAAAGGTTACCATTCCTGGTCATAAGTCTCCAATGCACACAGGACACAAAACACAGCTGGGGAAACAGAAACTTAACCCTAGCTCTCTGGTTGTTAGAGATTTTCCCAGGAGTTCATTTTAATAATATCTTTGAGCCCTGGTCAGTTTGGCTCAGTGGTAGAGTGTCAGCCTGCGATCCAGAGAGACCCGGGTTCGGTTCCCGCTAAGGGCATGTACCTCGGTTGCAGTTTTTGTCCTCGGCCCTGGTTGGGTCGTGCGGATGGCAACTACTCGATGTGTCCCTTTCACGTCGATGTTTCTCTCTCTCTCTCTCTCTCTCTCTCTCTCTCTCTCTCTCTCTCTCTCCCTTCCCACTCTATCTGAACAAAAAATGGAAAAATGTCCTCGGGTGAGGATAAATAAAATACAATTAAAAAAATAATATCTTTGAGAGGTAGTCAATTCCATGTTTAGATTTTGAAAAATACAAGCAAAAATATCAGTAGCTGTATAGCTCTGACAGGATTAATAATGTGTGCCATTCTGTTAAAAAATGACAGGAAAAAAAAAAAGGTAATACAGAATGCAAAATCTTAATAGTCATTATATTTAAATGTCTATAAGTGAAGACCACTTTGTATTGCAAGTTAGTTGCCAATGCAATGTGCGGTGGTCTTCATTGATAGACTATGACTTAAAACATGGTACAATTTGGTAGTAGCCTTGATAAATAATCACAGAACCAGAGAACATGAGAAATGCGAGGAACTGAAGGGAACATCTTGTCCAACTCTCTCATTTCACAGATGAGGAGGTTCAAGAGGAGGCAATTTTTCAAAAGCCAACCAGTTAAGTAAGGGCAAAATTGAAACTATAATCCAATTCGCTTAACTCTCAGCCCCAAACTAGAGACAATTTGTAATGATTTTTGAGGAGTTTTTCCCTTACAAACTGCAGTTTTCCTCTACTTGCCAGGGCTTATGACCTGGCAGCAATGATCAGCTAAGAGGAAACTGGAGACACAGGAGAGAAGTATCTTCAAATGTTGTTTAGGACCCTGACAGTATGCTAAAGCAAACTACACGTGACTTTAAGTCATCTGAATAATGTCCCATCTCTTAGCATGCACACACAAAATTCCTAGATAAATAAAAGAGGGATCAGGCACAATCCAACAGATTTCTATATTGTCCTCCAACTTTTTTTTTTGGCTTTGAAATACAAGACGGGTTCCTATGTTCCTGACAGCAGGTCAAGTTCCTCGCTCTCCAATGTTAATGTCATCAACAGCTCAGACAATCTGCAAAGGGGCTGGCAGCAGCCTGATTATCACTAGCTTATAAATCTCCCCTCCTTCACCACACCCCCCGGGGAACCTCCACAAACCTATTGGCAAGTCTGCTAGCTTTTTAAGAACTTGGCACAACAAGCACATCTCTGCCCTTCAGAAAAAAAAAGCAACATGAGCAAAACAAAAAATCATCAGCTAAATACTCTGGTTCTGCAGCCAGTTAAACAAATGGAGCACAATGGGTCAACCTGCTGGCACTGAAGTAGGGTTCTGTTGAGGCCACACTAGGCTCAGGGATATAGGGGTGAGCAAAAGTAGGTCTACAATTGTGAGTACACAAAACAAAGCTTATTCTTTTTTTTAAATCCTCACCCGAGGACATTTTTCCATTTTTTGTACAGATAGAGTGGGAGGGAAAGAGAGGAAGAGAGAGAGAGGGAAACATCGATGTGAAAGGAACACATAGAGTGGCTGCCACCCGCACGACCCAACCAGGGCCGGGGACAAATTGCAACCGAGGTACATGCCCTTAGCGGGAACCGAACCCGGGTCTCTCCGGACCGCAGGCGGACGCTCCAACCGCTGAGCCAAACCAGCCCGGGCACAAAGCTTATCTTGTATTATTATGTATTAAGTATTGTATTATTTTCCACACGAACAACTTAAACCTACTTTTGACCACTCTTGTACTTTAACAAAACACTTTATTTAAAAGTAGTTTTACGCCCGGCTGGTGTGGCTCAGTTGTTTGAGCGTTGACCCATGCAACAAGAGGTCGCCAGTTTGATTCCCAGTCAGGGCACATGCCCAGGTTGTGGGCCCAATCCCCAGTAGAGGGCATGCAGGAGGCAGCCAGTTGATGTTCTTTTTCACTGATGTTTCTCTCTCTCCCTTTCTCTCTAAAATCAATAAAGAAAAAAAAACTTTTTAAAAATAAAAGTAGTTTTGAACAGACCAATAACAACTAAGGAAATTGAAGAGGTAATCAAGACTCTCCCAGCAAACAAAAGCCCAGGCCCAGAGGGTTTCACGGGGGAGTTTTACCGAACATTCAAAAAAGAACTAACACCCATTCTCCTCAAACTATTTCAAAAAATTCAAGAAGAAGGAAGACTTCCAAACACGTTCTATGAGGCCAGCATAATTCTAATTCCAAAACCAGAAAAAGACACTACGAAGAAAGAAAACTACAGGCCAATATCCCTGATGAACAAAGATGCCAAAATCCTGAACAAAATATTAGCAAATCGGATCCAGAAATACATCAAAAAAATTATTCACCATGACCAAGTGGGATTCATTCCAGAGATGGAAGGCTGGTACAATATTCGCAAATCAATAAACGTGATACACCACATAAACAAAATGAAGAATAATAACCACATGATCATATCAATAGATGCTGAAAAAGCATTCGACAAAATCCAGCATCCATTTCTGATAAAAACGCTCAGCAATGTAGGAATAGAGGGATCATATCTCGACATAATAAAGGCCATATATGAAAGACCTACAGCCAACATCATACTCAATGGACAGAAACTAAAAACATTTCCATTAAGAACAGGAACAAGACAGGGATGTCCACTTTCACCACTCTTATTTAACATTGTACTGGAAGTCTTAGCCACAGCAATCAGACAGGAAGAAAAAATAAAAGGGATCCAAATTGGAAAGGAGGAAGTGAAACTGTCATTATTTGCAGATGACATGATATTGTACATAGAAAACCCTAAAGACTCCATCAAAAATCTATTAGACTTAATAAATGAATTTGGCAAAGTAGCAGGATACAAAATTAACGTCAAGAAATCGACGGCATTCTTGTACACCAATGATGAACTCACAGAAAGAGAAACTGAAAAAACAATCCCATTTACCATCGCTCCAAAAAAATTACGATACCTAGGAATAAACTTAACCAAAGAAGTAAAGGACCTATTTGCAGAAAACTACAGGTCATTGAAAAAAGAAATAGAGGAAGATATAAAAAAGTGGAAGCACATACCCTGTTCATGGATTGGAAGAATTAACATCATTAAAATGTCCATACTACCCAAAGCAATCTATAGATTTAATGCAATCCCCATCAAAATACCAACGACATATTTCATAGAACTAGAACAAATACTTCAAAAGTTCATATGGAACCAAAAAAGACCCCGAATAGCCACAGCAATCTTGAAAAAGAAGAACAAAGTAGGTGGGATCACAATACCAGATATCAGGTTATACTACAAAGCAACTGTAACCAAAACAGCCTGGTACTGGCACAAGAACAGGCATATAGACCAGTGGAACAGAACTGAAAACCCAGAAATGGACCCAAGGCAATACGCTCAATTAATATTTGACAAAGGTGGCAAGAGCATACAGTGGAGTAAAGACAGCCTCTTTAATAAATGGTGCTGGGAAAATTGGACAGCTACATGCAAAAAAATGAAACTAGACCATCAACTTACACCATACACCAAAATAAACTCAAAATGGATAAAAGACTTAAATGTGACCCGTGAATCCATAAAAATTCTAGAAGAAAATGTAGGCAACAAAATTTCAGACATCATACGGAGCAGAATTTTCACTGATACATCACCCAAGGCAACAGAAATAAAGGAGAAAATGAACACATGGGACTACATCAAACTAAAAAGCTTCTGCACAGCAAAAGAAACAATCATCAAAATGGAAAGGCAACCCACTGTATGGGAGAACATCATTGCCAATGATGTATCAGATAAGGGGTTAATTTCCAATATATATAGAGTGCTCATCCAACTCCACAAAAGGAAGACAAAGAACCCAATTAAAAAATG